CTTTTTTACTTTATAACATTTGGATAATTAAACTCTTAGCCATTTGAATTAGAAAAAAAATTAGGTTGTGCAATTAAATCAAAACAAAACCACAAAATTGGAAACTAATATTAATCACATTATTTCCTAAAATCTATCTATAATGAATAAAAAATACAATTTGCTAATTTTCTTCTCTCAAATATCTTTCCTATTCTTTATATGATATTATTTGTTTTTAAATTTATTTTAAACCTAAAACATATGTATAATAAATATAAAAGAAAATTTCTACGTATGTTGCAATTTGAATATTTGAAATCGGACGTATATTACTCATTCGATAAAAAAAATGTACGTACAACGTCCACATCAGGTAAAAAATTGTTTTGACAATGGTTTAGAACCATTATAAATACATGACTAATCTAATCTACTTCCAACCACAAATGAGTAGTAAGCTTGATTTCTTATTTGGTTTAATCCGTTTATTATTTGAGAAAACGAAAACTCCTAAAAAGTTTCAAAATATTATAAATTATAAATTTTTAAAATTTTAAAATATTATAAATATTTAAAATTTTAATTTCCATGTTTTGGTTTTCATATTCTCTCAGTTCTGATCAAATGATAGCTCTAAGTTATTACCACTATAAAATCTTTATTACTAACAACTTTTGGTATTTTTTCTTAGATCGACGAGATCCTGAGTTCGAAGTACATTTTTGGTGGGATTTTGAAAATTCCCAGTTAGAAACTCATCAATGCGTCTTTACAGACGGTGGATCCGAGACTGCATCTAGCCAATCGGAAGTTCGCAGCAGAAAACAAAATCTTGATTTTGTTAAGGATATTAGTTTAAAATCCAAGGCAAATTGTCTTAAGAAATGAAGTATTATTAACACAAACAAATACAATAGTTTGTTTTCATATTAATCAATAAATTTGAATAATATATGCTTTAAAGTATTATTTTGAAATTAGTTTATTAATTTTATCATTGATTATTTATAACTAATATATACATTTAACATCAATTACTATAACCATTTCAAATGTCTGCATCATTTTGATAAATTGATGCAACTACTAACATCAATCAAATTAAGTTATGCAAAATTAACATCATTTTTTAAAATCGATGCATTATTTATAGTTTACAATAAAATGATGCAAAAATCATTTACATCAATTATATTTGATTCAAATATACAGAAAGTGATGCAATACACCCGTTTTGTAATGTGTGTAGAGATGAAAATAGACAAACACAATACACAAATCATCGTAAAAAAAAGTCTTTCAAAGTTCATATCCAAACATTTCTAGTACAGTTGATGTGCAACAAAAATCTAACTAAATTTAATTGGAGTTTAAAAAAGTTGATGTGCAACAAAAATCTAACTAAATATAATTTGCTAATTTTCTTCTCTTAAATATCTTCCTATATCTTTATATGATATTATTTGTTTTTAAATTTATTTTAATACTAAAACATATGTATAATAAATATATAAAAAAATTTCTTTTTTTTTGTCAGCATAAAAAAAAATTCTACGTATGTTGCAATTTGAATATTTGAAATCAGACGTATATTACTCATTCAATAAAAAAAAAATGTACGTACAACGTCCAAATCAGGTAAAAAATTGTTTTGACAATGGCTTAGAACCATTATAAATACATGACTAACCTAATCTACTTCCAACCACAAATGAGTAGTAAGCTTGATTTTTCAAACATCCAGTTTATTTGGTTTAGTCCGTTTATTTTTGAGAAAACGAAAACTCCTAAAAAGTTTCAAAATATAATAAATTATAAAAAATTTAAAAGTTTAAAATATTATAAATATTGAAAATTTTAATTTCCATGTTTTGGTTTTCATATTCTCTCAGTTCTGATCAGATGATAGCTCTAAGTTATTACCACTATAAAATCTTTTTTACTAACAACTTTTGGTATTTTTTTAGATCGACGAGATCCTGAGTTCGAAGTACCTTTTTGGTGGGATTTTGAAAATTCTCAGTTGGAAACTCATCAAATTCGCGACATGGAGAAAAACATCAATGCGTCTTTACAGACGCTGGATCCGAGACTGCATCTAGCCAAGCGGAAGTTCGCAGCAAAAAACAAAATCTTGATTTTGTTAAGGATATTAGTTTAAAATCCAAGGCAAATTGTCTTAAGAAATGAATTATTATTACCTCAAAAAATACAATAGTTTGCTTTCATATTAATCAATAAATTTGAATAATATATGTTTTAAAGTATTATTTTGAAATTAGTTTATTAATTTTATCATTGATTATTTATAACTAATATATACACTTAACATTAATTACTATAACCATTTCAAATGTCTGCATCATTTTGATAAATTGATGCAACTACTAACATCAATCAAATTAAGTTATGCAAAATTAACATCATTTTTTACAATCGATGCAATATCTATCGTTTACAATAAAATGATGCAAAAATCATTTACATCAATTATATTTGATTCAAATATACATAAAGTGATGCAATACACCCGTTTTGTAATGTGTGTAGAGATGAAAATAGACAAACACAATACACAAATCATCGTAAAAAAAATTCTTTCAAAGTTCATATCCAAACATTTCTAGTGCAGTTTGATGTGCAACAAAAAAATAACTAAATTAAATTGGAGTTTAAAAAATTCGAATATATGTGCCTTTTGTTGCCGTATATGTGAACTTTTTTCATAGTAAAGTCCATCATTGAAATGTAAGTTTTTTAAACTGCATGTATTTGTTGTTGATTTGTTGAGATCTCCCTTAAAAGTCAGGTGAGAAAAATATATAATAGTTATGAATTTTTTTTAATTACTATAGAAAATTTTGGAACAAATGTTGTTTTGGGTCCATTCATCTTGAGTCTAGTCATATTTTCATATGGCAAAACAAAACTTATTAATAATTGTATACAATCACTTACAAGGTTTTATAATATTTTGTGAAACTTTCGGTATAGTGTTAAACTATAATGATGGCCAATGAAAAGCTAGACAAAAGAAGTCAAAAGGAATAAGAAAAGTTATCTAATTAGTAAAGTAAGTAAGCTTAGATCATCTCCAATACTAAAGTTGTAAACAAATTTTTTAGCATTATTGTAATTATAAAAAGTACAAGTTATGATGCATTGGACATTCTCTTATAGTTTAGTTGTACGGATGATATCTAATAGATGTTATGCGTGTTCGTGTCCACATCGCAGCGTAATTAGTGTATATATATTAATATCAAATTTGACTATATGATTTATCTATCCATCCTTTGAATTGTGTCATCAACGTATACTATAGTGTATAATTGTTGGCTTGCATTATTGACTAGGTGATGTTATTACATACTAAAGATTACATAAGATGTTGAGGAAGTGGCTTTCGGTTTTAGTGACATATGCTTTTTGCTCCTATTCGTCTATTTGTCACACGCGTTGTTTTCTTGTCGTTTGGACAGCTCGTAGTAAGAAGTTGTGTAATATTTATTGTATGGCATTGATTTTGATTTCTTTTGTCTAGCTTTACAATGTAATTTATAGAGTCGTTGATTTTGATTTCCTTTTTTTCAAGGAGGCGCAAAATTTCATTGAGTTCTTCACATAATGTTGTGAATTCATTGTTGGTGTATCGACCAATTTGGTCTCGCGACGTGCATAGTTTCTATTTGTCGGTGTATCGACCAATTTGGTAGCGCGACGCGCACAGTTCCATTGTCTATTAATCATCGTCCGCTGACCACAACACCATGCAAGAATCTTTAATCGTTCTAAACATATGTATAGTAAAAATATATTTTTTCTGCATATGTTGCAAATCGAATTTTTGAAAACGGACATATATTACTCAATCAATACAAAAATGTATGTACTAAAGTATTATTGATAAATGTGTAGGTCATGTGATGAAACGGGTTATAAATTACATAACTATAATTATATATGTTTTTACGGGTTGTCTATTATAGTCAAGCTCACAAGAAAAATTAATATAAAATTAGACTATTTAAACGAAAGATGTTATGCCAACATCATTTCATTGTTTTGATTATTAGATTTATTTAATTAAGTTAATCAAATTACGATTATATAAAAATAAGTAATCATGCAATACACGAATTAAATAATATAATTAATCAATTAACTAACAAAATACACTAGTACAATCTTATATACCATACAATTTTTTTTTTAAAAAATACATTTTAAAATATCGTCCCGCGGTGTACCACGGGTTAAAAACTAGTACTTGCGATTATATTGCGATTTTACGTATTTAATTCATTTGATTATTTTTATAATTATCTTTATATTATTATTATTATTATTTTTTAAAACTTTTTCTAATGGCATTTCAATGTAAATTCTTACAATATATAAGGTTGTTTTTATTTGTGTATTTCCAATTAATATAGTAGGATACATCAATTAATGATCTATAACAACAACAAAATAAGAGTTGGAATGGTTTAAATCGAAATTTGTTTTCTTCAGCTTTTTGACACCCCTAAACCCAAGTTCAACACTCTCATGGTACACTTATTGTCTCTTTTCTTGTGTTTTTTTTTTAATATTGAGCAAAGTACATTGAAAACTTGTAACTGCAAGTACTTTGTTCACTTAACAAGTATACATTCAAATTGTTCTTGCTCTTGCATGAGCTTATATGTCAATGGCAATTGCGCCACAGATGCTTATTGTACACCTGAAGTCGGCTAAAGGCAAAGACTAAGGAGTTCAGACAAGTGAGGAGCCTTGCTCTCTGAAGTTGAACGGTCGGATTCTCTCTCTTGGGCGTAGCTTTGTAAAATGAAACGAAATTTATGAATTTTTTGTAACAAAACTAAAAAGTCTAACGTGTTCGATATTTCTTCCGAAGGGTGTATGTATGATATATTTTCATATTAATTTCTTTATAATGTTTTGGCTGGCTCCCAATTACGTGACGATTTTAGTAAAAATTTCTCATGTGTCAACAACTCAACATAAAAACTTAACCTATGACAGTTGTTGGGTGGGGTAAAAAATAACTCTGTATAAGTTTGGTAGTGACCCTCAAAAATGAATCTCAGCCGCACAAGCTCTTGGTAAAGTCCCTTTGGTCTCTCTAAGTGCTGTTTTGTAGTAGTGCTTTACTAATCCGTAGTGATCCTTGTGGTTTTCTTTTTTTTTCTTGCTCAGAACATCCTTGGATCAGAGGAGGAGAAGCACCGGACAAGCCTATTGATAGCGCGGTGTTATTTCGGATGAAGCAATTCCAAGCAATGAACAAACTTAAGAAGCTAGCTCTTAAGGTAAAATATTACAAATGCTTCTTTTGCAAGTAAGACATTAATTCTCTTTTGTTTTGCTTAATCATAGGTTGTGTTTCTGATTTTGGTTTGCATGTTATTGCAGAGAATCTCTCGGAAGAGGAAATTAAAGGTCTTAAAAACAATGTTTGCTGAGTATGGATATCGAAAAAAGCGGGCACAATTACTTACCAAGAATTGAAAACCAGGCTGACTAAACTTGGCTCTAGACTCACTGAAACTGAAGTGAAGCAACTAATGGAAGTCTTGTGATCCTCTTTCCCCTGCTTCTAATGTTTCTTATTCTTCTTAAAAAAAAGATGGAACCTGAATAGCCTTATTTTGTATAGGGTAAATGTAAACTTGGGAACTATTTCAGGGGATGCCAAACTGATCAAAGAATGAGGGATCAAGGTTTATGAAAAAATCAGGATGTGCTACAGTAACAGTGATACCCTTCTCCTTTAAAGTATCACGTACTGTGTTGAACTTGGTGCCGTGTCCAAAGTCTTTGTTACTTGAGATTATCAGATAATTACGTTTCTCCAGCAACGACCATACAAGAATGTCAAGTAACATCCTTTCAAATCTCACACCTTTACCTGCAATAGAATACACTAACCAAGTCATATAGGTGATATATAAAGGGGACAAGCGACTGCAATAGAATACACACTAACCAAGTTATATAGGTGATATAAAAGGGAAAAGCGGGTTTAAAGTAGAAGGATTCACCTTCTTTACCATTCTTGATTCTCATAAATTCTTCATAATGATCCCAATATTCTTTGGGCAATACCTTGGCTGGTTTAAGAAAGTAAACCTCGAGTTTCGATCCCCCACGAAACTCCTCCACATGGGCGAGGTATGATCCGATTTTATCGTATGCCTTCCAAATCTCGTAAAGTGAAGGGATTGGGCCATCATCGATGACCCAGTAGACCATCGTTAAACGACCTGTGAAGTTTCACAAAACGGATAACGATTAAAAACAAACCACTATTGCCAAACATCAGAAGACAAGATCCATTTAAAAGTAACTGATAGAGATGAAATCTAAACCAGATCATAGACGAACAAGTTCAAGCAAGAGATGCAACTTACTCCCGTCGAGTCTAGTGGTAGGGGGTGGGAAAAATCTTTCGCTGGTGGGCTGGGACATGGTTTTGACGCGGCTGGCAATAGCTTCGATGAGAAGAGGGCGAGAGACCTTTGTGAAATTTTAGGTTTAGGTGCAACTACGAGCAATACTTTGGGTTCACCCCCTCCTCATTCACTTAGATTAACCAATTAAAATGAAGTAATTTGTCGCGTCATACTATATATAAAAATAAATTAAAACTAAAATCATTAAAACAAAATAGATTATGGAAACAAAATTTGTATAATATAATCACTCTTTTATAAACCCAAACCGAAATATAATTTCGTTTAATTACAAAATCTAAACTCTAACCACTATGTTATCAACCCAAACAGAAATATAATTTCGTTTTAGTTACAAGATCTAAACTCTAAACACTGTTTTGTCAATCCAAACCGAAATATAATTTCGTTTAATTACAAAATCTAAATCCTGACCACTATTTTGTCAACCCAAACCGAAATACAATTTTGTTTATGTATAAAATCTAAACCCTAACCGAAATATAAAATTTCCTTAATAAAATGTTTCTATAATCTATTTTTTTAATGGTTTTAATTTTGTTTTTTTTTTTTGCTTTTAATTAGGTTAGGTTTAAGTAAATCTCTATATTAGTAAAATAGGAGTACAAAAAATTCATGAGTCGGGTTATTTGGGGAAAATTTAGCAAAACAACCCGATTAGAATTTAGTGGATAGTTAAATAATCGGACCACTTAAAAGAGTATTAAAAGAGTATTTAAAAGAGTATTAAACAGCCTGTTAACAAATGTTTCGGTACTATAAAATCAAAGATCTTCACTTAGAATCCACTAACTTAGCCATAAGATACTATAATAACTGTATATGTTAAATAATTACCAAAAAAATAGCTAACCAACAAAATCTTTAACTACTATCCTTATATGGTTACATTACCGTAACTTTTGCGATTATATTCTTAATCATTGATACAATTAATTTCTATATAATATTAAAGTTTAGAAATTCGAATTTAATACGATTTCATAACTTATGGAAATAGGTATATTTTAATTTCTTATTTAGAATATTTCAAGCAATATATATATATATGTTTGCATTCTTCACCGTAGACTACAAATACCTTCGACAGTCACATATTAAGCTTCCATCTCTTCTTCGACAATGTCTCAGAATTTCTTTTTTGGGAAGAAAAATATTACATAAATTATCATTACTATTATTTGGGAAGCAATAATAATAACTATTTAATCAAATTTATTGTTTTTAAAAATACTACTTATTTTTAAGTACTTTTGAAAATAAAAAATAAAATTAAAAAATTTAGCTGAATATTAAACATTAAATATTCTTTATTTTATATAAACTAAATCACTATATTTCATAAGATTATATTACGATTGTTATCATAAACTAAATCACTATATTTCATAAGAGTATATTTTATGACGTAACTTTTATTTCAAATTTAAAAGCTAACTATACTCCTATATTATAGGGTTTTAAATTTTCTCATTTTGTAGTAATTATACCCATTTTATGTCATGATTCAATTATATTTATTTAATTATACTTTTATTTTTCAAATAATTACTCATTTTTCATGATTCTTTATAAAAATACACGGGTCTTTACGGATTGATTCGTTACAATATACATTGTGAGTTTGTAATTTGTTTAATATACGTTCTTTTATTTGTTTTATTTAAATACTGTATTTCATTTCTGAATACACATTTTTCCAAAGAATTGAAACTAAATAAATATTTTGAAATAATAATTATCGATACTAAAATAAACCCGAAAACATTCCTCCGCGCTGTAGCGCGGATCCGAACCTAGTTGGTGTAGTATAGGTTTTGTTTTCTTTTAAATGGTTAAGACGAGATTGGTTTACAATAAACCAACATTAACCCAACTTCATGTGTAAATCGGTTTCAAACTTTAATTAAACGGGGAAAAAAGTTTCGAACTTTTGTTGTGGGGAAAAATAATTGTAGAACTTATTTTTGAGAGAGACGCAAGGCTGAAAATGTTGATGGAACTTTACAAATAATTGTAGTATACGATAGGTCTTCGTCCCATATTTTCTCTGTGTCAGACGGCACTTTACAAAGTGACTTAATTGGCAATATCTTTATGGAAAGTGACTTGACGTGCAAATAACCCATAAATATCTATAATCTCAATTTAGGGTTCCGTCAACTAATATAAAGTTCCGACCCTTTTTTAAGCAACCATATCTGTTCATCTGCTTTTTTCTAACGAAACCATGTCTGAAGTGTTCAGACTATACAGTGGTAAGATCTCGCTCTCTCTCTCTCTCTTTATATATCTCTTAGTCGATATGGTTTTTCTATGATCTGGATTAGCTTTGATCTGATCGATCTGTCATTGATTACTTGTTGTCCGTTGGCAGATTCTAACACATGCGTGTTTTGGAACGTGGAAGATTACCCAATCCCTTACGATCTTGAACCTCGTTCAGTGGAAGAGAAAATCAAATCAGAAGTCAAAGCTATGAACTTGTGTGGGCATGTGTCAATCCAGTTTTACGGTAAGGAGAGTAGGTTCTCGGATGATGATGGATTGCTTCGTAAATTTTCCGATGCAGGAATCAAAACCGGTACCTTACCCGAAGACGACGAGCATGCGGGGATTTACTCCATGTTATTGGACATGTACCTATGGGGGATAGAAAATCCTTCACCAGGAAATGTGATTGTACTCTCAAAAAACATGGATGATTCAGAAGTGAGTTTAGCTTTTATGGGTTTGTATTATAAGAGATACGCTGTTAGTTTATCCGATGCTGAACCAGATTGGATGGATAATCTTGATGAAAATTTCGTTGCCAAGGATTTGACTCTCCTATTCGATGATGGAGGAGGAAGCTCTCAAGCTCCTCCTGATAACAAGCGGAAATCTGATTTCGTCGACCGTGAAGGGAGTTTTCAAAGGAGGGCATTGGCATGATTGTAGTTGTGTTAATTTGTTCCAAAATGTAGTCTGAAGACAAATTAAGGCCTTGGATTTTATGTGTTGATGAAACTTTGATTATCATCTAATAATATCTGTGTTCCAATATAAGCAAAGAGCAAGTTCTTTAATTTCCTTTTCTTTATCATTTTTAAGAAGAATTGATTTTTGAACTAGCTGAAAATCTCTTTCTACCATAGCTATGATTTGTAGGTTTCTTCTGTTTCTCTTCCTCTGTCTAAACCAAAACAATATTTTCTTAAGATTGGGCAAAAAGCAAATTGTATGCTAAGCTAAATAACAAAGTGCTGTAAGATTTGTTGCTAAGAAGGAGTTTGTACATACTAATGCATGTGGTAGGTGTTTCTCAATGTGCTAACTCTGGTCCGCAGTGGTCATACGAAGGGAGACTTGCTGGCAACTAGTGGGGTTTGCAGAATGGTGGAAGCACAAAACAGAGGTGGTGGCCTTGGTGTCAACTTTAGAGAGTTATTAAGAAAGGGCATGATGGTGGTGAGGAAGTCACACGGGGCACTGGATTTTACCAAAGCTTCATTGGGAAGGTGCGCATGCTTAGTTTTTCTGCAAGATTTAACAAGCTGCATCCATCTACTATACTGTTCTGGTAGTAGCCATATTATCGTCTTTGTTTGACTTTTTTTTGCTAAGTTCCCATCATGTTCTGGTCTAGTTATTGTACCTTGTTTCGGAACTCGGAGAAAGTTCTGACAGGGCTTGGAGAATGTCCTTATGATCAGGGCCGATACCTCACTATTGATGGCAGTGACAAGGTTCTGATTGCTAAGGAGAAGATGAGTACAAACCATGTTTATGTGTTCAAGAAGAGACAGCCAAATAAGTATGCTTGTGTTGGTAACTCTTGTATGGCTGAGAACCAATATACGCTTGTAAGCACTGAGACCTTTGTAATAATAAAACATCTTCTTATAATATTAAAACCGCGGGTTAAAACCTAGTCCTTATCATACAAGTGAGCAAAGGTAGGAAGAGAGACAACAAGACTTTGGTCATTACTCATTAGCATTAGTGGGTGAAGATTTCATCTTGAGTAGGGTTTATAGTACAACCAAGCTTTGATTAACAAAAAGCAACCAAATAAATAAAATCAAATACCCTACCTGTGAAAATAAATTAAACCAACCCAATTCCTCGAGAAGAATATTTACTTCATTTTTTCTATGTTGAAACAATTAAACAAACCAATCTTTTTCTCCTCATGGAGAGCCTTCGCTTCCATTTCCATTGGAGAGACTGTACTTTTGTTGAAACCCCATCTGCTAACTCAAACTTTTAACAGTCTTTTTGGAGCAAACACAAGGCTTTCAACGAAATCAACAACACACAAGTTATATAAGAAGAGTCTTTCTCTGGTTCAGGCTGTGCAGTTTGTCAAATGTAATCACCCGGATGAGCTTGATTTACTACCTTCTTTCTCTGGTTCTTCAATCTGCGTCGGTAATAGATTCAAGAAGCTTCCTTGGCGGGTTGTTGTCCCACCAGTTGATTCATCTTCTGTTCATTTATTTTCCACAATTTGGTTAGAGAGAATCAAACATCTTGATTTTATGTATATAGCAGGCAAACAGATGATTTACCAAAGAGGGATTTAATCGATGGCCGCTTTGGCTTATTGCTCTTCTTCTTTAGCTCGGCTGCACACAAAAAAAACTGATTACAAATGCAGCCAACGAGCAATGGTAATCATAATGCAATCTAGTTCTGTTGCTTCTTCCTCCGCAAAGGAAGGGGGTTAAGTGAGATACCTATCCCTGGTAATTGGTCATCATTTACGATTTCTACGTTCTTGTAAGTATAACCGACAAAGTTAATGTCCTTGGATGAGAGCATCTGGAGAAGAAAAAAGAAAGCCAAACACATGTTATGAAAGCTCAAGACAGCACAAAAACTATCACTTTAAATGCTTCCTTTTGGTTCATGACACAGATTCCAATGACAGGTTCTTATTTGTCTCATGTTGCCTCTAATAGATATGAGTTTCATCAAACACAGGTCAACGTGCCCCATTGGCAGATTAATAGCATACCAAGCAGTTCGTCCAAGTTCTAAATTCCAATAAAGAAATTTGGATAAAAAGAGTGAAATATGCTTTGTTTTGTAGGTGAACAAAATTGACTGGAAGATCGTACAACAACAGGCAGCACTCAGATGCTAATTTATACATATTTCTAAGACATAAACACTTGGGACAGACTGAGAAAATTCAGAGCTCGTTATTGCATGTAATCTTTTAGGCGGTGTCTATAATATCATCACAAAACAACATATCCCGGGTAACCCATATATAGAAATTTGTTGAAGTATGATTACTTATCTACTGGATAAGTTAAAAAACCTAAGGCGGTTAAACCTGATGGTACATAATGCCAAAAGTCAGTGCTTTTGATTTACCTTTCTCCATGGACCCGACCTTGCCGACTTTGGAACTTGCTTGTCAGTCTGTTCCAGAAGGAATCAAAAGAAGAGTATATATTATTTTCCTTATCAGGAACACACAAATCATCTGTGGCACCAATATATCAGTATATACATAATACATCAAGACACATCATGAGTGGAAAATATTGCACCAATATTTCAATAGCTGATAGTATCAGTATGTTACCTCTTCAAATTTCTCAAAATTTTGGGTATCCAACTCATCATTGACTTGGGGAATAAAGGCAGCTTTCATTTGGTACAATTTCCCCCATTCGGTACCTCTGAACCAAGGGTGACTCTGAAAGAAACCAGTCAAATCTTTGATTAGGATTTGTCACAATAATCTTGGATAAGGGAACTTCAAATCTCAAAGTTGAACAAAGTACACAACACCTTAATTTCATCTGCTCCTTTTGTTCCAAGCCTTTGCTCAACATTGCATAAAAGCCTGCAAATAAGATCTTTGGCTTCTGGTGATAGTCTAACCTCATCTGGGAATTTCAAGTAATTTCTCCAATTTACTATCTGCATAAGGGTGACCATAATCAAAAGAGAATTACCAAAGAGATACAGAGAGACTAACATTGAATGCATGACTTGAAATCGCCAGGCTGCTTCCACTATTAAAATTAAATGACCACAAAGGAAATGGATTAAGTAATTACCTTCCTACAAGTTGTCATTGGATCATCTGAGTAAAATGGCGGAAACCCCACAAGCATTTCATACATAATGGCGCCAAGAGACCACCTAAAACAAAGCTCTCAAGATTATTCATCTATATTAATTATATGCACCAACGCAACCAAAGGTAACAAATTAAAATAGGTTGGCTTCACCTACCAATCACATTCCATTCCATATCCTTTTTTCAGCAGAACTTCTGGGGCAATATAGTCAGGAGTTCCAACTGTGGAATAAGCCTGAAAGCAATAACCTTGACCTAATAAGTTAAATCTAACACAAATATCTATATCAATGGAGAGACCATTTTTTAAACGAACGAAACATACTGGATAGTGTGCTCTGAAAAAAAGAGAGCATAAATAAGTTAAACTTACAAGCATCCTTCTATTTCTCTGCCAGTTTAGTAGTTGCTCTTGTTGAGTACGTCTTGTAGCCACAGGCCGACCATCACTTTGTAAAGCACCGCTAACGTTTCTAGCAACTGTGAAGTCTTTCTCCTGAAGATTACTACAGTCTAATGGTTTACATAATCCAAAATCTGACAGTTTCATGTGGCCGTCTTTGTCAAGCAGCAGATTGTCAGGCTTGATATCTCTGTATCACAAAAATGATGTAAAGAACAAAGTAAAGGAGATACAACTAAATCATATGAATGGACGCAATAGCCAGGACATTTAACAAATAGAGCTACTACTATATCCTGCTTCACTGACCTGTGGATATAGTTATGCTTATGAATGGACTCAATAGCCAGGACAGTTTCCCCAATATAAAACCTGGCCTCATCTTCAGTAAGGGTGTCTTTCCTCATAAGTAAAGTCATCATATCACCGCCAGGTAGATACTCCATTATGAGATACAAGTACTCCTCATCTTGAAAAGAACAATACAATTTGACAATGCAATTGCTGTCAACTTCTGCAAGTAAATTCCTCTCTGCTTTTACATGTTCCACCTGAAATCATATTCAAGAAATACATTAACAAACCAAACAAAACTCAATCAAACGCCACTTGGAAGAATTTCAATACCTGGCCTCTGCGAAGCATCTCAGATTTTTTAAGCTTCTTCATTGCATAGACATTGCCTGTTCCCTTCTCTCTACATATCCTCACCTGCAAAGAGGGAGATTAATATTAGCATGCAAAGCTTACTAAGCTGCAGCCCAAAAATACCATAAGAACTTTCAAGAAGGACGCATGATGCATCACAGAGAACTTCAAAACGATGTACGTAGTAGGTACATGCCAATTAAAGGCCAAGAAACGGAATATGATCTTTAAAAGATGAAGCAATGCTACCTCTCCGAATGCACCCTTCCCAATCATCGTCAATGGCTCGAAGTCATCAGCTCCCATTTTATGCCTCTGACGGCGCATGTATTCAGTTTCCTTCATCTCCAAATCCTTTAACAAGTTGTTCTGCTCTTCCTCAGAGACTTCTGCAGCAGCTAATTTTTTCTCTAGCATTTTGCGTCTGCATGAAGAGTAATTACCAAGAGATGAGCTAAGGATATGGATGGAAGTTTTTCTCGCAGAAAATGCATGTAATGAAACCATACCGCTCCTTTCTTTCCTGCAGACTCTGCATTTGCATTTTGTAATGATTTTCAATATACAGTTTAGCAGCAGCAGCCTTCTCCTTGGTTACATTTGAAAGTGCTTCTTCCCCTCCAGCTGTTTTGGGTCCTTCCTTTACATTACTCGTGGTTTCCTTCTTTTTAGAGGATTTCACTTTGTCTTTAGCTTTTAACTTATTCAGCCAAGCTTTGGCAGTCTCCATTTCTCTCCCCCTTTAGCTTCCCCCTTCCAAACCAGATATTGAGTTAGGTACTTTATGTACAAGTGACCAGACAGTATGATAAGCGCAGAGCACTAGTCCCACTCCAATTATGTAATATCAGTTTTCATATATCATGCACCTAGTGATTAGATTTCACACCTGCAACATAATGACATATATATTAATTAACACTGACTCCAACAGCAGATCAACAGAAGCATTTTGCTAGTAATAAGAATGATTGTAGAAACTCCAAACATTGAATAGGAAACTCAGAGCAATTCAACTGCTTTGCAGAGTCATAACAAAGCAGTGAAGTTGGTATCCAGAAATAAACAAAACGAGCTTAAAGGTGAAAACTTTATATCACACCTAATCTACTTAAACCCGAAATCAAAATACATATATGAATCTAACATTACAGAATTCTCCATAGATTAGTACTAAGAAAGAAACAATAAGTCAATTTCACGATCATTTAAAAGAAGAACACAAACCTAATAGATCTGAAATAGCAAATGCACACCAAATTTGGGGGGAATAATAAGAAGAAATCAAACAAGAAACCCTAGTTTTTTTTGTTTCTTCTTCAGAGTCAGCGAAGAAGAATGAATGCAACAAAACCGCAAATCAACAAAGAAGGTCGATCTCAAAGGAAGAAGCTTTGCAATGAAGAAGAAGAAGTTAGATTAGGAATTTTTAAGAAAACAAGACAACATGGTGAGAGACAAAAACGCAGACACAAAGACAGAGACCCGTAATTTGTGGTGAGAGAGAAAAGAAAGAAAGAAAATTTAAAAAATATATAAAGTGAAAGAGGAGAAGAGAAGAAGAAGACCTCGATTCTTGGGATTCGATTCCTCAATTCTTGCTCTTGTTTCTTTCTTCGTCTTCTTCTGTTTTCAAAAAATTTGGAGATCGAAGAAAAAAGTTTGAAACTTTATTACAATCTCTGTTTCTTTCGATGTGTGTGAATTTTGCAAAGAGAGTAATGAGGTACTACTCTTCTTCTTCTTCTTTCTCAGTTCGTTTTTTTATGTTTTCTTTCTCTCTCTCTTATTTGTTTACTACTGAGATTAATGTATTTATTTTGTATTGTTAGTTACTAAAGACTGATTAGCGTAAATTAAGGGTTTAATTGGTTCATCATTTACTAAACGAATGGAATTGGATTTTAAAATAGGCGAAAGAAAGTGAAATTAATATTATTAATAAGTTTATGTATGTTGTTGTAGAGAGAAGAGAGAGAAGAGAGAGAAGAGAGAGGAGAGAGAGAGAGAGGCTTTATTATAACCGCGTGGACTCCACCACGGGAAATATGTTCGATGGCAATGTCAAAAGCCAAAGAATAAATGTCAAACTTATTGACATCTCTTTTTTAGTTTTCTTATTTTATTTTTTATTTTATATAAATAAAAATAAAAATTGATGAGACAAGAAATTGGGTTGAGAAAAAATAACTCATTTAATTCTTGAGTTATTACAAACATATTAATTTCCAACTATGGCATGTACTATTAATTGTTTAACTTATTGGTGTTTTTATTAAAAGTTTTTTTTCTTTCTTTTCATATATCTAATTCTTGAGTTATTACAAATATATTAATTTGTACACTATTTTTAAAAATTATTTGTTGACTTTTAATAAAATTTATTATTTTAAAGAAAAGAAAACTAAAACTTATAACCGCTAAACTTTTCTCCAATTAAATGATTATATCAATTAATTTCTTAAACATAATTTCTAGAATTAATATATAAACACTAGCGAGTTTGTGGCAATGATTTTTTTTTCATCACTGAATTCGAGTTGTCGAAAATCGTTTAGAGTACTTTTTTTATGATTTAGAGATTTTATGGGTTTTTCATGCTTCTCGTCGGTATTGTTAGCTTCACGCTAATTTTTCTTAAACCTAAATTTTATTAAGTCAGTAACAACTTTTAGAAAACAATATGTATATGTAATAGTTGAGGAATTAATCTATGAAGTACAAAAAAATATTGAAGAATTAAATGAACTGTTTCCCAACAATAAGTAAAAACTGACTTTTATTTTCCACAATAATGTGCTACTGATTTGGTGGCACATCTAAAGTCCAACTTCATTCATACCATTGTTTTCTTCTTCTTTTTTCTGCATAACATTTTCATTTTTGAGAGGTTTAATATGATTTTCTAGATATACTTATTTCCTTTATTTACTAAAAATTTGTTGTAAGAGACTTCTTGTATAACTTTTAGTATTAATCTTTTATAGCCATGCATATTAATCAAACAAATTCACTTATATATATATACAGTAAAACCTCTATAAATTAATAATGTTGGGACCTATGTATTTTTAAAATTTTTATTAATTTATCGTGATTATTAATTTATCGATATACTAATTGAACCGAAAAACTAATTTGGGACCGAAAAAAATTATTGATTTATCGAGGTATTAATTTATCGAGTATTAATTTATAGAGGTTATACTGTATATATATATTCTTGATATTCGTCATGGTTTGTTTTGAGAAAGTTTTGTGATCGTTGAGTAACTTATAAAGAAAGAAAGAAAGAAAAAATTGCAATATACATTATTGCATAATGTGTAGTAAAATGTTTAAAATCGTTAGTAATTATATCTACTCATTGTTAGATTGTTTTGGTTAGTCTCTTTATTAGTTTTGTTACCGTTCCATTTTTGCTTAGGACATAACCTACGATTTCTTCCAACAACGACAACATCGCTACGGTGTCAACACCAAACTACGCAATCTGTTTTACAAATTTATAGCTTCTTCTCTACCAAATCATACAAACAATATTAATAAGAATGTAAGAAAGAACAATAGTTATAAAAAAAAAAAAACAAAACAACGTTAATAAATGTTTGCTACAATAATGAAATTTCTTGGTTGTATGATGATTCATTTGGTCGTAATGTCTCTGTATTTTGTGTGGCTTCATCACTCCATATCTCTAAGGCTGTCACTAGTCAACCACAGCTTTTTCTGGACAATGAATACAACATTGTCTGAATCTTGATCTGAATCTGAATCAGTCTTCGCTACTTCCTCCCAATGCAAAGCTTTAAGATACTTCTTCACCAAATCCACCACTCTTTGTTTATCCCTTATGATTATAAACCCGCTCGGGCGCAGTATTCTATCCATCTCCAGTAACAAATCCACTTCACTGCACCCTTTTTTATGGATATCAGATAGAATGTCCCAAGCATGGAGGAGATCATATGTCCTTGGATATGTCGAGAATGCTTCGCACCTGTGGAACGTTGAAAACGAATGATTTAAAACCGAAAAACATGCTAAAGATTTCAGATTCTGGGTAGAAGCAATGTGTCATTTTGATTAGATAGACAAACTTACCAGCTATGGATCGCGCCCATTAACCCTCTGTCATAGATCAGTTTAAGCGTGTTCGGTCCATCCTCGGGGACAACATTCATTACCCATACATCTTTTTCTTTCAGAGCAGCAGCAAAGGAGCCCATGCTTGCTTTCATGTCCATTATGTTCCTCACTGTATTTGATTCGATTCGAGGACTCAAGAGATCCCAATAACTATCTACCCTCTGCCTCCAAAGTTCCTTTACAAATGAGAAACATATGATGTGAGTGACTAATTAGCCCATGTTCTTACCTTGTCCGTTTCAATAAACAGAACTTATGGTTTTTTTATATACCGTGTCTTTCTCAAACATGCCGGTTGAATATCCAAAATCAGCAAGCCTAGGAGGAGGAGAGGTTAACCGAGCTGGCCATGGAGCTAATCCACTTCCCTTGGTTTTGTGGTCATCTAAAGTAAACCCAAAAAAGAGTTCAGTGGGAATCTGTTTTGAGTTTGCTATCACAAACGAGGAAAATAAACACTGTTATTGCGGAGATTCCTGAAAACTTACGGTCGCTGTAAGGAGTAATGCAGGCTTCCATGTTTACACCCCACACAGCATCAGGATCACTATCAGAACGGCAAAGAGGAGGCTGTGTTCCAGGCTCTCTTTCAAGATAACAATCATTTGTCAAAGGTTTCTGCCAAATAACAGTTTGGTTCCTTTTTGCCGCTATCTTCCAACACATACGCTCTACAAGAGCACTCATTTCTCTCCAGATTCTACGGTCCTCCTCATCTTGTGCATAAGCCTCTGGAGATGAATATGCAAAATAACCACCAGGCCTGAGTACTCTGTCTAGCTCAAGAAGAAGAATCCCATCTCTTTGAAGCCAATCGATTCTGCAACGCGAACAGTGAGCAAGTTCAAAAGATCTGCTTGGGTATGGAAGCCTCTTTGTCCCTAACACACCAAGGGAAGCAGGAATCCCTCTCTCAAGAGCAAATTGGATTTGGTTCTGATGCACATCATTTGGAGCCAAGGACATTGCCAAGATATCCGAAGATAGAAGATAACCTCCAAAACTCGCAACACCACAACCAACATCGAAAACTGTCCTTAGCCTTCCACCATTGTTCAAAATGTTGTTTGGAAAGTTAAGCATCTGAAATTTCCGAAAATACAATCAACTAATGAAAAATAATATATGCTCTTTTTTACAAAACCAAGTAACTGCCTTACATTTGCCATTGATGCAATATACTTATCAGCCCCATAGTGAAAATGAGTGCCACCACCCGGGAAGTTAATCTTGTCTCCTTTGACAACCATCCAGTTTTGGTCAGACTTCTCATGTGCAAGGTGAGTATGAGGTATGTTCACTTTCCATACTTCATCTCTGCTTTTTGGCCATTTAATAGGAACCTATAACATATTAGAAGAGAAAACAGTTATGAAAAGACACTGATCATATAAAAACAATAGAACCGGAAAATATATTCCACCTTATATCCATTAGGAGGAGGAATCAAGCAATTGAATCGTCTTTCAGCAGGAGGACAATGGCGTTCATAATGCTCCATCAAAGACAAATCAAGCTTCAGTCTCATTTGGTATATGAGATTCCTGTCTAAGCAAGGAATAAGCTCTGAATGCCTATCATCGCACACCTAGGAAGATAAAAAAAATGCACAATAACATTTACCACTTGAACGTAACCATCATCAATACAGAAAAAAGAAGAAGAAATGAGAAAATACTAAAGGCTCACCGGAAAACTTCTTGGCGTGAAACCATCGTCAAGACCAAACGAGCTTGAAGTGTCGTCCTGTTTAGTATCATCATCATCCCCACCCAACCCTAGTTTTCTCCCATATTCAATAGCTGATGCTCTATGATCAGAGGAGCCATAGAACAGATAAACGAAAACAAGGACAACCGCTGCAATGCAGACCAAAGCAATCACCTTCTTCTTTTGCCCTCCATCCGATCTTCCCCTCATCGCCTTTTTATTTGAGGTAAAGCCAAATGGAGATTTAATGTTACGGCTTAATGGATGGAGACTACTACTAGTAAGTGAAGAATCCAGTACAAAGAATTGATGATTCTTCACTAGTTACAAAAAATTGAATCTGTTCCATGTAAACAAAGACAATGATCAGTATCTGTAATCATGATTAATTTTATAAACTCAGGACAAGCATACTAAACAAATTATCATAAAACTCAAAACTTACACACACGCACGCACACACATACCAAATCTAACCATTCAAATACCAAACCACAAAAAAAAACACAGAAATGTGTTATACTACTCACTACTCACTTAGAATGATCGATCACTTAGAGAAAGAAACTCAAGTATCCAACCATCAACATATACTCTGGCATTTGAGTAGATAAGTAAGAACTCAATTACCAACAAAACAGTTGATCCTCATTGGCTAGTTAGAATTTGGTGTGCTGTATGATAAACTATTTGGTCCGAATCTTTCCCACTAGGACAGAACAGAACAGATCTGGTGTGAGAAACAGAAGTGCTATGGAAACAGAACTCGGATCGACCCATTAAAAATACATTATCCACTGATACCAATTCAAATCAAACCATATTATAATCCAAACAGACAAGTAACAATGACAGACACAGTCAAAAGCATCATACAGCCAAACAAAAACAACAGATTCGTATCTCTCAACAACGAAATCGAGCGAAAGCCTCAGAGAAAAAGTATCAAAAGAGGGACTTACCCAATTAACCCAAAAAAGGTAATTGATTTTGAGAGAGACAATATAATCAGCAGTGTATTGTAAAATCGATAGAGAGAAAGAAACAAGGAGATTGAGAGAGAGACTCGGATCTAAAAGAAGAGATGGGTTTCTCTCTCTATCTTCTAAATTAGGAAAAAGACCAGCTTTTTTTTTTGTCTCCTGTGTGAAAATGGGCAGCGACACTGCAAGTGAAGAAGAGAGAGGATCGGTGGAGGTCGTTATTTGCTTCGTCGGCTTATATGTTTTTACTTATTTTATCATCATCCATCAATCTAGTTTTTGTCGGCGTTCTCTAACTCTTAAAACTCATGTTTGGGATGGTTTGTAATTTTGTATATTAACTAACACCTTCACTTTATTTATTTTTGCTTGCAAATTGAATAAAAACAAAAAAAAAAACATAATTAATCTTTCAGAATTTAGTTGTACATTGAGAGGAATTTATCAAAATTATTTCTATTAGAAAAGTGTATAATTTTGTCACATAATCGTTTTATTATAACTTTAAAAGAACATTTATACGAGAATGATAATCGAATATGTGGTTGCTTTTAAATATTATTGTGGTGTTTTCCAAATAAAATTCTATATTCAAATTAATAACGAAAACCTTATGTAATTGTTTGAAAATAAAAAAGAATCGAAAAAACGGATGATTAATAAGGGGTTTGAGTTATCACGATACGATTTAATAGTAAGATATATACGGTGTAATTTATTTTATATATAAAAAATCGATGAAAGAGAGAGGGAAATTTCTTTTATTTATTTAAGCATTCATAACATAAGTCCAATATAGTGTCAACTAACCCATGTGTTTAGGAATTCTTTACAAGTAGATTAGTATAAATTGATTGTTATGAGAACAATGAACTGTAACCATTTTAAGCAATTCTCTTTCTTAGAGAGAAATGTCATTGTTTGGTGTTTTCCCCTTTTCTTTATCATTTTTTCTTGCACTAAATAAAGCACTAATAAGCTTTCTTATTAATCTATCTTGTTAAGCTCTTAAAAGCAAGAATCCACTTATTACTGATTTCTATTTTTAGTGGGTGTTATTGGATAATGAATTTTAATAGAGTCTAACTCTAACCCAAGTCTAATGTTATTTAATCAATGATTTTAAATACTTTACTCAAATCAAGTGTTATTGGTTCTTATATTTGCAAAATCTTCATTAAAAAAGTTTAAAATCTAGTGTTATTGGTTCTTATATTTGCAAAATCTTCATTAAAAGAGTTTAAAATCTAGTGTTATTGGTTCTTATACTTACAATTATTAACGAAAGTCTTATGTTATTCAAGTTTGGTGGATTTTCACAAATGAATTCATTTGAAAAGCTTTGAGTGAATCTGAAACTGATTTCATGTGTAAATTATGTTAATCCGAAAACCAATCTTCTAACATGAGATTTGACAATCTAATAATAAATTAATAAAAGTTTCATTGAACGTAATACACGTACATTATCAATATTTACAAACTCATTCACCCATGACCCAACACATATGTATCTCTCTTTATCATTTTTTCCCAGTCTTTTTTTTTTTTATCCCTAATTAATGTGTATATTTGTTTTAACAGTTGTTGTATGATTCATTTGATCACTTTAACAAAAAATAAAATAATTTTCATCTTTAAAAGATATGTTAAGACTTCACTACAGAAATTTGAAATGGGAAAAAAATACGTGATGATAAAAGTTTGGTATAATTTCATTGAAAATTGTAAAATCATTTGTTATAGAATTCAATTCTATTGTTCAAAACCAAAAGATATCATGTGTCAGTGTAAATACAATTCCACTGATTTAAAGAATGAATAATATTAAATCAGTATCAATGAACACAGATTTTGAAAGTCTTATGAATTTTAAAATCTAATAGAGTTGAATTTAACTTAAACAACCAATAACACCCCCTTAGTGTCTTTCTTGAAATGCAATCTAATTTAGTTAATTTAGTTATGCAGTATGATAAAGGATAAGTGTAGTGGTCCTATCTCTATACCATTTTTAGCTAAATCCATGTTCGAAACCTGGTTTTTATAGTTTTGTTCTAAATGCCATCTACACTTACGTACCAAGTGTTCTATATTTGGACTAAGAGACATGAAGCAAGTAACATTGAAGAGGATAAAACTCTGATTAAACTAGCTTGTAACACAGAAAGAGAGAGACAAACAATACATGCACTTGCTGCGTCCACTATATTCCGACTGCTTTGACTTCATTACAAACTTCAAAAATATGACAATCATAGAAAAATAGGAGATAGATTCAAAATCCTCCAGCCACAAAGGAGATACATGATGGTCCTTTTTTATTCAGACATGATACAACTTAATGACCTGATCAATGTTGGCACGACAGACAGGACATCCCATTTTCTTGTTTTTAATCTTTTTCAAGCAAGAAACGCATCCAGCAACATGTCCACACGGCACACACGCTGCTTCAGCTGATGCATCCACACAAATCACACACTGTCTATCTTCTTTACCCTCACATTTTGCAGAAGGATGATTTGGCATTGACATCTCGCTCATTGCAGACTGAGGTGAAGCAGAGGTTGTGGAAGTATATACCTGTGGAGTTCCTTTACATGCCTCACAAAACCAGTTCAGCTGTTTCTTGTCTCCTTTGGTCTCAGCTGCCAGCTTTAGACATATTTCTGAAAGAAAAAAAGGAGATTAAAACAAAAGAAACTTAAGTATAAAAGGTTTTTATGGTTACTGAATCTTAAAGAATAAAGAGTAGCACAAAGTTGTTTACACTTACGCCTATCGACTTGAACCCAACGCCTCGTCTGAGAAATGACTGAGCTCTCTGGTCTCTGCCTTCTGCAATTCTCAACAATCATTACTGATTCATCAGTCTGTGATGATTTTGGTTCATCCATATTGGCTTTCCACAGTGGCACCACTATCCTTGGTTTTGCATCCTAAATTGTAAAACAGAGGATTGATCATAAGTATAAAAAATCTCAAAACTTGAAACAAAAAAAGATGAAATGATGAATTTTGTGGTACCTTTTGACTATCATACACAGCCAACTCTAACTTGAAAGGCTTTGCAGGGTTTCTTGAACCAGTTGGTACGACAACTACCCATCTGCGAAAACATATATTTAAAAGAAGATTCAACAAAAAAGAAACATAAGATATCTCTGAAACACATAAAAGCCTAAGTTCTAAAACAGGGTGATCAATCCTATTCTATCATTGAGAACATGTAAATTGAAGAACCTAATGATTAAGAATTCCCTAAGACATCTAATCTATCAAATCATTGAATTCTCCTACTTGAAACCCTAAAACCCAATTTAGAGACTACTTAGACATAACAATTGAAACAAAGCAAATAGATTTTAAAGGAAACATGATTCAATAGATTAGAATAAGAAAAAGGTTTAGAAATCTTCTCCAAATTGTCAAAGAGGATCAATCTCTATCCCAGATGTTGCTTACAAGACTAAACTCAGAAAAACTGCTGTGAAAAACGTACCATGAAAAACAGGTCTTTTTGGGTTTTAATACCCATTACCGAAGAAAATAGAAGTTAACTCCGGTTAAGGAAACCGAAATTGGAATGGACCGATCGGTCTAACAGATGGACCGATCGGTCTTTAGGCGCCGGATCTTGTCCGGGTGATAGGATCGATCGATCGGAAGTGAGGACCGATCGATCGTTTTGTTCCTGGAATGTCCGTCCGGTCGGATCGATCGGTCTGGGTGATGGACCGATCGGTCCATGTTCTGCATCAGCTAAAATTCCACTTCCTTGCCCGAAACTGGTCCAAAACGCGTCAATTCTGCTCCAACCGCTTATCCCCTGCTCAAGACTCAAAACACGACTTGAAAGACACGAAAGACGGACTAAAATACGATAAACGACTCAAAATGGACATAAAAGAAAGGGTGAAAGACTCTAAAAACACTGTATATCATAACACTAAAAGAGACAAACATACAACTTTGACTTCATTACAAACTACTAGGGATACAATATGCCACATTGGAAGTTGAGTAGGATACTGACTAATACAAACTACAAAAAAATATGACAACCACACACAAAAAAAAAATAGGAGATAGGTTCAACTATCTTCCAGCCACTGAGGAGATACGTGATGGTCCTTTTTTATTCAGACATGATACAACTTAATGACCTGATCAATGTTGGCACGACAAACAGGACATCCCATTTTCTTGTTTCTAATCTTTTTCAAGCAAGAAACGCATCCAGCAACATGTCCACACGGCACACACGCTGCTTCAGCTGATGCATCCGCACAAATCACACACGCTCTATCTTCTTTACCCTCATATTTTATAGAAGGATGATTTGGCATTGACATCTCGCTCATTGCAGACTGAGGTGAAGCAGAGGTTGTGGAAGTATATACCTGTGGAGTTCCTTTACATGCCTCACAAAACCAGTTCAGCTGTTTCTTGTCTCCTTTGGTCTCAGCTGCCAGCTTTAGACATATTTCTGAAAGAAAGATAAGAAACTCATGAGTTTATAACAACTAGACGATTTTTTTTTTATGGTTACTGAATGTTAAAGAATAAAGAGTAGTACAAAGTAGTGTACACTTACGCCTATCGACTTGAACCCAACGCCTCGTCTGAGAAACTACTGAGCTCTCTAGTCTCTGCCTTCTGCAATTCTCAACAATCATCACTGTTTCATCAGACTGTGATAATTTTGGTTCATCCATATTGGCTTTCCACAATGGCACCACTATCCTTGGTTTTGCATCCTAAATTGTAAAACAGAGTATTCATAAGAATATAAAATCTCAAAACTTGAAACAAACAATGATGAAATGATGAATTTTGTAGTACCTCTTGACTATCATACACAGCCAACTCCAACTTGAAAGGCTTTGCAGGGTTTCTTGAACCAGTTGGTACGGCAACTACCCATCTGCAAATACATATATATTCCAAAGAGGAAGAAGATTCATATTCATGTTCAACAAACATAAAGAATGAAATGGTGTAGTTTAAGTTGGATACTCACACTCTTCTTGAAAAATAGTCAGGAGCAAAGTATTCAACTAAGCTTGGGCCATAAAACTCACGCATCCAACCAGAGAACAAGCAGATGTGATTCTACAGAATCAACAGTTTTAAAGTTAGACCTCATGACTCAATTCCATGCTGCAGAAAATGTCGAAAGAAGTGTTAATGCAAGCATATACCTCGATTGCACGTACAACACTGCAATGACCTTCAGCTCTAGCAACCTCAAGAGCTGTCTGAATATCATCATCCAAAATCAGTGGATTTGCTGCCAAAGAGAAAAAACATAATACAGCAATATAAGTGAAAAAAGATTTTTCTATCATAAAAATTGGCAAAGAAGATATCAAACCAAACACTTACCACCGTGAGAGAGAAGTAACTTAACCGTGTTTATAAGACCTCTTTTTGCAGCATGGTGCAGAGGAGTCCCACTATTGCTACCTCCTCCTGATACCAACAAAATGTCCACATTCGTATAAGCACCAACATTGCAAAAAACAAGAAAGTGGGCAAATGAGAAAGAAGATTCTTGATTATGGCAATACCGGATCGATAAGCATTGACATTAGAACCCAACTGAAGCAGAGTTTTTGCTACATCATATAGATCTTCCTTCATACAAGCTGAGATTAATGGTGTTCTCCCTAACTTATCCACCCACTGCATTCCAAAAACCAAAAGTTAAAAAAAATCAGAAAACAACAACAACACTAAAGAGGATTTGGTCAATAAACTTAAATTTTAAACACAAAAAAAAAAAAAAGATTATGTAGAGAGGAAGAAATTAAAGAACCTCAAGTCCTGCTCCTTCACAGCGAAGAGATTTGATAGCTTCGATATCGTTGTAACCCACTTGCTGAAACAGAAGCTCTTCCTTGCACTGTGATTGTTGTTGCCCCATTTTCTATAATGCACTTGAAATATCAATTTTCAGAAATGAATAAAACTTACTATAAGAATAGAAAAAGCAAGATCTTCTATATATAGGTGATGAGTTAAAAGTTATTGCCTTGAGTTTAAATCTACAAGAAATTGCGAAACTAAAAAATTTCAACGAAACGACTAGGAAAACACGTAGCAATGACCAAGAAATTATATGATTGCTTCAATAAGACAAAAGACAAAAGACTACTTGCGCTTAAGACTTTTCAAGAACAATGAAGTATCCAAGAAAAGTTTGGAGTTGACCATTGACCTGGTAATAATAAAGAAAACAAAAATTTCGACTTTTGGAGTTGACTAATGATTACAATAATACCACTAATTCTTGAAGATGTTTTACTAATCTTTATGCTTCAATTTTTTTTAAAACAATAAATCAAGATTTGTTTCACAACTAAGAAAAAAATCTTTAAACGTGTTTGTTACATAAAAGGTGAGCCTAAAAGTCGAAATAAAAACAATAAGTCTATGTAGTTTTTAATTTGTATAATGTTGGATGACTCGAATCTACATTAGTGACATTCCAATGATATGCCTTGTTTCTCAATCTATATTGCCAAAACTGATATTGTACACACACACATGATGACTACTAGCTTTCAGGATCTGCTTTTGAATCCTCTGTTTGATCATCAGAATTTGGTTGTGTAGGAGAAGCTGGTGGTTGAGGTGGAGTTGGTGTAGGAACTGATGAATCAGAAGCTGCTGGACTTGATGTTGAAGCATTATTATTACTATACCTCTTAAGCAACTTATCTTTTTTGCTACTCCACCATTCTTCTGCTTGTTGCTCATCAAATCTTCTCTTACTGCAAAAAAAAAAACTCAGTTTTTACACAAATCTAGATAGAGAGGAGAGAGGTATATATGATTTGATGAAGTTATTTAAAAGAATACCTGAATCTAACTCTTCTAAAGATCTTTCCTCCGTTTTTGTGCAGTACATAAGTAACATAAACACCAGGTTCATATTGTTCAATAAGTTCTTTGCCTCCTGATTTAGACGGCGATGAAGCTTCTGATGATGTCTCTGCCATGTTTGAAGGTTCTTGAGACCTCATGCTACCTCCACTAGATGATGGTTGTTCTTCTTGATTGCGTGTGTTTGCAGAAGGATTTGGTTCTTGTTGACCTGATGTTGTAGGTAAAGATGATTCAGATGCTTCGCTCGCATTTAGATAGGCTTCGGCTTGAGAATTCATTGATTCAAAAGCTTCACATCTAGATACTTCAGGAGGTAGTTTCTCTTTTAACTCTCTCAACTGTAATAAATAAAACAGTGATTCATTTTGTAACGTATTGTTCAAGAAAAACAATCTTGTAAGTATGTTTTATAAGGAACTTACATGTTCAGCGACAGATTTCATGACCTCTGTTGCTGCTTTATGCTTTGAAGAATGCTTTACAGCTAATTCAGAAGCTTCTCTTGCTGTTTTCTTTAGTCTTTGGATCTCTGTACCTTGATTATCACATTTCTCTTTCAAATTTTTAATCTGAAAGTGTATATATCAATGTGTTAGATCGAGTTTAATGTGTCATAAACCTGAGAATTTGAGATAATATTACAAACCTGGCTCTGCAGTTTTGTCATTTCTTTGTTTATAACACCGTTTGATTTCTTCAAAGTATCAACCATGCCCCTGGAAAATCCAGAACTGCGTGGAGGGCTCGATCTTCTTGATGATGATCTTGTGCCTGAGGGAAGTGTCGTCGAAGTTGAGGCAACGGGTTTAAAGGCATTTTGAATTGCACTAAGCGAGCTTGGGAATGCAACATCTCTAAGTTGCTGGAGAGCTGGAACTTGTGAGGCTCTGACAATAGAAGATTCAGATCTTGATGACCTAACCTCAGAATACTTGACTGGTTCTGTTTTTGGGGACAATAAAATCTTTGACGTCCTTAGATCTCTGTCTGGTCTTGCCGACCCATCTAGTGACCTCGTAGGAGTTGTGGAGTTTCTATTAGAAATATTAGAGTTATAACCAGATTCTCCAGCTTTAAGTTTTGTGTAACAAGCATCACATACTCTATGTGGCTTCCCTGGAGTTGGAGCTAATGCTGCTTTCAAAGCTTTCTTGGAACTACATGCATGACAATGGACTAAACCGCAGTTATAACAGTTATGTCTCTTTTTCGTAAACCCAAATGCTTGACGACAGCCAGAGCAAACTGACTGATCAGCACCTGAGACCCACTTATGGATGCAAATGCTTGATGTGAAGTTAGAGCCACATGATATACTCTTCACATGCCTCTCTTTTAGAGCTTCAACTAATGTCGGCGTTTTTCGATCTTCCTTGTCTCCATGTCCTAGTCTTCCATTTGAACCTTTTCCCCAAGTGAAGACTTCACTTCTTGATGTCAACACAGCAACATGATGATCCCCACAAGAGATTTCTTCAACGAATTCACCAACCAATCGATCTTGAACCAAGCAAGGCAATTTACCATCTGATATTGAGCTACCGAGCTGACCATGTGAAGTCCCTCCCATAGTGAAAACATGTCCTGAAGTTGTGAGTGCAACTGTGAATGTATGACCACAAGCTATCTGGTGGAAGTTGTAGTCAATTAGTGAAGAGACGCAAGTTGGAAACAGATAAGTGTCTTTGTTTCCATGTCCTAACCTGTGTTTATCACCATCACCCCAAGTAAACAGCTTTTTAGATGGCATACTTGTACCAGTCTGACTCATAACTTCAACTATAGCTACCGTATGCCACACTCCACAAGCTACTTTCATGGTTTTAAGGCCACTCAACATCCTCACTTCTTTAGGGTATGAAACACTCTCTCTATCTCCATGTCCAAGAACACCAAAAGCTCCATCACCAAACGTGAATAGTTTTCCATTAGCAGTCGCAAGCGCAGAATGCCACGTGCCACACGCCACAGATAAGACTTGAAGTCCTTCCACAGGACCAGAGACTCTTTTTGGTATCCAGTGACTAAGATCACTCCCATGTCCTAACAGCCCAACGTTGTGAATTCCATCTCCCCAAGTATATATATCTCCAGAGGTGGACACAGCACAAGTGTGATATTCACCACAAGCAACAAAATCTACGTTGGTAAGAGCAAGAAACTCTACAAGTTTTGGACGACTAACATCAACTTGAATACCATGTCCAAGCCTTCCTCCAGCTTCTTCTCCCCATGTAAAGACTTCACCTTGCCTTGTCACAAGAGCGATGTGCCTTACACCGCAAGCTATCTGATGAACATCAAGAACAACGTTTGATTCCAAGGGTCTTGGAATCACTACATCTGTTTTTACGGTTCTCGTGTACCCATCATTCGATATCTCGTCGCTCCAAACTTCTCCCCAGACATAAACATCTCCTAACGATTCTATGTCATCAGGACCAGACGTTCCAGTTGAACAGCTTGGTGTGCTTGAGACACTAATTCGAAAGCCATCAACACTTGGTCTTAGCATGTTTCCACGATCATATCCCACATCTGAGCTACCAAACTTTGTTGGAGAGTTCTGGATTCCTAAATCAATAGATGTTCTTCCTCGTCGTGTATTGTTTGGTGCAAAATCTAATGATGCAGTAGAAGGACGACCACTAGAGTAACAATCACTATCATATATCTGAAAAATGAGTTGATTAACAAAAAGTTACAAAATAATACATAGAAAAAAATATAAAGTCACAAATAGAACCACACACCTCAGGGATCTCACTTCTAACGTGCTGCTTATTACGGTTTTGTCTAATTAAAGACTTAAGTCCTGCAAACCAAACCTCTGTTTCAGCTTTGTCCTTGCAAATCTGTGTGAAGTGTGAACATGATCCCACATGTGATAATATTAAAAGAGAATAAGAAGGCAATCAAAGAAATTTTAATATGTTAATATAGTTTACTAACCAAATCAAGAGATCTATCTCCGTTGTGATATATGAGAGAAAATGACAAGTAATCCTTTTCTGGACGTAAATATCTCCTAAAAACAGCCTAAGTACGTATAAACAAATTAAAACAAGATGTGTGAGTTCCATGGAAATAAGATAGTTATTAACAAAGTAAGTTTTGGTAATAAGATAGTTAACAAAGTAAGATTTGGTTTACACTATACTCACAGTTCTTTGTCCAGGGAGAATTCTCGAAACTGTAGATAACTTCAAACCTTTTTCTTCTCCGTGTGAGAGCCAAAACAATGTTGCTTCATCCTGTTCAAGCGTACGTGGTAAGTTGTAACAAGTCAAACAAATCTTGATACACAAGAAATTCACTTATTAGAAATATTACCGGTGAAAGCCTGAATGAGCGAAATTTAGGCCTCCCTTTGCGGCTATACTTAAGTAACTGAGTTCCTTTTTTCAAAGCAATGAGTGCCTACAAAACAATGCACATATGTAATTGAGAAGAAAAGCTTTTGCATGTGAATTCAAAGAATGGGAAAAAAAGAAGAAAGAAGAAGAAGTTAGGAGAGAAACAAACTTGGTCGATGTCACGCTCGTGATTGACATAGCTAGAAGGATCTGCCATTCCATCTGAGAAAACCCGAAGGGAAAAAGCCGAAGAGAAAGGATAAGCTCAAGAAGCATCAGGTGGTTTGATTCACCTGTCTTCATAGATGCATTCGTCTTCAATTCCTTCTCCAACTTGATCCACTACTAAGCTCATTCAATCCCCTTATTGTTTCAAAAGTGTAAACACAATATTGATCTTTGAAACTAACCAATAAGAAAGATTAAGAAAAAAAAAAAAAAAGATGAGTTACGTTTGATCAGTGACAATAATGATCCTAGAAATCAGGAGAGTGGTTTAGAATAAACGTAAGAAAGAGAAAAGAGAGTTTCTAAAGGAAGATCGCCATTTTAGGAGTGTTTGAAGCTCTCATGCAAATAACCTCAGACTTTACCGCACTTCCCCTTCTCCATCCACATTTCTCTCTCAGCCTAATTCCTATTACTTATTTATTTTACATATATACTGTGTTATCACAATAAATACGAAAACACATACATTGGTGGGTGTTTTGGTGCTTGCAAATGTCTATATTTAGGAGTGGGATCGGTCACTACTACTCCCTTGGACTTCGAGTCACTGTTTTGGAACTAAGCCAGAATAACAAAACAATCTTGTATAATATAACAAGGTTTTTTTTTTTTCTTATGTTTTTTTTCTAACTTTTTCTCACTTTACGACATTTGGCGCTTTCTGTTGATAACATGTGTTATTTATTTTTTTCTCATTTTTATTTTTAACTATTGATTTTAAAATTTATGTCAACCTTAATTTATACTTAGGTAACAATTAAAAAAAAATATTATGAGTAAAATTATTATTTAGGATCCAAGATTCATTTGTATAAAGCAAAATATGTAACTAAATCTGTTTTTTGTTGATACACTTGACATATACATATAAAAGTAAGATCTCATATTGCATATGATATAAAATTGAACACACACACACACACACACACACACACACTATATATATATATATAAGATTTACTATCGCATAATTAAAACATCAACTTCACACAATTTTATTACATTTTTATTATTTTCCTTCTATCATTAAAATTAAGAAAGAACATGGTATTTTATAATAAAATGAATCATATTTATATATATAAACACAAAGATACAACAACTTTAATTATATATATTGAACACACATTTTCCTATAAAATTGAAAAAAAAAATTTCAATAAAACACATTGATCATATATATTTATCTAAACATTCTTTATATTTAACTTACACTTTAATAATTAATACTGAATATATATATTCAATTAGACCACGTTTAATCATATACATTCAACTCACACTTTAATATAAAAACAGAAATAATGTAAATTTGCATTAACGAAATTCTCCTACTCAATTTTAGTCAACACATAATAAATTAGAATTAACTCCCACAATTTTTCTTCTAAATTGTAACTCTCATTGCTTCTCATCTTATAAATACTCATTCTCTCATTCCCTCATACTCTTCCACTTTATCTCAAATCTTCTATAATTTTTTTTTGTTTTGTTGGTGGTTGTTTGTTGTTTGTTGGTGTATGAGATGAAAAATAAATTTAAATATTATTGTAAAAGTTTAATCTAAATTTTAATTTTAGACACTATATGATATATCTTTAAATTGTTTTCTTTTATAAAAGTTCTTCTCTATTGTCTATTTTAGACTATCATCTTATAAATAATCTCTCTCTCTCTCTCTCATTTTCTTTCACTATATTCATGTATCTTAAATAATTTTCTATCTTTGTGTTATTATATGGATTGAAAATCAATGAAAATATCATTTTTAGAATTTGATCTAAATTTATTTTATAAAGTATGATATATATATATATATATATATCTAACATAGTTTCAATTTTTTACTAATTCCTTTTTATACTTACTTTTTCATACTTAAGAGTATGAATGAAGCTCACATAGGAGGACGTAGATGAGATCCATTTATTTTATCTACCCTAAGTTAGATTTTTCTAGAGATACCAAACATAAAATTGATTTCTTAAGAGCAGTTCATGATTGTTGTTGTACATAAAATAGATAGATATCATCATTCATCTTCTTTGTTAATGTTGTTGTAAACTTCTTATGCCTTTTTAATACGGATTCATTTCTTTAGCTTTTATAGGAATGTAAATCTTTATGTTCGTTTTTAGATGGTTTCAATATTAATTTTATTCTTGAAAAATTCTACATAATTTTTTTTAATATATAAAAATGGATATCATCTACGTCGTCCTATGTGAGTTTTTTTCCAATCAGTTAGAATGAAAAATAACAAAGTTATGTTTGCTTTTGCTTTCTCTTTTTAGTGTTTACATAATCATAGTTTAAAAGCTCTTATAATCTAAATTAAAAAAGCTTTTCTAAATAAGTTATAAGAAAAATCATATATCTCAGGTGAAATCTTTTAATTTGACATGTTACAAAGTTTAACTTGATCTTTTTAAAATTCAAATTTACTTTTAACTAATGATAAAAAATAAGATGATAAACCAATACTCATAAAATAATGTGAGTTTTGTTTACATTTAATATTTACAATTTACGGGGAAAAAATTTAACAGAAATTAACAGTTTCCTACTATATTATGTGTGTGCTAATTTTGTATTACTTTGTTTATCTCATTCGGTTTCATATTTTTCAAATAATTTTTTGTTTTACTTTTACTGTTTATAATATACACAAAATATGTTTTATATTAACAATTGCTTATAAACTATATATAACTTAATGTAATTTTCAAATTCTATTTCAAATTAATATTTCATATATAACCCACTCATTGAGTGTACAATTTTCTAATTATATATAAGAATACACATATGTTTTATAAGTATGTCATACAATTTATGTGCATAAACATAAAATGCATGTTTATCTCAAATATTTTAGAAACTAAAAAAAACTATAGAAACTATAGTCACTACTGCTGCAATGCACATGGATCCATACGAAACTTTGTCCCACAGGCTACTTGGCTCCACTTCTTAACAAATAATTTACTAGCTTATATCCACCGTTCAAGAGCGAGTAGATGAAAATTTAAGAGGATGCATGATTCAAGATAGTTTTCATGATTAGTTTCTAAATTTTGTTTTCATTCCTCTATTTTTATAACATGCAAACCGTTTAAGTAAAAGCGGCATTAGTTGTAAAAACCGATTTTTCTAATAAATTTTACATTTTATTCAAAAACATAATATATAATAATAATAATAATAATAATAATAATAATATTATTAATAATAATAATAATAATAATAATAATAATAATAATAATAATAATAATAATAATAATATACTTCTTGATCGAAAATCGAAATATCAATCCGAATTTGAGCGAGATTTTAACAAGTAATATACTAATTATCCAATTTTATTATGCATCAGTAATTGAAGATGACCAGAAAAATTTGTGTAATAAACTTAACGCCGAGAATAAAACCAAACTTGTAAGCCAATATAGTTACAGTTTATCAGATTAACGTCCAAGACAAACATCAAGTAAACCTGATCTTATTCAAAACATATATAAACGTAAAAGATATGTTAAAAAAAGAAAAGAGATCAAGAACGAAACACTAAAGAAGGGAAAGAGCGGATAAACTTTCAATTCATCAAAATTTATAAATAAAAATTTTCTAAAACCCCATAAGAAGGGTTAACCTTTGGAGATGCCCTAAAGCAACTCATGGAGATGAGGAAGAATATATATGAAAAATTCTTTTTATTTTATTTTAATTGTTGTTCTAATCTTTGATTATTGTATTTACTATAGAACAACCAGAAAATAAACATAAATAAATGCTATTTCCTACGTAGCCAACTCCAAAAACCCTTACGTTTGCGAACTTGGACATTGGCTTCTTCACACACCTTGTCTGATTTGAAGTTGCATGTATGTCTATATGTATAATGGCCATGGTCAGAAATACTTTTAGACGCATTGCTGCAGTCGCTCTTTTGTTGGATTTCTTCTCCATATATTCCAACACCACATTGAACAATCTCATAGGCGTCAGAAGGGGTGCAGCTAAATTCGAACAATATCTCACTGTCGTCCACTTCAAAACATGTATCTCTGTCTAGCAAGTCATTGTGAAATAAGCAAAGATGTTCTGATTTTGTTCCAGGGGACTGTTCAGGTAAGCTAAAACAATGATAAACTTCGTTGATAACGTCACCATTTTTGCTTTTGAGACGACACGTTAAACTGATTAGCCTTCTCCCCGTAGTGATCAACCCGGTAGGGGAAATCACAATGCAAGCTTTAAATGTTGAGGATGCAGTAAAATGACTACCTCTCTCTGGATGGATTGTCAAGAAATTTCCTTTAGCTTGGTGATTGAACGTTTCAGGCACTTCTCTTCCTGGTAAAACTCTCAACCCTGAAAAGAAGGATTGTTGGATAATATCTCTTCTTGCTTCTTGGTTCAGTTTGAAGCAATTGGTGAAATTGTAGTTCACATGTGAACTGAAGCTTGTTGCACAAGTAACACTTTCGAGTGATTCACAATCACATGCATTTAACGACCTGAGCGAAAGAGGAAGTTGTGGTAGCGATTTAAGTTTTATACAGCCTCCTATATGAAGGAATCCTAGTGCATGAAGATCTTTGATCCAGTCTGGAATCTTCTCAATACCCGTACACCTTAGGTCTAGATACGTTAGACTTTGAGGGAGTTGTGTTAATACCTTAAAGTTTCCACTACCTCTTATAAGAAGAGTCGTAAGACGAGTGCAAAGCATTATTGATGTTGGCAGTTCTTCTACTACTGTGTCATCTATAACGAGTCTTGAGATGTGCTTAGATATACCTGGAAGACTTTTCAATTGTGAGCATCCATACATGTTGACGAAGTCAAGAGATGCCATGTTGATGAGAGTTGGAACAACTTCTAGCTTTGTGCAGTTGTGTATTATCAACGTTTGTAGTTTTCGAAGTTCTGAAAAAGAGGAAGGGATCTCTACCAAACTCTTGCAATGGCTCATTTCCAAGCTCTCGAGATTTGTAGCGTTTGAAAGATCTGGAAGTTCCTTTAAGTAAGAGGATCGTGTCAAATCCATTTTCTTGAGATTTGTGAGTGGCTGAGTGATAAAACACAAGCAAGGAAAAAACATCAGAACACAATGAGTAAAAAGTAACATATTCAAATATAAGAAAATAATGTAACCTGTGTTCCTTGCCAAAGCTTCTCAAGATGGCTCTCTTGTAGATCAAGTTCTACAAGATATTCCGGATGAAATGTAGTAGGAAGAGGATTTCTTGGGTATGCCTCCCAGCGTAGTAACCTTAGATGAGGTGGAAACTCCAAGTCCTCAGGTATGTCCACTCGATCATTTATAACATTTCTTGTATTATAAATACTTAGGAATCGAAGATTGCGCATTCTTTTGAAAGCTGCCTCACTTATAAAAACTTTGTTGATTTGAGATGTATCAAGGGATATGCCTAAAGTAGCTCTTGTATCCTAAAAGACACTCCAAATGAAGAATTTGTTAGCATAACACAACAGATAATGCTTTTTACATTCACCAAAGAATAACTTAAACTGAAGGAAAAAAAAAAACTTACTGTATCATTCTCTAAGGCATAACAAATCTCATGAGCATCTATTAAGATGTGCCGTTTCCAAGGCTCTTGTCTTTTAATTGCTTGTCTACCCACTTGCTGTAGCAACTTGTGCATTACTATTTCCCCACTGCTAGATTTATATATGAGTGATTTGTTGGTTAGGATTTTCAAACCGTTTTTGACATCGAAGTAACTGTCAGCGAGCATTGCCATCACACAATCATCTTTGTGGTAGTTGAAAAAGATCGCAATGTGGAGATATAGAGCTTGTTCTTCTTCATGTAAACTATCATACCCAACTCTAAGTGCTCCCTCGATATTTCGATCAATGCTATTTTCTAGCCGGTCTAATAGAGCTTCCCACTCATCCTCCCCCTTCCCACGTAAAGATGACCCCATGACACGTAAACCCAATGGAAGGTTATCAAAAATACTTGTTACTCTTTCTGTAAGTTTTGTAAAACCATCAGGAGGAGAGCTTTTCCTAAAAGCATATAAACAAAAGATCTCAAGAGCATTGTCTATAGATGGAAAACCCACATGGTAAGTATTGTTGATACCATGTTGCCTCAAAATCTCTTGATCTTCCGTGGTCACAACGATCCTACTTCCAGGTCCAAACCAACTAGTCTCATTAGCCAAAGCCTCTAGTTGCTTTAGATCATTCACATCATCAAGAATGATAAGCACCTTTTGGTCACATAGCCTTTCTTGTATAGCACCTAAATGGTGTACCATCATACCGTTTTGGTTTAAAATATTTGAAAGTAGCTGCTCTTGTAAACGCAGTTTCAAACCATACTCGTCAAGACAACTACTATAGCTTCCCCTAAGATTCTCCACAAAACAACTAAGCTGGAAACTACTAGAAAGTATACTATGTAAAGCTCTAGCAATGGTAGTCTTACCAATGCCTGCAGGGCCACATATTCCAACTATCATAGCTCCATCCTCATAATCTAAATCTAACAAATACTTCATTTCCTCCAAGTGTGCTTCAAGTCCAACCATATCGTCAAAATCTCTAGAGATTGTAGTGTTTAGTTTGTTTGAAATATCTCTAGTAATCTTTTCAATCATATTTGATTCATTGTCCCTAACAAGTGAGAAAAATAAAACAAAAATTGATATGAGAATAATTTCAAGAAAGTATAACAATCCTAAATTAATTAAAAGAATTAAAAAAAAAAAAAAAACAGACAAACCAGTTTTGAAAGTGTTCTCCAGCTATGTTTCCCACATGGTTCAAAGCTTGACTCCATCTTCGCTTCTTCTCTTTGTTACTTCGGGAACACGTTTCAGAGAAAGCCATCCCAAACTCTCCTGTCTGTTTCCGCACATCAGATGGATCTACTCCGTAGAAGACTGTCATCACGATCTGTCCCATAGCTTCTTTACACTCGATAATCTCCAACAACTCATCCAAGCACCAGCTCGAAGACGCATAGTTCTTCGATAGCAAGACGATTGAGATTCTTGATTCCCTGATGGCTTGTGTGAGAGCAGGTCCGATGGTATGGCTTCTCTCGATCCCTTGGTCATCAAACATCGTGATCCCATTGTAGTTAAACTGTTTACGTAAATGACTCAGAAATGTTTTACGGACGTTGGCTCCGTGGAAGCTTGCAAAGACGCGGTATCTCCAAGTGCGAGGCGAAGAAGAAGAAGAAGCCATGAGACAAAATAGCGAGAAAAGTTCAAGAATCAAGATCACATACACACAAATATTTCTCGATGTATACAAAGGAGAAATTGTAAAACGCTTATCCGTTATATTGACTTTTGACTTATTTAGAAAGAGAGATTTATATGGGTGATCATTTTAGTGACTAAATAGTTTGACTTTGACCATATAAATTCTAAACTATTGTAATGGAGGAACTTAATTTTATTTTGTTATTCAAAGAGTTTGCATATTAACAAATGCGTGAGCAATTATAAAATCTCTTAATTTATCGTTAGCGCAACTTTACTTGACTATCAGTACCGTTCGAGTTTATTAATTAGCGTCAATTGCAACTTTTGGACGCCCAATATTTTCCTTTTTGTCGGCTCATAAAAGAGAGATTTAAACTCATTTAGGTGTAACTTGTGAGAATTGGGATATCTATGTGACTCTTACTTAGATGAAATGCACTTTGGAAACCGAATTTGCATAGAACAATTACATGTTTTTGTTTGAGTGAGAGTAGTTTAACTTGTTGCCTAAGAAAATAATTACCCATGTTTTATCACTACGAAAAAAAAAAATGCAATCTTACCAAAAAAAAAAAAAAAAGGCAAGAACCCCTTTGGAAAGTGGAGGCTTGTAGTTTGCATAGAATAAAGATGTGCCATACATAACTTTTAATTGTTTTTCTATAATTTTCTAACAGATATTCAAATGAACATCTCAATGTTAAAAATGCTGGTGTAAACAAAATGAATTGAATTAAATTTGTTTACATTTTCTTACACAACGTTATTAACTTATTATAACTTTTTTTGTCATCCAAAATATATTAACGATGGATGAAATTACATAAGTTAGTCGAAAAAAACAGATTCCTGAAAATTAAGCCGGTATAAGAATATAAAAATCCCCTCCAAAATAATAGGTTTTAAAGAAGAAGACTATTTAGAAAATAATACAAATCAAAACCGCTAAAACTATTTTTTTTACCAATTAGATCTTAATTCTTTTCACTAGTATTTTCTTCGAATTAAAAATTGTTTTGATGTCAATGGAATCCACAAGCCTCATCCTTAAAACTAATTTTTTTACTAATTAGATCTTAATTCTTTTCAATAGTATTTTTCTCCGAATTAAAAATTGCTTTGATGTCAATGGAATCCACAAGCCTCATCCTTGAAACTAATGTAAGGCAGAAGTCATATAACTAAGAGTAGATAAATAATGTCGAAGACAAGTCTCAAAACAACAAATTGGTTGGTACATATGAGAAGGAATATAAAGCTATGGTTAATAAATTATAATCTTTTGGAATGTGCAGATAAATGCATAGTATGATTGATTGATTGGTTGTTGGTTAAAATAATAATTATTAGCTCAACAGTCCCATTCCAATAATTACACTTATTAGTCATTATCCAAATAAAAATTATGGGCCTTCCCTTGGTCGGATCTCTCACATGGGTCTCTTCACCTTCATGGAAACATTACTTTCATTTTCCATGTATCTTTTACAGAGCTTCAAAAACAACTCAGGTTCATACCATCTTTAAACACACTGTGAAGAACTTTAGTCAAAATATATATAAAATCTATATTCAGATTTATAACCTGAAGATATGCAAAACAATATGCTCTTTTTAAGCAAGAATCTAAGTTTTTATTTTCTTTTGCCATCCGGAGTAAGCTAAGAGAACTCACTTTTTGTTCCCTACTTTTTACCCAAAAGCAATGTTGTTTTAGTATTTTAATTAGGAAAATGAAAGAGCCTAGAAGGCTAGCTAGAACTAAAATATAAACCATTTCTTGACAATAATACACATTTGGCCAAACATATTTCAAGAAAAGAAAAAGAAAAAAAAAGGGTAAAGGGCTCTAGAATGGCTTCGTTGCGGCAAAAGAAGAAGCAACATCCAGCGAAGAGGGCATGGAAGAACTTCACGAACATGGTCAAGTCTAAATTTAGAGACATGGAGATCGCTTCATCGGTCAGAAACTCAACGGCTCGTGTCCTCAGGTTCATCTCTCGCCGTCTCATCGTTCCTTTCAGAACAAGGTACCTTCAAAACAATAGCTACACCACCGACAAATATCACTATAGCGGCAACGAAAGTTCTCGGCAGTTTCTCAATGCTTTCTCTCGCGATCGCACTAAACCAAAGCGTCGTCACTATGGATATGATGATGATTATTACTCTCAAATCTATCAATACCAAAGCCAAAGCCAAAGCAAACGCCAAAGCCAAAACCAAAGCCAAAGCCAAAACCAAAACCAAAGCCAAAGCCAATCACGTGGTGAGGGGACGAGTGGGAGCAAAGAGAGAGTTGTTGGGAAAAAGGAGGAGAAAAAAGAAGAAGACGAAGAAGGGATGCCGGAGATTGCTGATTCAATGGAAGATGCTTGGAGGAGAGTGGTGGCTGCGTCGCCGCATTTGCAGGTTGACGAGAGAGCCGACGAGTTCATCTACAAGTTTAGAGAAAGTATGAAGATGGAGAAAGAGAGGTCGTTTCTTGAATTCCAAGAAAGGTTAAAACGAAGTGCTTGAATTTGATCACACTCTTCCTGATTGTGTTTTCATTTTCTTCTTTAAATTTTCTATAAGAACTTTGTTTTCTCATTCTTTCTTCATTGTTTAAAAATTTTGGTGAATTCTCAAAAATGGTAACAAACTTTTTCACGTCATTTTTTTTTCCATGTAATGTGAATACATATGGTTCACCACTCTTGTTTTTTTTGTGAATGTATGAACATTCTTTTCTTCATAGATCATTTCATTACAATATAATATTTTTATTTTGGCAATTATTTTTATAATTCATATTAGAAAAGTAATATAGAAAGAAGCAAGAAAAGAGAAAGTACAACTAAGTTTGGACCCAGAAGAACAAATTCTATTTTAAGCTTCAATCAGAAATGATGAATCATGATGATACATGCCAACCAATTCCACTCTTACACATTCTTACAACTGCTTTCTTTCATCCATATTGTAATTGAAAAGGTGACTATAAACTGATATGATCATGTAGTTTTTCACCTTTTCTAGACACTGATTAAAATATTTGATAAAGCCCTCACTGCAACCTCATAATAATGGATGATGTAAAGCTGGCACATTAGTTCCTACTTCCTAGACTTACTTCGATCGGTTCTGTTCTGTTCTAGGATGCAAAAGAAAGGTTACACGCGGGATTTGTTTCTTACTGTGTCAAACGTCTTACATGAGTGTGCCATGCCCATACATATTCAAGTCCGGATCATCTTCATCTTCATAATCTGGTTCTGTAGATGGTCTGCTTCTCTTTGCCTCTCTGGCTATCGATTGTCCTCTCCCTTTCTTTGGCTTTCCCCTATAATTTCATTACATTGGTCAAACCAAAATCATGTATAGGACGGGTCAGGTCTAAACGAGGTAAAGGAAGGTTGGGAAACTAACTGTGCCGTCGACAAACCACCCTTTGATCGCCCTGGCCCCAATTCAGCTCTTCCATCTATATAATTCAGAGATAAAGCATGTAATAAACTGATTCATAATAGGCAAAAGTGAATTCAGCATAGGTGTAGCTGCAGGGCCTACCTTCTCTTCCAACACCAAGCTCTTCCGCCTGAATACAGACCAGGGTAGATCAACATACAAGTCTTAAAACTGCGGTTAACTCTAAGCTACCACTTGAAAACAAACACCTTTTTCACTAAAGAAGGCCAACCGACTTTCGAATAAAGAAGACAGAGTAATAAACTAACAAATGACAGTCGCAAGACAAAGACACAAAGGCATTTCACAGAACTCTAGCTCTTTCACATCATTGATTCATCTTTTACACTAGTTTGAATCTGCTTAGAGAAATCAGCCATTTAGTAATCAACCATATCTTAAGAAACTGTATTCTCAACCCAAACTACGTACTATAAAGGAAACAATTGGTTCTTTTGGCAGTGATTCGATCTCCCGCAAAAACAAGTGAAACAAGAAAAACCGTCTTTGCATCGAGAGAAAGTGAAAGAAACATACAGCAGGTGAAGTGACTGAGGACAATGAGAAGACTCTGTCTTCAGGCTGAAACTTCCTTGACCTCTTAGCACTGTAAAATGGGTTCATACCAAAACCAATCACTCTCTTTCCTCCACACAATAAACATACTAAACGCTGAGAAGTTACTACATTCTCTAAAGCAAAAGCAATCAATTTCAATAAACAGAATCAAATTTTCTACAAAATCAAAGAGAATGAGAGAGAGAGAGAGACCTAGCACTACTCTTGGAAGAAGACAAAAACCCTTCAAACCCTTTTAGAGCATTTCCTATATGGCTCGATTCTTGAAGATAGCTTGTCTCCAATTCATAAACCTATAAAGATTAGAAAATAAAAGAACCCAAGATTTGAGTATGGTCGATTCAACATTTGCGCGGTGCTAATTGAATCGAATAAACTCTAGAACATACAAATTCCCCTAACCTGTTTCTCGATGCTCCGTAACTCTTGGCGAAGCTTCTCTCGCTTGTTCAAAAGGGAAGTGAGCATCGTACCAGGATCCGTCGCACTCTTTTGCCCTAACGACATCTCTGGGAGCCACGAGATGGGGCTTTTGCTGTAATTCGACGCCTGATTTGAATCGACGATTTACGAAGGAGATGAAGAATGTCTGGGAATTGCGAATTGGGTCTCCAATGTTCCCCGATTTTTTTTTGTTTTTTTCTTTTAACTTTCCCCAAAAAAAATTATTACTCAACTATAGCAATTAACCAAATCGGCTACGGCCAAAAGTGTCTGCTTTGGTAAAAAAAGAATTAGCCAAACTGTTGGGCAGTGCATAGAACAAAACAGAAAGAAACAGAAGTATAGAGTGAACTCAAAGAAGGGAATGGCTCGGATGCTTTGGAGCAGTCATAGAGCCATCCGTATATTACTTGCAGCAATATGTATGTGCTAACATTTCACTAAGCACGAGATTGTTAAGAACTTACTAGCTCGCGGAAAGCGTAGGCATTAACTTAACTTATTAAGCGGATATTAGAATTTATCCCGTGGTCAACCACGGGTCAATTTACCCACATTAGATTCTCGGTTATTATATTAGAAAGTAATAATTTGTACTTGTATTATGTTAAAGCTGATTGTTTAGGTAAAAGTAATCGATTTATTTAGTTTACATAAAACACGAAATAAATGTCGAATAGTCTCTTTTTTATTGATCAGTGTATCGATGGTAAATACAGGAAACGAATCAATACACAACCAATCATGAGATGAACCCTAGTCGTGTGCTCGAGTCGATTGTTGTGGTCTCAATATTAAGTCTCTTGTCTTTCCTCCTTATTTTTTCTTGTTTTTTTCTTTTGTGAGGCCTTGTTTATTTATAAGGGATACTCAACCCTATTTATACACAATTCTTCTCATGCTTCTCTTTTAACTCTTCACATGTGCTTTTCACATAAGCTTGCACTTATCAATAGTTCGATGAATTGTTTTTTTTTTTTGAATAATCAAAGAGGTTCTGGGCCAAATCCCATACATCCCCTCAGGCCCGAAACCAAAGCATGTTATATGGTTTCGTCCCAAGCGCTACTCGAACCGGCGACCTCTAAGCTTCTGCCAGAGATCTTTACCAATTGATCTATTAGCACTTGGTGATGAATTGTTTTTACCCAACAACTTTCCCATCATTCTTCAACTTCTAATTCAAAATTTAGAGATCAGCATGATTGATTACTTGCAAGACAAACATATTTGCATGCATCATCTTTCCGCCTTGAACCAGCGTTCGCAAGGCTTAATTGGACATTGTTTTCATTTAACAACACAACGATATTCGTCGTTGGTAAAGAAATCTACTCTCAATCATATCAGTGCGTTTCTACCAGAGTTAATCGGATCAGCCGATAAGGTTTATCTAAAATGAAAAAAAAACGATTTGTTAGTAACATGTGCAAATCATTTCTTGTTACCGACTCTTAGAATAAAAAAAAAAGTCACTAGGTCGTTGTTTATAAGTTTCTTAGAATCAATGGATCGCTAGCTCGTTGTTTATAAATTTTCTGCTATGTCACATTATCAGTGTTAACTAGGCCCGGACCCGCGCTACAGCGCGGGGGAAAAGTGTCAGTTTTTGTTTTTTTTTTTCTGAATTACGTAAACTTTTAACTGTTAAAATGGATTGTTGGTGTTGAATTTGGCAAGTATGAGAATATGTTCTATCGTGTATGTGTACTTTGTCACGTATGCTAGGTTCAGATCCGCGCTACAACGCGAAAGAATATTTTCAGGTTTATTTTATTTTAACGTGTTTTGTCGTATGTGTTATTATTTCGTTCATTTTAGTATCAACAATTATTATTTCGAAACGTATATTTGGTTTCAATTCTTTGAGAAAAGTGTGTTTTCGGAAATTAAATATAATATTTTTATAAACTAAATAAAAGAATGTTTACTAAACAAATTGTATACTCACAATGTATACTCAGAATGTTTACAACCAATCAGGAAAAACCCGTGTATTTTTAAAAAAATCATGAAAATATATGATATTGAAAAATCATGAAAATCATGTATATACATGTATCACACAAGAACATATGAGTTTGAAAGATTTGTATATACTTGTATCCTATTAAAATAAAATAAAAATATTAATATACTTCATATTGAATAAGAGACCATAATATTCTTGTTATTCACATATTAAAATATTTAGAACATTTTAAGGAAAATTCAGAATTTCAGGTAATTTATTTAAACTAACTTATGGAATATATTCTTTATGACTGATTTTTTATTAGTAGTGATTCGATGATTAATAATTACAAAGATAAAATATTGTTATTAAAGTATTTTTAGTTAATTATAATAATTATCCTAAAATTTAATTATTTTTTTTGTATCCAAAATATTTCGTATTACTCATTGAAATATATTAATGATTGTCAAATTTCTGTTTTTTTTCAAAATTCAAATATAACCATTTTTAGATATATATGGATCTCTATAATTTCGCATTAATTATGCTAATGATAAAATATAATTCTTTTTTTTATAGGTAATTCAAATTGATAAAGATTGGAATAATTTTGAAACCTCTTTTCATATACTATTTTTTTCTTCTGATTAAAATCTTTCATTTAACATATTAGGAAATATAAAAAATAATAATAAAGATTTAATATATATAAAATCTTTCGGTTTTTATAAAATCTTTAATAAAATCTTTCATTTTTATAGCCATATATATTCAAATTTTATTTTTCGAAACATTTAACTAATTAACATTTTTATTGATTATATTACCATTATTTATGTATTTTAGATGCATTTTTATATTTGTTATACCAAATATTTTTAAATTATATTTTTCTATATATCAAATATTTAAACTTATAAAAAATTATAATTTTTTTTTGTTTTTTCATATAAGAAATTAATATAATAATTAGAATATTTTTAAAATATTGAGATCTTTATATTCATAAACAAATTTTCCTTATAAGACATATTTTTATTTAGCATTAATATAGTTTCCTAAATGATAGGAATCTGGTGTATATTATTAAAATATTTGAAAAATATTTAACAAAAAATTTGGCAAGTATCCGATTGAAAATTTAACCCGGAATTTTTTGAAAAACCCGACCCGAATACCTTGTGTACTTCTCTTTTACTATAGTAGGGATTAATAACACCGTATTATATTTGGAGACCAGAGCATCTTCGCTTATTATTTTGTAGGTTTGGGTAGTTGGGCTACAGGATCATGGTTGCCACATTATCCATTCCCAGCAAAATACAAATTTAGACTTTATTAGGAGACGACTTCAATCAAAGTCTTTAATTTACAACTTGATGAGTTAGTAAACCGGGTCATTTTTAATCTTTGTCTTGAATATTTCTCCTAATTATTTCTGACTAAAGAAAGTGTTTCCCTTAATTAATGGGAGACCACCATTATGAACATGGAGACATTAACGACATTTTAATATTAATTGGACAAACACTTACTGTCTCAATCTCGTCAACCTTTAGCAAGTCCTCTTGCATTACGGATCTTCTTCTTCCACTTGGTAAGTCTTTCTCCGCTCCCTCTTCAGGCAATGGTTGACTTTTTTTTTTTGTAGTCGGCGAACTTAGTAACTTAAATCTGTGTGATGATTTCAGGTTTGCGATGGACAGTTCTGAAGCAGATCTAGGTAGATTGGAGGCACAAATATCATCCGATGCGTCTTATGATCAACGAAAAGGAACATACCTTCCCATGAACATACTTGGTTCACAAGATTTCTCTCAAATTGGAGAAGACACGGCAGACACGGAACTTGTGCCAGAGTTCCTTACTAACCTTCGATTGTCGGATCTTTTCGCTCTCCCTGGTGAATATATTAAGATGACTCCGGAGATTTTCAGTGGAATAAGTGATGGGAACAAAGAATGTCTAAAGAAGTTGATAAGAGATGAAACGCCAATGTCATTGGCACGTCTCAGGAGCAGTAAAGGAGATTCAATTCTTCATCTTGCTGTTACATGGGGTCATCTAGAACTAGTGAAGGATATTGTCTCTCAATGTCCTAGCCTTCTATTGGAGCCAAACTCGAGCGGTCAAACACCACTTCATGTGGCGGCTTATGAAGGTCATACCGCTGTTGTTGAGGCTTTTGTTGCGTTGGTAACATTTGCTTCCGATAGACTATGTAATGAAGAGAGTGAGAGACTGAATCCATATATTCTCAAGGACGAAGATGGAAATACTGCTCTGCACTTGGCGATTGAAGGAAGGTATTTGGAGATGGCTACGTATCTGGTGAACGCGAACCATGATGCTCCTTTCCTTGGAAATAATGAGGGATTATCTTCCTTGTTTATGGCAGTAGCTCGTGGAGATGTATCCCTTGTGAAAGCAATTTTGAAAACTACTGGCAACGAGAACCTTGAAGGGAAGAAGTTTAACTTATATTCGAAGTTACAAGGGAAAAAATATCTTGCACATGCTGCTTTGATGGCCAAGAATAAAGGTTTGTTTTTCGCTTTAACCAGTAGCAGCTGCTTTTAGTCTGTTCCAATTATGTAAAACCAGTTTGTAAAAATTGTAAAGTCTACCTATGTATACTAATTGTTGTTCCCAAATCTTTGAACAGATGGCCTTGATTTTATTCTTGATGAATATCCAAGTCTTGTGGACGAGCGAGATGACTCTGGTATGACTTGTCTTGCACTCGGAGCATATGTAGGGTATTATGAAGGAGTATGCAACCTCTTACATCGGTCAAAGAAGAGTGTTTATGTCTGCGACCAAGATGGTTCTTTTCCAATTCATAGGGCTGCAAAGGAAGGTCATCAAGAAATTGTTGAAGAGTTTATAAAGCAGTGTCCAGATGCAAAACACCTACTTAACAAACTTGGTCAGAACGTTCTCCACGTTGCAGCAAAAAACGGAAAACATCGGGTTGCAAAATTGTTGATGGATAATGAAGATACGGAACATCTGGGTATTGGACAAGATGTGGACGGTAATACACCTTTGCACCTTGCCGTCATGAAGTGGCACTATAGATCCATCACTTTGCTTGCTAAGGGTACCAAGATACTGAAATTACGAAACAAAAGCGGCTTAACAGCTAGGGATATTGCTGAGTCAGAGCTGAAACCCAACTACATCTTTCAGGAGGTATGTCTTACAACACATTTGATCCAAAATATATGATTTACAACTTGACCCATTTTTTGGATTACAGAGGTGGACACTGGCGCTCTTGTTATACACTATTCACACAAGGGGTTTTGAATCTGTGGACTCATTAACAAGACCGGCAGAGCCACTAGACCCTAAGAATAACAGAGATTACGTCAACACGCTTCTACTGGTTGCGGCTCTTGTAGCCACAATGACGTTTGCTGCAGGTTTTACAATACCAGGTGGGTTTAATAGCTCTGCTCCACACTTGGGCAGGGCAACTTTGGCCAAAAACCCAACTCTCTGCATTTTTCTACTTCTGGACATCTTGGCAATGCAAAGTTCCGTAGCAACAATAGGTACTCTTATTTGGGCACAGTTGGGTGATCCACTACTCATCCGAAAATCTTTACATGTGGCCTTGCCCTTACTGCTTTTTTCTCTACTCTGCATGCCCTTGGCATTCCTTTTTGGCGTGCTCACTGCAGTAGGGCATGTGAAGTGGCTTTTGATAGTCATTTGCATTATATCCGTTTTATTCTTCCTTTGGGCGATCTTTATCCTTGGGCCTCACGTCATGCTTCAGCGGCCATACGTTTCTCCCAAGTATGCTGGTTACTTTCTCGTGACTTTTATGCAATATAAAGAGATTTTTAGCAATTTTGTGACTTTGATACATTTTATATTTTGTTGTGGTTGTTTAAGTTTTTAGACTATATATTTAAAGGCTTGCTTCGTATCATCGTATGCATAAAGCATCAACGGTTTCTTGTTTTTTTTTTTTTTGGTAAAAGGTTACAAAGCATCAAAATTATATTGATCAAAGTAGATTTTTGTTCTTTTCAAGCAACAGAGCTACAATATATGTAGTTTTCACTATGGTCCGATTCCCTTGATGGCTTGATCCACCAGCAGCCCTCACTCATTCATATTTTAGTAAGACTTGGATTCATGGCTTTGGTTTGTACAACTCGTTTAGTCTTTTCTTTGTTGATTCAATCTTACACACGTACAAAACAATGCATAACATTCATTGGTGGTCAAATATAACACCTTGGTTCCCTGTATTCAAGAATACGATCTATACAGCCTATTTCAAAGTCCAACAGCCCCAACTCCATCATGTGACTTTCCTATTATGATCACTTTCCTAGCTAGCTGGATAAGAGGACCTAGGCAAGTCCAGTTCTCACTCCAAAAGTTGCAAGATGTACCTGATCCCACTTCACATATGATAAACGGACTATTTGTCTGTGAAGCTGGTTATAATAAGGATCTATTTTTTTTATTATTATTCTTATTATTTTCTTAATAGGGATCTATTTTGTATCTCAGTTCAGAGCCCTCTCAAGTCTGAATCATTTAGTTGTGAAAATCTACTAATTGTTGTGCGGTTTAAATTAACCACTATCCAAAGGCAATGACTCTAACCGTTGTAAGCAAGACTTTAATACTCTAATATAATTTATTTAAAGACGAAAAACTGTTATATTATTTCATGTTTGTAAAACCATAAAAAATTATTTCTTTTGATAAAATCATGAGAATAAAACCCAATATAAATGAATTTTATTTAACAAATTGTTTTGTTAAAAAAAGACAAAAACATGGAATCATCTATCTATCAATATCTTCTATAACGAGAATTTTCTAACTAAATATAATCACAAAAATTTCTATATTTAAATGGATTAATTCAGAACTACATACTCTGCTTAAAAAGAACTAAAAAAATAATCAGTTTAATTTTCATGGCATAGAATGTTAATACTTGATTTTGTCCCCCCAAAACATAAAAAGAATGGTGAAGTGTCCTTAGTTTAGTGGCAATTGATAAGTCCACTGTTGGACGGACACCATCACATCAGGGATCCAATCCCGCTCCCTACATATTTGTAGGGATTTGGCTAATGGACAGGCCAATTGTGGTTCAATGTTGACAAAAAAAAAAAAAAAAATGTTAAGACTTGATTTAGTTCAATTTAAAGGCATAGAATGTAGGTAGATGCTACATCATACAGCTTATCATATCGTATAGCGTACTACATTAATGAACTTAAATTACATCACTAACTTGTTCTTTATTAGTTTCTGCTATCTCAGTCATATCTTCTTGGTGCTATGTTATACGAGCATCTTCACGTAAAACTCGCCTCAACTTGCTCTGTCAAATTATGCTGCTAGTTTGGGTAGCTGAGCTATACAATAGGGTCATGGCTGTCACTTTCTTTAAGAAAAATACAAGTTAAGACTTTATTGGGAGACGACATTTCAATCAAAGTCTTTAATTATCTATCTTATTATTTTTGCAACCTTTTTTTGACCCCCTTGGCTTAAAATTATTTTGCCGATATTTACCCTCAACGTCTAACTAATCTATCTATTTCATTAAGGTTAATTGTGACAATAATTATTTCGGGTCGGTTCATTGTATCTATTTACAACCCGATTGGGAAAGCCGGATAGTACAATACCTCCTTAGTTAACTTTTAAACATAATATTCAATACCTCCTCCGTATACGTCGCATACATTCCTTAAATCATAAATATATTAACGTCATTTTAGGAATAAATGTATTCGCGTCATCACCAAGAATAATAATATAGATAGAAGACTCAAAATGCACCGACTCACATTGGTTTATACTATGTTAACGTAGATCATTATTTCAGCTGATCTGTAAACTAATTTTAGATATGCTAGGCCAAAGCGTTAATATTGGGAAGATGCAAATGCATAAGTTGAACAAAAACCAAAAAATAATTTTGGTTTTGCATCTATATTATTATTTTTGAAGTACAAATTTGTGACCAACTTTTTCTTTCATTGTTTGCCACATAATATCCTTATATTTAGACTATTAACTAAATGTCATTAAAGTTAATAGTGTCATTAATTATGAGAGAATTAATTTTGTTAAGATTTCACAATCCATAAATGCATGAATTATGGATTATTAGTCCAATATACAATAATAACGATTTAATATCCTTCAAAACAATTAAACAAAATTAGGTAATATTTCCCTATATTACCGTAATGAATATGACTAATTAATGATAAAAATCAATTAAAACGAATTTAAAATAAATAAGAGAGAGGAAACGTAAGCTATTAAATGCCAACTTAACAATCCAAGCAAATTTAAAATTAGATAAATACATGAAATAGAAACTAAATGATTATAATTAACGAAAATTTAGTGTGATATTTCATATCTAACTTCTGTATATACTTAACTTTAATTCTCAATATGTATATATTTTCAAAGATATTTTGTTTGCTCAATAAACCATTTTAGATACGATATCAAACATAAACATAATTCTATCATCACAAAGAAACTCTATAAATAACACGTCTAGAATAACAAAATCAAACCCAATCATACGATGCTCTTTTTTGTCTTTTCTTTTCATACTATGCTCTTTGATACACTAGCAAACAAATTTTTACTGTTCATGCAAAATCAAATCTTACAAAGTTTTGATTTTTAAATCTGTTCATGCTTCCTATTTAATATTCAAATTCAGAAAGTTTAGAATATTGATTACATATTATAATGATTATTATGTTTGATTTGTGGAAAATTTTGCAGGAATAATAAGTGTGTCAAATCCTTTGTTGCTTCTCACGTTTTATAAAATGAAAAATGGATTTGAATGATTGTCTAACTTCTTTTAACCTTCATATATAAAGATTTCTATCTAATGGTTTTGCTCTCATGTTCCAGTGTCCTCGGGAATCCATCGTTTACTTATTGATTCTTTAACAGGTATTGATGTATTGTTTCTTCACAAAAATGTATACTTTCGTAAACTATTAGAAAACGTACATATTAGAAAACATTGTCTTTTGTGCTAATATGATATTAAAGATTAGAGTGGCAAGCCTCATGTGTAGTGATTCTAAAACTATGACTAAAATTAAGTCTTACGTTTGATCTTTTATATTAGTATAATATAATGTACGTTTATGCTAATATCATAGATCTGGTGAACTGTTTGTTATTTGATAGAATGGCTTCAATATAATTGAACAGCTTATTGATTTAATTCTTAGATTAAAACACGTGAAACCTATAACTACTGTGTAATAATACCTATTGTTAAAAAAAAAAAAAATACACAAACAGTTTGAAGAAAAGCACACATGAGACATGTAATATCATCATAATAACATATTGAGTACAGTTTGCTAACAAAATATACTAAAACGTACAAAAGTTATAAAAAAATTACTTAGTATTCGCACACATCAAAATTAAAACTACATGGATTAACGAACATATTAATATTACCAAACACTCTTAATATCAACTATTTAATCACTAATTTTTTAATCATGATACTTATCAACAAAATTACAAAAAATCGGAACATTACGAAAGTGTTTTCGTTTAATCAAAAGAAAAAAATGATTCACACAAATGTACCATATTCTTCGGAAAAAATGATTTACAATTAGACCGTAGGTATATGTAAATTCTGACGTTTAAAATTCTACATTAATTACTTTTTGCAAATACAACTATATTATAATTTAGTATTATAACACTATAACGTTTATATTAATCACTAAAGAAATTCAGTAATTTTATTACACAAAATCACAAATAGTACATATAAATTTTGAAAGAAAATTTATATTATAATACTATAACATTTATATTACACAAAATCACGAATACTATATAAAAATTTTGAAAGAAAATAGACCCTGGTAGATAAAAGTACGTTTTTGTTTAACAAAAAAGAAAGCAGGAAATTCCTTTTTCACTCTAACGCTGATACCTATCTAGCTATTTTCGATATATATAAACCACAAAAGATACATTGTTCATATTGGCAATCAAAAGACTATGTTAAACGAACTTTGTATATAACTGTACGTATTTAAAAATATAACTGTTAAAATTTTACATAACAAATACACATAAAATACTGCACACCACGGGGTAAAATCTAGTTATAACTTAATGAGTTAGTAATTAATCGGGTCATATTTTAATCTATGCCTTGAGGCTTGAGCATTTCTCCTAATTGTTTTTGAGTAAAGAACGACCTTCCCTTAATCTATAGGTCATTTTAGAGAAAGACTTTTCTTTCCAATCATAATGGCTCGACATTAAAGACTTTTAATATAAATGGACGAACTTTAGTGTCTCAATCTCGATCGTCAACCTTTAGCAAATCCTCTTACATTTATCACCTTCTTCACTCACACTTGGTAAGGCTTCAAGCTTGGTTGACTTCTTTTTGTTATGGTCGGGGAAGTTATGGTTAACTTAAATCTGTATACTTTGACTTGGTAAGGCTTCAAGCTTGGTTGACTTCTTAAGTTATGGAAAAAATATATTAACCCATTTAATATTTTGAGATAAATGAGTCTAAATGGTTTTAATTTTATATAAAGTATCTATTTATTCCTTCCCTTAATCTATATATATTTTCTATAACGAGAATTTTCTTACTAAATATAATCCCACAAAATTATATAGCTAAATGGATTAAAAAACTTCAGAACTACATACTCTACTTTAAAAAGAACTAAAAAAAATCAGTTTGATTTTCATGGCATAGAATTTAAAACTTGATTTTGTCCCCCCAAAAAAAAAAAAGAATATTATTCAATTTAAAGGCATAGAATGTAGGTAGAGGCTACAGCATACAGCTTATCCTATAGTATAGCGTACTACACTAATAAACTTGCGATGAACTTAAATTACATCACTAAACATAAACTTGTTCTTTATGAGTTTCTGGTATCTCAGTTATGTTATACGAGCATCTCCACATAAAACTCGCCTCAACTTGTTCCGTCAAATTATGCTGCTAGTTTGGGTAGCTGAGCTATACAATAGGGTCATATGGCTGTCACTTTCTATACGAAAAATACAAGTTAAGACTTTATTAGGAGACGACACTTCAATCAAAGTCTTTAATTATTATAACTTAATGAGTTAGTAATTAATCGGGTCATATTTTAAGCTATGCCTTGAGGCTTGAGCATTTCTCCTAATTATTTTTGAGTAAAGAACGACCTTCCGTTAATTTATAGGTGATTAGAGAACGACTTTTCCTTCCGATCAACATGGCTCGAGACATTAAAGACTTTTAATATATATGGACGAACTTACTGTCTCAATCTCGATCGTCAACCTTTAGCAAATCCTCTTGCAATTACTCACCTTCTTCACTCACTCGGTAAGTCTTTATGCAATGGTTGAATTTTTTTTGTTTATGGTCGGGGAAGTTATGATTAACTTAAATCTGTGTGTTTAATTTCAGGTTTTGCTATGGACAGTTCAGATGCGGATCTAGATAGAATTGAGGCACAAAGCTCAACGGATGTGTCTCATGATCAAGAGAACGGAACACACTTACCCATGGACGACATACTTGGTTCACAAGACTTCTCTCAAAGCGAAGGAGATGGCGCCACGCCTCTTACGGGAGACCGTGAAGTAGTAGTGCAACGGTTACTTGCTAGATTTAGATTGTCGGATACTCTCCCTGGTGAAGATGTCGAGATGACTCCGGAGACTTTTAGTGGAATAAGTGATGGGAACAAAGAATGTATGGAGAAGTTGGTAAGGGATGAAACCCCAATTGCACGTCTCAGGAGCAGTACAGGAGATTCGATTCTTCATCTTGCTGTTACATGGGGTCATCTAGAACTAGTAAAGGATATTGTCATTCAATTTCCACGCCTTCTATTAGCCAAAAATTCAAGCGGTCAGACACCACTTCATGTGGCTGCTCATGGGGGTTATACTCCTATTGTTAAGTTTTTCGTTGCATTGGTAGCATTAGCTTCATCAAGACTGTGCACCGAAGAGATTAAGACTCTGAATCCCTTTGTTCTCAAAGACGAAGATGGAAATACAGCTCTGCACTTGGCCATTGAAGGACTTTATTTCGAGGTGGCTGCATATCTGGTGAACGCGGACAAGGATGCTCCTTTACTTGGAAATAACAAGGGAGTTTCTTCCTTGTATATGGCAGTAGAGGCTGGAAGGATATCCCTTGTGAAAACAATTTTGAAAAATGCAGGCAACTTAGATTCGAAATTGCAAGGGAGAAAACATCTTGCACATGTTGCTTTGCAGGCCGGGAGTCTAGGTTTGTTTTTTTGCTTAAACTAGTAGCAGTTTATTCAAATTATGAAAAACGAGTTTGAGACGGTAACTTCCTCCGCAAAATAGAAAAATCTTCCTATGTATACTAATTGTTGTTCCGGCCAATTGTTTGAGCAGGTATCCTTGATGTTATTCTGAATGAATACCCAACTCTTGTAGACGAGCGAGATAGTGAAGGAAGGACGTGTCTGTCCTTCGGAGTATCCATAGAGTATTATGGAGGAGTACACAAGATCTTAAACCAATCACCAAAGAGTGTTTACGTCCGCAACAGTGATGGTTCATTTCCAATCCATACGGCTGCAGAGGTTGATAACTCAATACTTGTCAGAAAAATTTTAAAACGTTGTCCAGATTCAAAGTACCTGCTTAATAAACTTGGTCAGAACGTGCTTCACATTGGAGCAATGAGTGGGAGCTACTCGGTTACAAAATTCTTGATGAATAACAAAGATACGGAACATCTTGGTGTTGGGCAAGATATGAACGGGAATACACCATTGCACCTTGCCATCATGAACTGGCACTCTCAATGCATTACTTTTCTTGCCAAGAGTAGCAAGATACTAAATTTACGGAACAAAAGCGGTTTAAGAGCTAAGGATATTGCCGAGTTAGAACTGAAACCTAACTACATCTTTCAGGAGGTATGTCTGATTCCGTTTCCATGCAACAGATTTAATTCGTTTACATATAACTGACCCATTTTTTGAATGACAGAGGTGGACATTGGCTCTCTTATTATACACTATTCACACAAGGGGTTTCGAATCTGTAGACTCATTAACAAGACCGGCAGAGCCACTAGACCCTAAGAATAACAGAGATTACGTTACGTCAACACTCTTCTACTCGTTGCTGCTCTTGTCGCCACAATGACGTTTGCTGCAGGTTTTACAATACCAGGTGGATTTAACAGCTCTGCTCCACACTTGGGCAGGGCAACCTTGGCTAATAACCCAACCCTCTTCATTTTTCTGCTACTTGACATCTTGGCAATGCAATGTTCCGTAGCAACAATAGGTACTCTTATTTGGGCACAGTTGGGTGATCCAGCACTCATCCGCTCGTCCTTACATGCGGCCTTGCCCTTACTGCTTTTTGCTCTACTCTGCATGCCCTTGGCATTCCTTTTTGGCGTGGCCACTGCAGTTGGTCATGTGAAATGGCTTTTAGTCATCATTTGCATTATATCTGTTTTATTCTTCTTTTGGGCGATCTTTGTCCTTGGACCTTACGTCATGTTACAGCGCCCATCCGTTTCTCCCGAGCTCACTGGTGAATTTCTCGTGACTTTTATGCAGTACAAAGACATCTTTGAAGTTACTCTGATGGTCATAAAGTTTATATTTTGTTTGTTTTATATGCTATTTAAATGGTTAGGGAAGGTTATTGGCAGGATGATCTTTAAATTTAAATTTTTTTAGAATTTAAGATTTTATTGTTATCAGTTTTTGGATTATTATATTTTTAATAAAGTCTTCTGTTAAGTTGAATTTTTATTGATTTTGCAATTTTATCAAACTTATTGGGAACGTGATTTCCTACATTATTTTAATCATTAACAACAACTTTCAAGATTTACTCATCCCATGTATTTTAAAGTCTATCACATGACCACTACAAAATCATTGATTTTTTACCAAAACAAAACAAACAAAAATTATTAACCAAAATAAATTTAATAGTCATATATTCATCTTTATTTTTATTAAGAAAAAAAATTATATTTATTTATCATTGCAAATTATGAGAACTATTATATAGTTATTCTACCATAGTCGTGAAATGGCTTTTAGTCGTCATTTGCATTATATCTGGTTTATTCTTCTTTGTGGCGATCTTTGTCTTCGGCCCTCACGTCATGCTAAAGCGGTCATACATTTCTCCCAAGTACAGTGGTAAATTTCTCGTGACTTTTATGCGGTTTAAAGACATGTTTGAGTTTTCTGTGGAAGTGGTAAAGCGTTTATTTTGTTATACTTTGTAGCCTATTTAAAGGCATGGTTTGTATTTTTGTATTTGGTTTAGTGGATACAGATTTGCTTGTTTCTCAAATTCTAACCTTATTCAAGAAATTTAGATGAGGTGCGGATTGTTTCTTTTGTATTCTGATCGATTCCATTTCCCTTGAGCCACCAGCAGCTAGCTAGCTCTCTCATTCATAATTCAATATGATATGGATTAATCACTATGGTCTGTACAACTCGCATAGGTTTTTTTTTCTTCTTATTGACTCAGTTCAATCTCACACACGTAAAGATCAATGCATAGAACATTCTTTAGTAGTCAAACGTAACACATTTTCCGGATTCATGAACACGACATATACCGCTTATTTCAAAGTCCAACAGCCCCAACTCACCATGTCACTTTCCTATTATGACCACTTGATTAAATATATACCATCTATGGTCTATGGAACCTGAGACTAATAGGGGTTATGGGTAAGAATTAATGCGAGACGGTTCTCTAGGTAGATGAACTTCCAATGTTCTTGATCAATTGACTTTTCAAATCTGGAACAACTTTACTGACGTGATGTTGGGAGAAATGGTAACTAGGACGTTGCTTGGAACACACAAGTGGATAGAGAGAACTTGCAAAACCACCATCTCAAGCCAGTGGCGGATGCAGAAGTCATTTTTGCATGGGCGGGGCACAGTCTAAAGAAATTGGAATTTTTTTTTCTTTTTTTTGTTAGATATACATATACTACAACATTTAAATCTACAAGAATTATGAAAATGAGTAAGGGCAGATGCTCCCTCAAATTATGTTGCTGGTTTGGGTAGTTGGCTGTTGGGCTACAACAGTAAAACCGTAATTTATAGATAGATGATAAAACCCAATCCGGAAGCTTACCGCAAGCTCGGATATCTAAATAAAAGTAACACCAAAGATAAAGAGATAAATCATGAAGAGAAACGAGTGATTCATATCACAAACAAGGGGTCACGGTTTGTCCATTTCTCCCCCAACAAAAAGGCATACTAATTTTGACTATATTACGAGACGACTTGAAAGTCTTCTATTCTAATCAGTTAGTAACTGACGGGGTCATCTTTCAATATAACGTAAGATTTCATACGAAAGCTCTATGTATGTGTGGTGGATTGCAATTTTTTCATACAGACAAAACCTTATCATAAGTTACAGGAGACCACCACCACTACTACTTTTCGTGTTATGACTACAGACATCACAAAACTTTTCATATAAATAGACGAACGTACCATCCCATTCTCTTCAACCTTTAGCAAATTCTCCTCTTGCATTATACTCTTCTGCCGCTTGGTAAGTCTTTCTCTGCCCCTTCTTCATGTAATGATTGTTGGCACTTTTGTTTGTGGTGGGGAAGTTAGGAAATAGAATCTGTGTGTGTTTCAAACAATTTGTGTGTGAATATGTTTAGGTTTGAGATGGACAGTTCTAAAGCAAATCTAGGTAGGATTGAGGCACAAGTGTCAATGGATATGTCTTATGATGAAGAGACAGGAACAGTCTACAATGGCACAGGTACATGAGTCATAATAGGGATGTCAATTTAACCCCACAAATTCCAAATTTACAAAAAACCAATCAATTTACTTAATAAAGAAAACACAAAACTATTCTACTTGATTTTTTTTTGTGAAAACTTTAAAACTAATAACGAACTAATAATGATTAGGTAAAATATTTATCTGTTTTTTTTTAGAAAAAAAATTGCACAAGTTTTTTTCTTCCAATGTAATATTTATTTTTTCTATTGTAGAGAAATTTGAGAACTCTTCTTTTGATATTGCGTGTTTATTGGTGAAAAACTGATTAATATATTTTACATTTTTGATGTAATTTTATTTGCATACTTACATATTGTTATTTTCTTGTATTTCAATTTAAATTTATATAATTTTCTATTAACATGTTTTTACGTATTTAATTATATTTATTTTGTGTTTTTATCTTAAATTATAAATTTATAACTAAGTAACTATTCTGACATCCAGTTATAAAACTTTTTAGTTCAGCTACTATCTCAGAAAACACTTCGTTCACATGACTCCTTTCAAATCGGAGGAGGTGGCGCTGGGGACACTGAACCTCTGCCAAAGTTCCCTAATAAACTTATATTGTCGGAAATATTCACTCCCCCTGGTGAAGATGTCCAGATGACTCCAGAGACTTTTAGTGAAATAAGTGATGGGAGGAAACAAAGTTTGAGAAGCAATGGAACACCAATTTCACGTCTTAAGAGCTATGAAGGAGATTCAGTTCTTCATCTTGCAGCTGCATGGGGTCATTTAGAACTAGTGAAGGAGTTTGTCTCTGAATGTCCGTGCCTTCTGTTTCTGCCCAACTCCAGCGGTAAGACACCGCTTCATATGGCGGCTTCTGGTGGTCATACCGCTGTTGTTGAGACTTTTGTTGAGATGGTAACATTTGCTTCAGATAGATTGTGTACCGAAGAGAGTGAGAGAGAGATGCTGAATCTATACGTTCTCAAGGACAATGATGGAAACACTCCTCTGCACTACGCCATTGAAAAATACCATCGAGAGACGGCTCTAGTTCTGGTGAAGGCGAACAAGGATGCTGCTTTTCTTGGAAATAACAAAGAAGTTTCATCCTTGTATATGGCAGTACGAACTGGATGGTTAGACATTGTAAAAGCAATTTTGAGAATCACAAGCAAGGAGGACCTTGAACTAAAGAAGTTTAACTTTGATTCGAAGTTACAAGGGAAAAAATATCTTGCACATGCTGCCTTGGATGCCAAGAGCCTAGGTATGTTTTTTTTTGTACATGAATTAGTAACATGTACATTGATCAGTTTGTTCAAATTATATACGTCTTCCTCAAGATGGTACGTAAAGTCTTCTTCCTATGTATATTAATTGATTGTTTTTCCCAATTGTTTGAGCAGGTATCCTTGATTACCTTCTTCGTGAATATCCAAGTGTTATGGACGAGCGAGATAGTGAAGGAATGACTTGTCTTTCATACGCAGCATTCATAGGGTATTATGACGGAGTATGCAACCTGTTACACCGATCAACAAATATTGTTTATGTCTGCGACCAAGATGGTTATTTCCCAATTCATAGGGCAGCAGAGGAAGGTCATAAAAGAATTGTTGAAGAGTTTATAAAAGAGTATCCATGTTCAAAATACCTACTAAACAAACTTGGTCAGAACGTTCTCCACGTCGCAGCGAAAAATGGGAAACAAGAGGTTTCAATAATGTTGATGAATAATAAAGCTACGGAACATTTGGGTATTGGGCAAGATGTGGACGGGAATACACCTTTGCACCTTGCCGTCATGAAATGGCACTATAGATCCATTACTTTGCTTGCTAACGGTAACTATATACTAAAATTACGTAACAAAAGAGGCTTAACAGCTTGGGAAATCGCCGAGTCCGAGATGAAACCAAACTACATCTTTCGTGAGGTATGTCTGATTCCATTTGCATGCATACAACACATTTTGATCATAAATAAATAATTTATAGCTAGCTTGACACATTTTTTTGGATTACAGAGGTGGACGCTAGCACTTATATTATACCTTGCTCACTCAAAAGGTTGTACAAGTGTAAAGTCATTAACACAACCGTCAGAGCCAGACACTAAGAATAACAGAGACTACGTCAACTGTCTTCTAGTGGTAGCAGCTCTTGTAGCCACAGTGACGTTCGCTGCAGGTTTTACAATACCAGGTGGGTTCAACAGCCAAAAGCCAAACTTGGGCAGAGCAACTTTGGCCACTAATCCAACCCTATGGATTTTTATACTTTATAACATCTTGGCAATGCAAAGTTCGGTTGCAGCAATAGGTATTCTTATTTGGGCGCAGTTGGGTGATCCAGCACTCATTAGCTCATCTTTACATGTGGCCATGCTCTTACTGCTTTATTCTTTACTCTGCATGCCCTTGGCCTTTCTTTTTGGGGTGATCACTGAAATTGGGAATGTGAAATGGCTTATAGCCATCATTTGCATTATATCTGTTTTATTCTTCATGTTGGCCATCTTTGTCTTTGGCCCTCACGTCATGCTACAGCGAGACCGCGTTTCTCCCAAGTACACTGGTTACTTTCTCGTCACTTTTATGCAGTCTAAAGAGATTTTTCAGTTTTTTGTGGATTTGATAACCAAAATATTTTGTCATAATTACTAATTTTTTGTAGTCCATTCACATGAATATATCATCAAAGGAGATTTTTGTTCTCTTGTAAAAAGCAAAAAATTTTGGGTCGTTTCAGTTGAAAAAATATTATGTCGATTCAGTTGTTTTCGTTGGCTCTAGTTGCCACAACGTGGGTATACTCTAGCTCTTTCACAATTCGTAGGTTTAACATTTTGGTTTGCTTGCATCTGCTAGCTAGAGAAGTTAACCATACGTGGAAATATATTGACCATATTACTTAAGAAACTGTATCCTCTCAAACTCGAACTACTTATTATAAATTGAATCATTGGTTCTTTTGGCAGTGATGCGATTGCTAACCAACACAAGAAAAATATATATATATATATATATACTTCACAAATGAAGCGTATACGTGATAATGCGTTTTTTCTTTTGTGTGTGAGTATTTTAAAAAATGCATGCATGTGTGTTATCCACTCACCTATATAATTAGTTTGCTTGCAATGAATAAAAATATGCATGTAAATAAAAGATGAAACATATCCCTACGGACTTGTTGGTTCAGTTTAGTTCAAGGGAGCAGTCCCAACTCCCAAAGCAAGCTTTCAACATGTGGGTATCTCATCTTGATAGATTACCGACTAGCTAGACGGAGGCTGGCCTCTTGGTAACATCCCTACGGACTATTGCCTATACTTAAAAGGACGAGAGACCACTTGTTCATCTCATGTGAGTACACCGCTGAAATTTGAGACTTGTTCTTTCAATACTAATTGTATTTCACATGGGCCGATGGATCTTTCTTGGACTAGAAGCTGCTTATACCGTTGGCTCCGTCAAATCTTAGGAAGTTAGCAGTTCAAGCAACAATATTTCACTCTGTAAACGAAGGAACAACGTCCTTCACAAGTCACAACCACCAATCAACACGGTACCACTTTCAAGCTCATTGATCGTGAGATCTATTCAAGAAGAAATAGGAAGCACAATCTATTTAAGAAGAAAACAGGAAGCATTTTGGAAACTCAATGCTTCTTTGGATCAAATGATCTCTTGTTTTTTCTTCTGTGTAATTGATGCTTTGTTTTTTTTGGTAAGGATCAAAAACCATAGGTCTAAATTTTCTGTGTTTTCCTAAACGTTTCACTTTTAATTATATTTACATAAGTTTGCTACGTTGTTTAAAGATTGAAATAAGATACCACTAATAATGATGCCCTCTCTGTTTAAGGTGTTGTTAAACAAAGAGGTTCATTAGAAACTTGTCTTCAGGTTGTTGCCGCGGTGATAAGCAAGGACCAATAAACTTTTGCGAGGGCGAATCAGAGTTAGCATTCAGGGAGAATTGTCTTCTTGAATCTATACTAAACTTTAACAATTTAACATGATATGTATTGTTGCTATATTTTGTTTTTATAACAATTTCACTTTTTAAATCTATCACGTCAACACTTAAACTAGATAAACTCTAGACTTAAACTAAACATAAACTCTAGATTCTACTTATTTTAAAATTCAATCAAAATACAAATTGGTTTTAAGTAAGGTATCGTAGTTTATATATAGACTATAGTTGACGAAAAAAGGTAAAACTGAATTTTATAGTCATCGTGCGTTCCACATGAGTCGTTTTCAAGAGCAATAAAAATGTCACGAGACGATACTATACTTCACAAGAATTATTATTTTACGTCGTCGTTATAAAATTTTGTGAGTTGCGTTAGGGAACGACAAAAGACGACGTTACATTGGTTCCAAGAGGTAGATAAAAAAAACTTGGGGACCCTTTTTATTCCTTTCACTGTAACCACCACTGATCGATCGACCACAAAACATGGACTAGGTTAGGTCGTAGACTCTCTTCTTTTCATCGATGTTGATGTTTATACGATTTTGATGAGATTGGTTCTATATCAATCAATATATTGAATCATATCTCCAAGAATCTATCATCTCATTGTTCTTCCCTCGTGGATTTTATTATGTCAATCTTTTACTTAACAGCTTCACCAGATAAATCCTGGCTCATCTAATTAAACATATTATTCTTTGTTTACTTAACCCAAACTACGCAACACTTAAAACAAATTGATTAATGACTAGTGGGAATGACGTTGATTAATTATGTTTTAGCCCTTCTTAATTGTTGTTATTTATAGTTTTATAATGGCTCAATTTTTGTTTATATTTGTAGCTATAAATTTTTAGGTTTTAAAATATACATGCAATATCGTTATTAAATGTACATATCTTAACATATAATTCATCGGATTGGTAACATAATACGCATAATTTATCCGATGAATTTTATGTTAACATAGGTACAATTCAATAACAACGCAGTTTAAAGTGATACAACATAATGATAAAATAAAACATTCCAAATAAATTGAGAATAAAAATTATAAGATAATGATAATTTTGATAACTTTTTTTTGTGGTTGGTAAATGTTAAAACGACACAAAACTATCGCAGCGATATACAGATATCAATCCAACCATAATTTGGACATGGCTACGTCGTCTCCCCCATTAGAAGTTGATGAGAACTATATGAAACTCTTGTGTTTCACCAAGTTTTGTTTTTTCTAATTTTGATTCCTTCCTAGGTTGTGTAATTCTCAAGCTAATGCTCTTGCTCATCAAAACACCTATCAAGCGATTCTCTTGTAGACGTTTTTGCACCGGATTGGTTTTACCAACTTCCACTCAATACAAAAAGTTACTATCCACAAAAGAACAAATACAATGCAAATGCAATGCATACATATAAATGTGTTAATGAATTTTTATATTTTCTTCTCTTTCAATTACTTAAAAAAAGGTTAATTTTAAAACACGATTTGTCTTTTCCCGAATAAGGAATTTTTTAAGTGAAAGGAAAAAAATCGTTTCTTTTTTTTTATTTCCACTAATATCAAATCGGCGAATATTGTTCCCACCATTCTTATCTCCTTGTCGTCACTCACATTGTTTTTATTAATGGGATCCCTTTAATCTAATAATTCTTTACATATATATAATTTTTTCCAACATTGGCGTCTCCTCCGTTGAAGAAGCTTTCCTCACAATCTCAAATCTGTTCTGAGAGACTTCAAATGTATCCTTCTCTCGACGATGATTTCGTCTCTGATTTGTTTTGCTTCGATCAAAGGTTCTTCCTTTCTCACTCCCGTTTCCTCTGTTTCTCTCATGTCTTTGTCGATTCAGTTGTTTTTCGTTTGATTAATCGAATTCAATCCATTTTGCGAATTTCAAAATCGTATCTTTAAATATCCAGGCTTTGGTTTTTCTGATGTTCTATTCGATTTCTGTGAAAGGGTTTGTTTTTATTCCGCATTTCATGGAGAAAGTTTGTGTCTTTTGGTTGATGGTTTGACCAACCCTTATGTAAAGTTTCTTGTTTGGCCTAAGATTTGAATAGGAGATGTAACTCTGTAGACCTTTTTGTTATGTTAGTCTTATTGGTTAATTACTTTTATTGATGGATCTCTCTGTTCCATGACTCTTGCAGCAATGGAGCAGAACTTGATGATTACACACAGTTTGGTGTGAGTTTGCAGCCTAATCAAGAAGATACTTTCCCAGATTTTGGGTCATATGGTGTGAATTTGCAGCAGGAGCCAGGAGAAGTCTTTAGTATTGGAGCTCAATTGGATTTGTCGTCGTACAATGGTGTTTTGCCTCAAGAGCTAGAACGAGTAGGGAGAAAAGATTGTGGAGTTGTGCAGGAAGATGAAGTAGAGATTGATTCTGGATCATCTGGTGGAGCTGTTAAGCAAGAGCAGGAACATTTAGATGATGATTATGCGCGTAAGCGGTAAGTTTTGGAAAAAGGTCAAGACTTTTTGTGATCTGGTGGTAGTTGATTGTTTTTTATTGAATCTGTGATGGTTGTTTATAGGGCAAGGACTGGATCGTGTAGCAGAGGAGGAGGAGGAACCAAAGCGTGTCGTGAAAGATTGAGGAGGGAGAAGCTAAATGAGAGGTATGTTTAGAGCTTAGTCTATGTGTTCATTTTGATATTGTTTTGTGGATTAAGGTGTCTTAAGAAGAAAAAATTGGTTGGTTAGGTTCATGGATTTGAGCTCAGTTTTGGAGCCTGGGAGGACTCCGAAGACAGATAAACCGGCTATACTCGATGATGCGATACGTATCTTGAATCAACTTAGAGATGAAGCTCATAAGCTTGAAGAAACTAACCAAAAGCTTTTAGAGGAGATCAAGAGTCTCAAGGTTGGTTCATAACTTTCTCATGAACCAAGAATCTTAGTTCTATTGAAATGAGAGCAGATTTTCAAGTTTTACGTTTCTTTATAGGCGGAGAAGAACGAACTAAGGGAGGAAAAACTAGTGTTGAAGGCGGATAAGGAGAAGACGGAACAACAGTTGAAGTCAATGGTGGTTCCATCTTCAGGGTTCATGCCTCAGATTCCAGCCGCATTCAACCACAACAAAATGGCTGTTTACCCGAGCTACGGTTACATGCCAATGTGGCATTATATGCCTCAGTCGGTTCGTGACACATCTCGTGATCAAGAACTCAGGCCTCCTGCTGCCTAGACTCTCAATTGTTTTTTTGATACCCATAGGGAACTTAGAGAGATATCTGAATCACTTGGTTTAGGATTCTTCCGTAATGGCAAGTGTAAAAGTTTTACTCTTGGTCTTGGGTTGTATTTTTAAATAAAAATATAATTAACTCCTAAAGCTTGTGATTTCTTGTTTCTAGTAGATTTTATGCAAATACATAGACTTTAACAGAGTTCCGATTTTTTTTTTCTAATCTGAGTCTGTTCACATCTAATGCTTGAACCAGTCCCCCTCAGAGCAAAAATAAAATGCTCTCGTTGAGAGTCGAACTCAAGACCTCCCGCTTACTAAACGGGTGCTCTAACCAACTGAGCTACGAGAGCTTCTTGATATTTTATCTTCCCTGTGTAAATTAATATTCTACTATTCAGTGAGTAGAAGAACCTAATCAGTTAGATTGTGAAATAAGACGGAATAAGAACAGCAAATTCGAAATTAAAATGTGTCTCTCTAAAGAAGCATAAATATCTCTACAAAATGTATCATAAGCTTCATGAAATCAAGCAAAACGATATGCAAAGACATTGCCTTACAATGGCCTCATAGAATACAATCTTTAAACACATCCCGGATTCCAAAATGAAAATAAAATACAGACCCGAAAAAACCGATGAAACATCTGACTTTTTCAGTTTGCTTTTGCCTTTGGAGCCTTTTTCCTGAGTTGTCTACCGTGTCTCCTTGAGTTCTTCATTCCAATGAAGAAGAGCAGTGCTCCAAGGAGAGCCAAGCTCTGAAGAGTCAAAACACAATATAATAAGATCTCAGGTCTAGATCAAGATTTTTACAAATTCAGTATTGGCTATTGCTAGGCAATGATAACAAACAACAATCTATTATAAGATTTGCTAACCTGAGTAAATTTTGAAAATAATTGGCCGAATTCCTTTCTGTCGACATCATAGTTGTAGAAATCATACAATATCGGGGTTGCAAGGGCTTGATGCAGAAGCTGAAACAAGATTTCATAGAGTTAAACAGGGTTTTCTTCATGCAGGTAAACAACAATAAATTGAAAAGGAACAGTAGCTGTTACATACCAAGAGATAAGCTCCCAAGGTGCTGCCAAAGACGAACAAAAGTCCACCAATACCCTTCAAGGCTATGGCAGCAGCAACAAGAAGCTTCATCTGCAAACACAAGCAGATTTAACAAAACAAGGAAACTCAAAAACGTATTTGGTAAATGTTTCGTGGACAAAGAAGAAAAGAAATAAAGAAGCACGAACATCAACTGGTGGCAATTGCTGGCCAGTATGAGTTGTCAAGTGGTTTACAAAGGCATTGAACTTTGGTTTCAAAGATTTAGCTGATCGGCCACCATCCTCACCAAAATCATTGAACCTGCTCGAAGAAACAGGGGAAGAACAAAAGTCAAATTAAAGTATCTATGTGAATCAGATTACAATGCATCTCATATAACCAAGTGAAGAGAGAAAAGTACAGAACTACACATATTATCAACTGAGAGTATGAGACCATGAACAAAAAACAACCAAACAATACTACAATTGTGTAACTCAATACATGAAACTGGAAAGAGAATTGCAGATACGAGTTTCATTGGTTAAGTCAATGGAGTGACAAATCATAAGAAAGAACCTAACAATATTTGCTTAAATCAAAGGAAGGTTAGCTAAAGTAAACTACATTAGAGTTTGGACACATTCCAAGACTTACAATCATACCACCACCAACAAAGACCAACTCAACAAGCAACTTTTAACCCCCCCAACTAAACAGAGCAGTAAAGGAAGAAACTTTAGAAACCCAAAGCGCCAAAATTACAGAGATTGATAAATCAAACAATGGTCAACTTATGATCTAATAATCTATCACATCTATCAAATCCAAACCCCATCAAAGCACAGCAAGATCCACACTTTCTCTTCAATCTCCTCAGAAACCACCAAAACTAGCCCAAAACTCACACACTAATCTATAATCCGAGTTACCAAATTAAGAAATTAACCTAAATCCACGAACTAGATAATACTCTGCTCTAAGACAATGCAATATATCTCTTACAAGTAACCATTGAACTACAGATCCGACAATAGACAAAACAGCAGATCTAGAACAAAGGACTCTAGAAGAACAAAAAAAATTGCTTACTCATGCCAAGCGGAGAGAAGAAAGACGGAAACAAACAGAGCTCTACCAAGGAAAGAAACCAACTCCATTGAAGCTCTCTCTCTCTCTTTGCTTTCTCTTTACTTCTCCCGAATCAAAAAAACGCAGAAGACAAAAAGAAAGAGAAGAGTCAGATTTGGTTCCGTAAATCAAACGAAGATACCAATTTTGAAAATATTTAGAAATAAATTTGGGAAGGTCAAAAAGAGAGTATTGCTTCGTAGACCTACACGCGCGAGTACGATTAACGTGGTTTTTATACTCGCTACTTCGTTGGGAAGTAAATGCCACGTAGGATACTTTACACGTGGTTTAGCCAATGAGGTTGTTCCTGAAGTCCGAGTCATTTGAAAGTATTTGGCTTCTGATGGAGAAAGCAAGCAATGCAGATATAATAGTTTGAACACTAAAAAAAAATATATGTTGAATAGAGAAAATAAATCAAATATATATCAATTATAAAAAAAAATTGACGGTATAGATTTTTTTATATATTTGAAATCATAATAATGATGAACTGAAATTGTTTTATTAAATATGTAATGTTATCACATCAAAATATTTATATCATATAATAACATTATGTTATATGTATGTGGTGTAGACTAATCATGAAAATAAAATTAATAAGTACAATTTTTATGGTGCATTAAATCAATAAACTATGGTAATAAATAATAAAGAAATATTTATCAGAAAACTTTGAATAATGTAGTAAAAAACATATTTAAACAAATAATTATAAGAAAACTTAGAATGAGTTTTTTATAATAATTTTGTGATTTAAATATTATATTAATTTTATGAACTTAAGTTGTTTTATTTAAATTTTTAACAAATAAATTTTAAATTAATATATTAAATATTTATGAATTTTATTATTACAGCAGTATTTAAATTAATTATTAAATTAAAAAGCAGTTCAGATTTGATACGCATTAAAAATGAAGTGCATAATTTTTCCTATGTATATTTGATCTGCTAGCAGTTCATCTGCAATTTTTTTTTTCTGAAAGTCATTTAATTATGAATGGAGGAAAAATGCAGTTCTCATGTCGTATGTATCAACAACTTTTTATTTGTCCCTCCATTCAAGGCTTCTAAGTCGGCAACCAATAAAACGCTACTCATTGATACTATTAACGTTTATGCACCTTTTTAATACATGGAACAACTCTTTCTTTCTTGTACTGTTGTACATTGTACATCTTGAATATTAAGTGAAATGTTAGAGACATTTTTTGTTAATCAACTTGGTGTTCTCAACTGCAATTAAGTTTTTGAATCTAGAGAAAAAAAAGGTGAACAAAAAAAAAAGAACTATGCGTTGTTTTCATAATTTGTTTTCATAATAGTAGTGAGTACTATGCAAACATTAGATAAGAAAGAACATGGTAAACATAAATCGAGAACTAACATAATTTTTCTTTTGTTTAACATATTTAGTCTTAATTTAATTAAAGCAGAAAAAAAAAAACAGATTGAGCACTAGTTATAAGATAGAATTAATCAAATGATTACAACATATATTCTTTACTTGCATTAACCTTTATTTAGGCGGCATGGTATCAACTTTTGTTCTCAATACAATTAACACTATCTTTCACTTTGCCGATTTAAACGTCATTTACCTTTACATTCAGTTGTACTTTTAAGTAATTTTTCTTCCCAATATTATTTATCCTCATTGTTAGTATTTTCAATTTCTTTCAGATTTGAATGACATTCTTAACTTTTGACGATGATGGTGAAGGGGTGGGAACAATTATTGAGAATGTTAGGACTAGTATGGAAATAAGCATTAATAAAAGATGGTAATGTTATAATTCTTAGATCATATGATTTGATTATGGATATTTATGAGTTTATGGTACATGTATTATTTTAAATTATTATCTATTTTTCATTTAAATGAGAATCTGATATATGTAAATGTCCATTTTTAGTGCATCTGTGATTTCCAAGAAAGAGTTCAAAGATTAGAGGAGATGAAGAAGAGAAAGAATTTGATTAGTCCTCAATCAATAGATTAGTAACATTAGTTGGGACGTTGAATTTAAGAAGATTATATGACATTTAATAATTCAAAATATTTACCAAGGTTATTTAGACATTATAGTTATGCATGACATCTAAAAGATTGACTTTAACCTATAGAAATGTGTCATAATTGATATTTATTTTGCAATTGTGAGCATGTCCTACAAGATTCTAGAGAAAATTGGTTTGATGCTAACTAGACGGAAAGAGGTTATATGACGGCTTACAACAAGAAAACTTACCATAATACAAGTAACCTAACCATAATACATGGCACGAGACGAGTAGAATGTATTTTCTCTTTTAGTATATGTGGCCTTGAGATGTGTAACTTGAAAATATGTTCTCAAGATCAAATAGTCAAAATTCACCAACAATATTTAAGAGTTCTCCAATTAGCAAGATTAAAGTTAAAAATTAAAATAAAGATCTGGTCCTAAGAGCAAGATTTAAGAGCTACCAATATTTTAGTACTAAAATTCTATCAGTACTTCAATTTTTGGTTCTTAATTAAGAGACTATCCTTAGCTTTTTGGCTCAATTTTTCACCTTTTATCTTTTAAGATTATCCTAAGAGATCATCAGATCGTGTAAACCATGTTTTCTTTTGACAACATCTTATCATTTTTTCTTTAAATTATTCTTATATTAAAATAATGTAAAATTTCTGTAAATGATTCTTGTATTAAAATAATATAAAAGCTGTATTATTTTATTGCAACATCCCATATAACAATATTAAAATAACCAAGTCTATTAGAGCATTTTTATCGCCACAAGTCTCTCTTTTGTACCCCTCTTCACTCTCTTTCTTCCGAACAAATTTAAACATGAATTATGGTTCATTTTCTTTAGTTCTCTTTTTTTTTTTGATAAAATATTGCCTAGACTCTAAGTAAAATATTATTAGACATTTATTTGCTCCTCAATTTGAAGGTTCACTTGTAGTATTGAAAGCAGGGTCAAATCAGGTTGGTATACGAGCTCATCTACATTCAGAATTTATAATCTAGAAACCGCATAGTTTAAGCTGATGAACTTCTAATTATTTGGCTCATATTTGAGCCGTTCTGCAATATTTTGGGTGTTTGCACAGTCGAAATGCTGAGGTACGAACACAACTACGTTGCTTTGGTAATAGTAGTGGGTGTTGCCAGTTCTATTGTTAAACCATTGAAGAAACTAGACCATAATGCATGCATATATACCTTAAGCGGCCTAATTTCTTTCTTCTTATTTCCTCATAGTCTCTTTATGGGTCTCTAGTCTCTACCAGTACAGTACCACATACGGGTAAAAAAAGCTAAAAATGTTGTATTCTGTGTTATACTTAAGTCTGTTTATGTTCATAAGTAAAATAACACAAGTTTTTCTACGATTAATTAGTAACAATGATTTTGTCTTTTCCTTAGAAAACTTTTTTCCTATTTTGTATATATTCTAAAGAATGAATTTAGAAAATTACAGTAAATAGAAATAGTTTCCAAACTGACCAGCTTATGACTATGACAAGACACACATCAGCTAGGCGTTCTAGAAAACATAGCGACGAGACAGACCAAAACAGCACTATTTATGCCAAAACAGCACTGATTCGAGAAAAGCAGACCAAATAAAACAGCACTGTCTCTCCTTCTCCGATATATAACCATTTCAAACCCAAGCTAAACCAACTCCAAATTTCCGGTTATCTCGAATTCTCTTCATTTCATACCTCTAAAACCGAATCCTGATAATTTCCGGTTCCAAATTTAAAAACCAATCCTAAAGAACAACAAATCCAAACAACACTGAAACAAGCCAAACATTGAACATGTTTATTATATCCTGTGATCATCAAAACATATGTAATTTTCGTTTAAACCAAACACTCAGTCTCAAAGAGAGGCTTTACAGCTTCGGAATCGCAAAGACTCTAGCCTCTATACCAAGAATCCCACAAAGCTCCGGATACAAACTCTTCCTTATCGAAGCATACACCTCACCACTCCACTTCTTCGCCGCCAGTTTCTCACCAAGGCGCACACTAGCCTCCACAACACCTTCCGCACTATCATACGCTGCAGTGTCAACGATCCCCAAACCCACCGCTTCTTCTCCTCTAATCTTCTTCCCACTCAACAACAGCTCTCTCCTCGCCGCGCTCGTCCCGACCTTAGCCCTAACCAACGCCGAGAAATACTCCGGCATCGAAAGCCCGATGTCAACCTCGCTCATGTACAGAACCCCACGGTCTTTCCTCATGAACACGTAATCGTGGCTTAAAGCCAGAATCAGTCCCGCGGCGGCGGCGTGGCCGTTAAGGGCGGCGATCGTCGGCATAGGGAGATCGAGAAGCGCTGAAACAACCGGTTTGAAGGATTCGACCATCTGGTGAAGCCGGTTTGCAGCTCCGGTTTTGGATCCGGCGGTTTGAGCCCAGGCGAGATCGAAACCGTTGGAGAAGAATTTGCCGTGTGCGGTGGTGATGAGCACGGATCCTCGTTTGGACTGAGATTTGGCTTGAGCGAGGAGGGAGAGAATGGTGGCGATTGTGTCGGGGTGGAATCTGTGTTCGCCGTCTCCGGTTAGGGTTAGGAGGAAGAGATCGCCGCGCTTCTCTAACGTACACATGGTGATGATCGGAGGGAAGAAGAGGATTGTGAATAATGATGAGAGTGAAGATTGAAATTGAAATGTGTGAATTATATTTTGTTGATGTTGAATTGTGTAACGAAGAGATCTTATCTTGATTGGTATATAAATCCTGTATTTGTAAAGGCCCATGGGCCGGCTTGTACCATTCAATCTCTTTTTTCTTGGTCAAACTTAATTTCATAAAGATTTACTTCCAAAGGAATAAATCATAATGTTTGACCAAAAAAAAAGGAATAAATCATAATTAGTTGACCAAAATAAAAAGAATAAATCAGAGTTTACACTTTACATTAAACCGAATTAAACTAACAAAATAATAATATATCGATTTATTTTATTGAATATTATAACAGTATAATAACTATTGTAACTATTGATATCTGATTTTAAGTGGGATTAATTCTATTTGGGAGAAACTAAATTAGACACATACGATTTAGTTTCCAATACTAGAACATGGCCATGTCAATATAATTTCAACTTACTAGAAATAACAATACTATTTTTTAAAAGATACGAAGTTCTATTTTTTTTTATTTTGGTCACAAACTAATTAAGAAACGTAGTTTATAAGAAATTAATAGACATTGACTTTTGTCGGGCATTAGTCAATTTTCGAACATTAGTCTCCCAACGAGACAATGAATGTTTCGAGAGTCTTAAAGAAGTCTAGAGATTGTTAGTTGCCAAGTTGTTGCCCGTTAAGTTCAGCATCCGACAAAGCTCTGGATACAAACTCTTCCTAATGGATGCATACACCTCACCGTTCCATTTCTTAGCTGCCAAGCTTTCCCCTAGGCTCATTGTTGCCTCCACCACACCTTCCGCACTATCATGCGCCGCCGAGTCCACGATCCCAAGAGCCACGGCTTCTTCTCCTTTTAGCTTCTTCCCGCTCAGCAACAGCTCTCGCCTCGCGATACCTGAACCAACCTTAGCCACGACCAATCCAGAGAAGTAGTCTGGCAGCGGCAGACCAATGTCCACCTCGCTCATGTATAGAACCCCACGGTCTTTCCTCATGAAAACGTAGTCGTGGCTCAGCGCAAACATCAGCCCCGAGGCGGCCGCGTGGCCGTTTAATGCGGCTATCGTTGGCATGGGGAGATCAAGAAGCGCTGCAATCACGGGCTTGAAAGATTTAACCATTTGGTGCATCCGTTGTATGGCTCCGGCTCCAGCTGATTGAGCCCATGCAAGATCAAAGCCGTTGGAGAAGAATTTCCCATGGCCGGTCGTGATGAGGACAGATCCCTTTGTGGACTGAGATTTGGCTTGTTCGAGAAGCGAGAGAACGGATGCGATTGTGTCCGGGTGGAATCTGTGCTCGTCGTCGCCTGTTAGGGTTAGGAGAAAGAGATCGCCACGCTTTTCTAACGTACACATGGTGCCGTAAGGTAAGGATTTAGAAGTTAGGTGGTACAAAACTTATCAGCTGTAGAAGAAGTAAGAGTGAAGTTGAGTAATTAATAAGGGAGGTGGGAACAAAGAAGACACCCAACATGTACATTTATGAAACATGTTTTGCCACTAAAGTCTTTAAATTTGGTAATCTTCCCAACCATTTTGGTCCAGCGTCACCATGTTATTATTTAATGCCGATGAGACGATGTGTACATATGCAGGAATGTGTCATTTTCTTGCTTAAAATTAAAGATATAGATGGCTAACAATTTTCAGTGTGGTTCAACACTTAAACTAGAAGAGTATGATTTATCTATATAACTAGTTTGGTATGAACACAATCTATGAATTTTATTTTCAAGTATGATTATATATTTGGCATGAGTTGATGGACAGACTCTTAAGAGACCAACTTGATTGGTTAAATTAGTTCACTAACTCTAATTAAGTACATGTGGAAATAACTGTCGGTAGATCAGTCCACCAACTTTTCTATTAAATATACACACACTACATAAGGACAAATACACAGTTTCTATAAATCTAGATTGGATCAGTCGGTACCTATTGAATGCTATCAAATTAAACCAGACCTTTAATGTCTTCATGTCAAATTTAAGTGGAAAAAGATGGGCAGACATAATTGATAAAATGAAATCCATGCTTTCGATATTTAAGTTTTGGAAGTTTATTTTTCTTTTGAATAACAATATGACTAGAGATATAAGCTGGACCACTAAACTAGTCGGCCCGACCCGGCATTGATGAACATTAATTTTTTGGGATTAAATTTTAAAACTTGTTTCAGTCCGTACCCGGTCTTTTAGCGACTTAAAGTCATTATATCTAATTTTAGTATATGCCGCATCGTAGGTGCTCAGATTTCCTTGCGAAAAAAGCAAAAAGTCGTGGAGAAAAATTCTCTTTCACAAGTATATTGGCTCCGTCATGGCTCTCCCCAAAGGAGAGTTTATTTCCGATTAACTTGTAATTTGAATATCATGATGACAAAAAGAAAAAAAAGGTTAGTATGGGATCGATTCATCATATACATATTCGACTTCACCCATGATACAAAATCCAATAGACCATGTGTACGAGCTGATGCCCGCACATTGGCTTCACTCTCTCGTACGTGTTGAACATATTCTAGTGATTTCATATAATTAGGCTATGGACCATATGTGAGTGTATATGTAGTCATGTAGACTCGTTCGCATATATAGATGATTCAAAAACATCTAGATATGTATAAAACTTACACAATTGGAATATACACGTTTTGGGAAAATTCAAAAAGAACGTTAACAAACAAACAACAAAATAAGATAAAATTCGAAAAGAATTTGGTCAAAGAGTATTTCCAAAAGAAACAAAATAAAAGAAAGAAAGACAAAACAGCTAAATTTTCTAACTTCAACTCTTTGACCACACCCAAGCGTGTAGCCGTGTACCTAGTTAGTCAACATGTTATAAGTCGTGTACTCGTGTCCCCTCACCTTATATATACCACAATCTACATAAAACATCAGACATCACACACCAACATCAACACAATAATTGGTCTTCTCATCACTTCTCAGACACACAACAAGTTCAGAAATCTAATCTCCATGGCGTCCACGATGCAAAGAACAAACAGCACCGCTATTGTAAACGAGCAGCAACGTAGCCAGCTACAAACAAGACAAGGTCCGTCTTTAGTGATCAAACCAGTGTCGCTTACTAACTGGAACATAACTATCCCTCTTCTGTCACCGGTTGATACTTCCCCAACATCATCCTTCGACCAATCCCATGTTCCTACCCCGCAGAACAAGACTGAGAAACCGGAAGAAGATGAGGCGATCAAGAAGACGCCAGTTTTCAAGAAATGGAAACATCCAGCGTCGCCGGTCTCCTACGAGCCCACGACGTTTGTCCTACCGTTCATCTCGGTTTAAGCGGCCAGCAAGCCGCCCGACCACATGTGAAAGCTCGTTCGTGTAACAACAACACGCGTTTTAAACTATTTTTTTTGTAAAAAAATCTAACAACTCATAGTTTTCTTGATCGTCTTTTTAAGTTACACAAAGGACTAATGAATAATGTTACATTTAAGCATATGTCTAAAGATTATTTTGTTTTCATCGACACTGTCTGTGAATTTACTAATTATATATGTATCGGTTGCTCAATCCTTTTCTTGTTTTGAACGTTTAAAGATGATTAATTTGAATCACACAATAATTATATAAGTCTCATTCAACGACTAGTATAAAATAATATTTGGTTGGACCATCAATTTCATTATCTTAATACAGAATCAAATTTGTCGACCAAAAAAAAAAATACAGAATCAAATTTAATTAGCCATATGGGCCGGACAAAGCCCAATAAGTTCTCTCCCTTTCGTCTCTTCTTCTTGGGACTTGTAACAGTATGAACTTTCGTACGTTTCTCGCAATCAAAATAGTGTCTGGAATTGGATCAAAATCGAGAAACCCTGCGCAATGCTCTAAATCCTCTGTGATGATGAGTTCTCCGTAAGAGAGTAGAAGCGAAGAAGAATCAAATGATGGCTCGAGATATGAATTATCGAAGGTTTGATTTGATCTATTGATCTCTTCCCTCTTCATCCTTTTGAATTTTCGTTCAGATCTCTTCAGATTCTTTCGTTTTTGAAAACACCGACACTCGAATTCGTAATATAGAGTTCGAATTAAAGTTTTGGAGTGTTAATTTTTGGGAAAAAATGGATCTGATTAAGAAGTTATATGCAGGGAGAATCGTGCTTCGAGATCGTCTCTATTTGATGGGCTTGATGGACTTGAAGAAGGTAGATTGAGAGCTTCATCTTCGTATTCTCATGACGAACGTGATAATGATGAAGCTTTGGAGAGTCTGCAGGACAGAGTTTCGTTTCTTAAGAGAGTATGTTTCTTTCATCATCTCTAGAATTTAAAAGAGTCAATGATCATTACAAGTTAAGGATTTAGATATGTTGAGCAACACTATGTGATTTCTTGATTAGTGGGTTTGGCTTTGGCTGCACTGATCTGGCTTGTTTGCGTGAGAACATTCCCTAAAGCATTGCTAGTATAGAGCCAGTTCAATCGTTTTTATTTCTCTTGGCTCGACGAACTTTGAGAGATGATCTAATGCTTTCGGTAATAGTCGTAAAGACAATGCCTTTTTGATGCTATCCTCTTCCTAGTCTTGTTTGATCTAGGTTGCTTGAGATGTAAGTTGGGAACAATGTCTTCTTAGTACGTTTTGAGTCTAGTCTTGCAAAGACTACACCTTTATTGAATCTTGTGGAGGCAGAATCGAACTCTAATGCTTTTTTTTGAAAAGAGTCTAGCCGTTAAAACAATCCCATTTTGTTTTTACGTATTCGATGTTTTCTGTTTTCTACGATTGTCAGATTTAGCTTGCCTGAGATGTAAGTTAGTAATAATGTAATATCTTATCAGGTGACTGGAGACATACATGAAGAAGTTGAGAATCATAACCGCTTGCTTGACAAAGTGGTAGGCTGAAGTTTGATTTCCATATATTTCAATTTGTTAATCTATGTCACATACTATTTGTCTAAGCTGTTTTGTTTTCATATGTCCAGGGGAACAAAATGGACTCCGCGAGGGGAATAATGTCAGGAACGATTAACCGATTCAAGTTGGTTTGTAAATAGACACTCTGCCTTTTGTGTATCTCCCCTTTTTGTTTTGGTTATCAAACTTATATCTGAATGAAACTCGATTTTAACACCGACAGGTCTTTGAGAAGAAGTCTAATCGAAAAAGTTGCAAACTCATTGCGTATTTTGTAGTCCTGTTCTTGGTTATGTACTACCTTATTAGGTAAAGTGCACTGCTTCATATAATGAGCCGAAAACTTTGACTTGTGACAGATACATTTGAACTCTCTAGTTCAAGTCCCAAAGAAAGAGTTCTTATATATGCTAATGTCTTTTTGCAGGCTATTAAACTATATCAGAGGGTGAATTTGGATGCAAGAAGAAAGTAGTGTTTTACATGAGAACTAGGTTCGGACCCGCGCTACAGCGCGGTGGAAAATTACCGGGCTTTTAGTCATTTGTACGTTGTGGGATAATTTATTTGTGTTTATTTTACTTTATTTTGATTATTAATTAAATTCTATCATTTTAGATTGTATTTTTTGTGTTGGTTTCGAATATGTTCAAAATTATTTAAATTGTATGATTTTAGTTGGATTGTTAATTTTAGAACAATATGTGACATATATACATGTATAAATATTATACTATGAATCATTTTTAAAATTTAGGGATTAACCCGCGGTACACCGCATAATCATAAATACATGATTTTAACTTGGACTTTTCATGCAGTTTTGTAAAGTTGCAAATCTCTAGAATAAACAAATAAAGAGCCAATGATTTCTTATTTCTTATCGTGTTAAAATGTAATATCTGTGTTTATGTTACAATTTTCTGGTAGCAGAAACTTATTTATATAGATAATATTTTCTTAGAGTTAGGTTAGCGTTGAAGAAAATATTAGCTTTATAATCAAGCCAGAAATTCGAAACTATTGCCAAATAAATATATTAAAGATGGTTGAAAATAAATTATCCCGTAATTGGTGTGAAAATCATAGTTAATATAGGAGAAAACTATACATCTATATATTAATATAAGATATTTAAGGAAGATTTTGTTTTAAAATATTATGGATAATTTGATAATTATTTTATATTTCTGATTTTTAGGTTAATTTGTTAAACCAATATACAAAATCATACATTAATGTATTTTTCCTTAAACAAATTAAGATTAATGTACTTTCCAAAACCAATATTGATGGATTAATTTGGTAGATTTCGAAATAATATATATGGAAACTGGTATTTAATATCTTTAAATTTTTAGTAAGATCCAATTGAAAAATTTCGGGTTAATTTTTTTAAAAAACCCGACCCAAGAAGTTTTTGTACTTCTCTTTTACTATAGTAGGGATATACCTGTTTCGTCTGGGAATCTAGAATAATTACATTTCCATTTTTGGGTTTCTCCTGATGAATGAGTGAATGATTCAGATTTCAGACACAGTGAAACAACAAGTCAAGGGACAAGACAAAGAAAGAGATTGTGAAGAGACAAGTGAACTAACCGAAAGAAAAAAAAAAGAAAAAATTGTTAGATAGAGACTTGTTTGTCTTGAGGCAAAATCATCTCATCATGTCATTTCATGTAATGTAGCAAAAAGCTTCTTTATGATTTGTCAAACTATTTGATCGCAAACAAACAAGCTCTTTGATCGTGTTAGCAAATTTTTGTCTACATAAAGCTTAATTGATTGATAAAGCTTAATTATTTGGTTTCTGTGATAAAGTTTAGCACTTGTAATATGAACAAAGACAACTTGGCCATGGCGTCTCAAACCAAGTTTTCAAAACGTTCAGACGCAAATATAGTCGTGTATATTGATTGACATTGCTAAAGATCCTAATACGTAACCACAAGTTGATAGGACAGTATGAGGAAAAGTTTGATTTTTTTCCACTTTAGGTAACAAGTTGACAATAAGCGACAAGTATATTTTTGGTTTTGTAATGGACAAGTTGTTGACATGTACATTTCCAATGGTTCGGTTTCTCTCAGTCAAGTCATTGTAACATTTCTTGTATGTAGATTACAGTCTCAACTATTTGCATAAGAGAAGTGAATAATATGTTGCTATGCTAAATAATGTAATTCTTGGAACTACTGTTTAGTCAAATGACCCTGAATTATAATATACGAACTAGAAGATAATTTTTGGGTTCAGCCACAAAATATAATATACCAAAAAGAAAAATAAATTAAAAACCATTAAAATTGTGTTATATGTTCATGAACAACTTATTTTTTTGGGAGTTTTATTCCAAAAAGATTGTTTTTGGGAGTTATATATATATATATATATATTTTTTTTTTCTCTTTATAAGATACTTAATTGTTTGAGTAACATGTATACAGTATAACTTATTTGAAAATCAAAGCATACATTACTTTCTTATATGGCTCTTAATGTATTAATTAATGAATTGGAAAGTGTTGTTACTATAACTATTAGGAAACAAATGAAACATTAAATCAACAAAAATAAGATAACAATATAAGTTTTTAATAATATGTGTGAATTAAAAAACTCAGGACATCATTTTTAGGAATGGAGAGAATAGTATATTTTAGAGTACCATGTTATTGTATGTGAATGTGATTTTCATAAATAAATATAATAAAATGCTTCAACACATGTTCTGCTACATATATTCAACAGGTTGCTATACTATAAACAAAAATATATGTTTGGATTCACACGTATAATGTATAATTAATTATTTCCATTAATGTGATTAAAAACAACGTGTCATTTTTAATAATGAATAACTTATTTCAAAGAGAATAGGTAATATTGGAGGAATACTCAGCCTAAGTCAATTTGACTTGCTTTGTTGAACAAACACTGAAACAATGATGGGTCGATGTAATTTATCTTCATTCGACCTCCAAGTCCAATACCCTCTATCGACTCACAAATTATACATAGGTGCATGCTCTCTTAACAGAGCTTTAAGCTCCCAATTGTTCCAAAACATATGTTGTAATAAGTACACTTTAATCATCCATCGTTTAAAATTGTAGAGAATTGGGGAGACCCTATCCATACCTAAACTTAGTTCCATGACATATATACTATGAAACGACGTTTATTATAAAACGAAATTTAAGTTGTAAATTGATATCTAATTAATATGAAACATAAGAAATGAAACATAAGAAATACTCTGCTTGGTTTTTATATGGAAAAAAGATACCTACATACATGAAATATGCTACAATACATGGTCACACATCCGAAGTTTAAAAATGTATCTCCAACTACACAAACTATATGTATTGCATGCCCACATATATGAACTATATGTAGTCATGTCGCCAACATCACGAACATTTTTCCAGTACACTTTTGGCCGGAATCCGGCGTTGACCCGTTTGACCGGCATTGACCAACATAAATATTCAAAAATTTTAGGTTTTTATTATTTAAAAAATATGTTTTTGAATCATTTATAATATTGTATAATTAAGAAAATATATACAATTTTTAATATAAAAATATTTTGTATATATATATTCAATGCATTGATTTTTATAATTAGTTATTTTTGATAATTCAAAGCTAAACTAAAAAAAAAAGCAATTAGGAAAAATAATAATAAACAGAAAATTTTCCTATTTTAAAAAATATTCGGACATGAGTATCATTTGGTTTAATATTTGAATATTTAATATATAATATGTGAATTTTAAATATTAAAGCATTAGAATCAAACCAATTATGTGTGAGTTTTATTCTACTAGTTATAAAAATTGTTAGATCTTCTATCTTATAAATATTTAAAAGAAACATTGTGATTTTTTATTATTTTAAGTTTTATTTTTTATTATTATTTTACCTAATTGGTTTTTTATTTTAGTTTAGTTTTGAAATTATCGAAACTAACTAATTATAAAAATCAATGCATTGAATATATATACAAAATATTTTTATATTGAATATTGTATATATATTTTTTAATTTACAATATTATAAATGATACAATAACATAATTTCTAAATATTAAAAAACTAATTTTTTTTTTGAATATTTATGTTGGTCAACGCCGGTAAAACTGGTCAACGCCAGATTCCGGCGAAAAGTGTACCGAAAAAAATGTTCGTGATGTTGGCGACATGATTACATATAGTTCGTAAATGTGGGCATGCAATACATATAGTTTGTGTAGTTAGAGATACAATGTTAAACTTCGGATGTGTGGCCATGTATTGTAGCATATTTCATATAGTTAGGTATCTTTTTTCCTTTTTATATACAATTTTCGCTAATGCAATCATCATCTACCTAAAAGTTACAAGTGACTCGTTTAACCGCCACTTAAGTTAAAACGCAAAATATATATTGAGTGGGCAAAGTACTTATATTAGAAGATTAGAAGTTAGTACGTTATTATTGAAACGTATTTAATATATGTCATATACTATCTTATTGTAGAAATAGGGTGAGAAACTTGTCGAGAGTGGAGTCGTCGTGGCAAGGGAAAATGACGTGCTCCCCACCACCCCAATGCTCACGCGCACTAACCCCACTCAACCCTAAATTTCCAATGCTAATTTCTTAGTTACAAACCTTTTAATTTATTTATCGATAACTACATTTTTGGTATGCAAAGCTGCAAAACAATACATTTGAGATATTTACTCCTCAAATTTGAAGAAGAAAATGATTCCTAGCTAGCTCCCCATGCCAAAACATTCTAACACAATGACAATACATATCCATCTCTTTTCAAACATTCAAAAAAAAAAACGAACAACACAATTTGGTCTTGTTCCCCATTTTATATTCTTGTTTGTCTAGGTTATTACAATTGTTGTTTACTATTCCCAATAAACGTGAGTCCTGACCGATCTTTCTTAAAAATATTGCACCATGTGATTACCATAAAAAGGTAGGAAACCCAAGACTTGTGTAGTAGTCGTAGACAACTTCAATGATATGAGTTAGTGTGTGAGTTCTGGTGGAAAATGAAAAGATGAGTTCATTAAATACGAATACGTTATGGTCTTTCTGGAGCTTTAGGACTTTGGCGTATTCAATTACACTCACTGTTGGTTTTAACTTTAAAAATAGAATAGACGCATGAATGGGTCCAATATCAATTTAACACATAGTATTGCGTTCTTGGATTCTATATAAACCCTATATAAATAATAATACTATAAACTTGTGAAAAAATAATTATTGCCCACTTTCTCTTTCTCTCTCTCTCTCCCTCTGAGATTTTGATTCTAGCAAAAGAAAATCAAAGTCTCGAAAGCCTTGCCTTTGCTTTGATTCTAGTTCCATTCCAAAATTGCATCTAATTCTCTTACCTTAGTCTTTTCTTCTTTTATTTATTATCAACAACTCCAAAATTCCATATGTAATTAGGCAAATCAAATTGAAAAGAAAATTTTCAAGAAAGAGCTATACATACACCTTTTGACCTTGTAAAGTTGGAACCCTAGAGAGACCTTTCAAGCAAATCGATCAGGTTTAACAATTCCTTCTTCTTTCTTTCTTGTATAGATTTTTCCAAATTCTTGGAAAGCAATATTATGTCAAACCCTTGGTGGACGAACCAGAGTGGTTTAGCCGGTATGGTTGACCACTCGGCCTCCGCCGGCCACCATCAAAACCATCACCACCAAAGTCTTCTTAGCAAAGGAGATCTTGGTATAGCCATGAATCAGAATCAAGAAAACGACCAAGACGAAGAAGACGACTCTAGAGAAGGAGCTGTTGAGGTGGTCAACCGTAGACCAAGAGGAAGACCACCAGGATCCAAAAACAAACCCAAGGCTCCAATCTTTGTGACAAGAGACAGCCCCAACGCACTCCGTAGCCATGTCCTTGAGATCTCCGACGGTAGCGACGTTGCGGAGACAATAGCTCACTTCTCTAGACGCAGACAACGCGGCGTTTGTGTTCTTAGCGGTACGGGATCAGTAGCTAACGTCACCCTCCGTCAAGCCGCCGCAGCAGGAGGTGTAGTCTCACTCCAAGGAAGGTTTGAGATCTTATCTTTAACCGGTGCTTTCCTCCCTGGACCTTCCCCACCCGGGTCAACCGGTTTAACGGTTTACTTAGCCGGAGTCCAAGGTCAAGTCGTTGGAGGTAGCGTCGTTGGACCTCTCCTGGCCATAGGGTCGGTCATGGTGATTGCTGCTACTTTCTCTAACGCTACTTACGAGAGATTACCTATGGAAGAAGAGGAAGACGGCGGCGGCTCAAGACAGGTTCAAGGAGGCGGTGACTCACCGCCCGGAATCGGTAGTAGCCTGCCTGATCCACCGGGGATGGCCGGGACAGGGCCAGGCTACAATATGGCGCCGCCGCATCTGATTCCAAATGGGGCAGGTCAGTTAGGGCACGAACCATATACATGGGTCCACGCAAGACCACCATACTGACTCAGTGAGCCATTTTCTAAATATTCTATATAAATAAAATATATAGTGATTTGATGTTATTAGTATCTATATATTACACAAAGCTTTGATTGTTCGAAACATAAATAAGTGTCAAAGCTTTGATTGTTTGGAAACATAAATAAGTGTCAAAGCTTTGGTTGTACTCTTAATGGAAATATTATAGAGCTTGGAAGGTACAAAGAGACGAGATTAATGGACAGTATTACTCCCACGAAATGAATAAACATTGTATTGTATATTCGAATGTTTGTCTTTTTGTTTTTGGTTTAGTAGGATTTAAGTACAATATTTGTATGTGTGTTGCTGTTGTGGTCTTTAGATACTTTACATTTTGATTGGCACAAATATCATAAGTTATAATATATGTAATGGTGGTTCAAACGATAAAGGAACATCGAGAGTATTGCATATATGTGCGTTTCGATATTATATTAGTTCTGGTTCGTGAGTATTTTATAAGGTTGCACTTGCACACCATTAGTGATTATTACAATAAGTCCATTGTGTGGTCGTTTCTTAAATCTTTGGGTAAATGATGCTACTTGGAGATTGTTTAGTATGACTTTTTTACAAACGAAATAATGAGAGAGGGTATTAAGGATTTTGTTGACTGACTAAAAGGATATGTGCTCTCTATGTATATTAATTAATTAAGTTATAGTCCAACAAATGAACAAAGAATGGCACAAAACATGAGGGAAGCTAAAACCATAAATGAACCCAAAAAAATGGTAGACGTTATTGGCGATAATGATTTGAGGAGGTTTATTTTATTTACTTTTTTTCTTTGAAATCGTAAATATATATACTGTATATATATATATATATGTATATATATATATGAAATGTTTTTGGTTGATAATACAATTATATATATATATAGGGGGAATGTCAAAAATACACATTTTCTAACATCACTTTTTAAAAATACTCCTCTTTCTAATTCTATCAAAAAGTCAATATAAAATTTGAAATTTATCAAAAAAATGTGTAAATTTATATTTATAAACACAAATTATCTTTATATGTGTGTAAATTTACATATATATATTTCATAAATATCGTATAAATAAATTTTAAAAATCATTTAAAAACCTTATAAACTTTGTAAACCTTTTAAAAACCTTATAAAAACCTTATAAATGCGGTTTATAACCTTTTTAAAACCTTATAAATATTTGGATCTAGTCTTCCAGTAGTAATTATGATCTTGATTTACCTTATCAACTATGTAAAATTTTATAATTTTTCATATTTGAAAAGGAGTATTTTTGAAAATAGCTAGAAAATTGTATTTTAAAAATAGGTACACCAGAAAGGGCATTTCTCAAAAATACTCTTATATTATAAAGGGTGATTTCTAAAAATACCATTAAAATACATTTTTTCAAAATTACCACAAAACTAAAACTAAATTTTAAATATTAAACACTAAACCTTACCTCCAAACCCCAAAAACTATATCTTAAATATAAAATAGTCAACTCAACCTAAAACATAAACTTTACACCTTCATTTTTTTTTATGTCTATGGTATTTTTAGAATGAAAAATAAACAAATTATAGTACTTTTGAAAATAAAACTTAAAATGTGATATTTTAGTGTATTTCTCTATTATAAATATAGTATAATTTTTGAACTTCTTAAGAAGAGAAATTCCTTAAAATATTTTTTTTTTTCTTTTGTTACTATTATTCCAGGTAGGTTAAGTCTTGAAGTTAGAGATATCTGGAAAAAAAAACATAAAAAAATTAGAGATAGCTCTGGAGCAAACGAAATATACTCGATATAATTTGTTTTTTTCATGCCTTTATTTATTGTACAAGTGGAATAATAAATATGTTCAACTCACCAACCCAAGTTTTTCGTTGAAAAAAAAAAAACCATAGAGAAATCATGTGATGTTTAAAAGTTTAAAACACATGTATGAAAAGAAATAAGTATTTTCTTATACGTTCGAACGTGTAGTGTATCTGAAAGCTATACCACTCTGGAGTCTGAACCACTAATCATATTTACCCAATAATCCTGAATACTATAAAGACCACCATTTCATATCCATATTGAGAAAAACAAAAACAAAAAATTTCTTCTTTGTCTTCAATAATTCGATTAAGTCAATCGAAATACTGAATTACTCTTGGACGTTATTCCATATCACATCACATCACGAAATAAAATAAAAAAAATCACATATGATTAGGTAAATGTGCTAGGGATTTGTCATCCTCTCTTCAGACATATAAAAGCAAATTTCGGCACAACAATAACCTTTATCTCTACATCACAAGCCCATTTGTTATATATTAACAATATAAGTATTAACAAAAAAAAACTTGTAATCTAGTTAGTGTAAATGTCATTATTTTCAGTGTGCCTCCTCCCAAATTCAAATATGCATAACAGATGATATTATATAAGTAATGCATTATAGTATTTTCTTGTTAATTAGTTCTAATTGGTAATCATTTATTCTTGTTATATGTATTGTACCATTTGTCTTGAAACTAATTATAAAAAAGATTCTACATACATTTTTCGGAAAAATATTATTAGACAGACTATTATTTTTGTTTTTTGACCCAAAAAAAAAAGACTATTATTTTGTTTCTTATTTCTATAGTACATTTACTTTGTTTTAACTATTTTAATATGGGTTTCAACTATTTTAATATAATTTTGTCATCTTTTTTTTTTCCAAACCAACAAACTTGCATTGCTTTGTATTATCAATTAGATCTATTAGAATATACTTCTAAACAAATAAAACTGCCGCTTTAAATCATTCTAGACGGTATTTTCTCTTAAGATTTGTGAAAAATGTATCTTATATTTAAATACTTTTGCATTGAGGATGCCCTTATGTCACTATACAGAGCATTCGTTATGTTTCAGCCAAAATAGTGACAATCTAACAATTTTGGTTATTATACCAATAATAAAGTGTTATAGTTCCTTTGTAGATACCATATGTATCACGTCAAGTCGGGGTGGGGGGATCCTAGAAATGACGAAACAAAACATGAAGGACCATCTTCACATGAATTCACGTGTCATTTGTCAAACCAATGGGACGTATATAACTATTCTTTAATACAAATTTAAATACTTTTGAATATAATATCGAGAAACAACAAATGAGGTCACATCATTGGAAAGCTTAATTAGAGCCAGCTTTAGTTTGCTTAATCAGACCAATTTACTTCGTTAACAATAGTAATTCTCAAGTGCCGCCAATATAAGCATCGATTTAGCACTTTATTATGGGACTATCTATATAGTAGTAGAAAATTACAAATAAGATTAATTTTTCAAATGCAAGAGCTAACTAAGACTGTATCTTTTTAGTTCGACTATTAGACAGAGACGTGCGTGTTTAGTAGAACCGTCGCAAGCATTTGAGAAAGCAACGCATAATGCTGAATTTTATTTGAGGATACCTAACATTATCGAGAACATATTCATAGAAATTGTAGAAGACTACGTTTCTTTTTACTGATGATGTGCTTATAATTAATTTAAATTGATGCTAACTATCAAAATCCTATGAACTTTGGAAGCTGTAAAAGCCGCAATCTCATCCATTCTCACTAACTGTGGTGTTTCAGTGGCATCCACTAAACCTAATTAATGAAATTTGGACCACCTAATAAACAAATGAAACTAACCTTTACTTTCTTTTTGCATCTACAAACCTTTTTTTTAGTGAAATTCTACTTTGTTCTGATATAATCTTCATAAAATAAACATAAAATAAATTAAAAATGCTTAGCAGTAACAAAACCTTCAAAAAAGGATTCTTTAGCACCTTAAAAAGTTAAAAATAGACTCATCCTAATTAAAGTTAAAAAAAAAAGATAATTGAATTGTTAACGAGACTTCCTATCGACAAAGGAATCATTTGTTACCGAAAATATCAGTAAACTTACAATTGGGTGGAATCTTAAAATGTCTACTTAATAAGCTAATTCGTATGATTGAACTAGACAAAAGATTTCCATCAAGTATTACATCATTCCCCACTTCGCAATTCCATTAATATTATAATCTTGTTTCAAAAATAAAGTAATTATTAACTATATTAATGCATATGAAAAGTCCAAATAATTAATAAAGGTATATTGTTTAACACTAGTCACATCCCATTTTGTATGTTTTAACATATGAATAAAGACAGAACTATATATATTTAGAGTTGTTCTAATATGTTAGGTATTTTTGTTTTAACATACAGTATTGTTTAATTCTATGAATATGATGTAAGTTACTTGAACATTTTAGGATAAACAAACATTAACATACTTAATCCTAGCGGTAAACCGTATAACCCGCTTTTATTTGTAGGTTGAATCATCTTAGACATAAGAGTAGTAGTCGAAGGCTTATTGTAACAACAGAACGAACCCAGTTGCTAAATTTCTCCTTACATGCACGTCCAAAAAAGGAATGCAAGGAGGACTATCATATTCCTATGTTTTGTCCAAAAAAATGGTTACTTATCTAATTTTTGTTTTCCATGATTTTATTTCTTAGCACAATGATATAATTATACCACCTTATATATAGAGCCAACGTAAATATATTTTATTGTCATTTTAATAAATCAAAATGACAAAATTCATAATAATTTTGACTAAATCCCCTAATTACTTAACCTGTTAGATTATCATATCATATAATGTATATGGTTTTTTCCAGTATATATAAAAATTATGTTCAAAAACCCCCACTATCAATATTTTTTTTTATTTTTCTTTTGTCAACATTTCTGTCTGATTTTAGACTTTTGTTTTGAGAATTGAAGAATATATATAGAGAGAGAGACTTGTGAAAACAAATAGAGCATTGTTGTTGTTGTGTTGTTAAATTTCCAAGGAAAGTAAAAGAAATGTATGGGAAAGAGGAAACTGGAAGAAGCTCTTCTTTTGACTGACTGATTCAAACTATCTGTATCTACTTCTCCCCTCACCCACCCACACGTGTACGTACTTTGCCTTTTCCTCCCGTATATACCGCGCGACCAAACCCCCCTCACCTCAAATTTTGTCTTAACATTTATTAAAATCTCTAATATATAAAAAATTAAATAAAAAATACAATGTTGTTGTTCCATCTTTTTCTTTTTAAATTATCAATCTTACATGTTCTTTATACTACTATTTTAGAAATACTTTAATACATGTTATGCATATGTTTATAAAAATAACTACCAAAATCAAAATCTATACGCGTAAGACCATTTTCAGCTGAGCAACCTATGAAGAGTACTTAAAATGAGAGAGACGAGAGAATAGAAGGAATAAAGAGAATAGAGAGAAGAGTCCGGCAAATAAAATGAAAGAAAAGAGAGAAATTTGTTTTTTCGTTACTATTTTACTTTTCCACCAATTAAAAATGCGCCACGTACCGTTGCTAATGGATTGCTTCTGTTGCCATGTGAAGCATCGTTTCTCTTTCATTTGGGCCTTTTTTCCTCAAAAGTCATTAAATTTTTAGTTCACTTAAACTTTAGCAACCCTTATTTCTCCTCCACTGGAGCTGCTGTAAGGCATCCACAGACCACAATGAATACTTGTTGTTAGTAATATGTATTGTTGTTTATGTTTGAACTCGAGTGATATTAACACAGACCAATATGATGTTGCTATCTATCTCGTTCTTGTAAAGCATATGTGAAACTGAACTATTTTGGAGCTGATTTATCAAAGATGTGATTAGAAAATATTGACATGCAAGTTGCATGATGCAACCCTATGTTCATCCCAGCTTATGCTTATATTTTAGCCCATGATCGTAAGAACTTAGGGTCGTATTGCCCAATCAGTTCTACATTTTTTTTTTTGGAAATTGATCCATTCATGTTAATTCTTTTTTTTAAGATTAAGAAGTTTGAAAAATGCAAAATAAAAGAAAATTATTATTACATTACTACTATGAACGTAGAACTGATATAAGAACTAGCATCAGCAAATATTGGTCTATTTGTAACAATCATTTTCTCATTTTCTTGTAGTGATATTCTTACTTCATATTTGATATTTTTCTGTTGTTGTTTGTGAGAAATATTCTTTATAGTTGGTAATATGACCCTAAGCTTTAAACCAAAAAAAAAAAAAAAAATTATGACCCTAAGCTTTTTTAAATTTGTAAACTTAAAATATAGAAATATGTCATGCCATCCACCTAAATGATTTTTACATATAGAGAAGATAACAAATACTAACGAAGTTTACAATAGTTAACCTAAAACAGTATCTTTCTCAGCACGCAAGGTCTTAAGCTTCTCTGCTTCCAATTCAATCTTCAGCTTCTCCACCATCTCTAGAAGCTCTTCTTCTCTGCTCTTCTCTTCCCTTTCCTCACTCAATGCTTCGATTATTATCGACACTCTTGCTCTTTGATGCTCTAAGCTTTTCTTCAACACTTTGAGTTTCTCTAACACCAAATCTCTATCAAACCCCACAACCTCACCTTCCTGGATTTTAGTTTCCTCCTTTGATAAATCGAAACCGAGTTCAGACCCGGTGATTGTAATGTTCTCGTCTTCCGGTTTTTCTTGGATTTGATCTTCTTTACGTGGACTTGACTCAGAAGTTTCTGATTCAGTAGTTGGGAATACTGGACTTAGTTGGAGATCTTCTTCACGAAAATTCCACCCACTGATTCTCCTGTTCTTCACTATCTCTCCATCTTCCTCATCATCATCATCGTCTCCAACACTCTTGATCAAAATCTTGCTCTCTAGAAACATCTGCTCTGCATTTGACAAGCTATGCAACACGTTCTTGACCACAAAGTCTACTCCTTTACAGTTCTTGAAAAACGGATGCTTCAACAACTTCTCTGCAGATGGTCTTTTAGCAGGATCTTGCTCTAGACACAAACCAACCATTTCTCTAAAAGCTTTTGAGAACTTCTTGTTCCCCTTTTTGCTGCTTCCGCTTGTATTGATCTCGTAATCAGAGAAATGAAACCTTTTGGTGATCTTCATGAGCAGACTCTTCAACGGCGGTAAGTGAGATAACGGTGGTCTCCCGTGAGCTAACTCCAACGCTGTTATACCGAACGACCAAATGTCTGCTTTGAAACCATACCCTGTGTGAGAGTGAACCACTTCCGGAGCCATCCAATACGGCGTTCCCGCTATATCAGTCAACCTTAAAGAAGACGATGTTGTTCCAGATGAGGAAGTCACGGGTTCATAGATCGATGCAGAGACTCCGAAATCAGCAAGCTTCACAGATCCATCAGAATCAACCAAAATGTTACCGGCCTTGATGTCACGGTGCAAATGACCCTGATCATGAAGATACGATATTGCATTCAGAGTTTCCTTGAGGAAGACGGAAATGCAGTTTTCTGGTAACCCACTTGGAAAAGACGAAGAGACAATAGAATGAAGAGAGCCACAAGACATGAACGGCATAACCACCCAAAGACATCGATCAACGGTGAAGGAACAATAAGCATTGAGGATATTCGGATGAGAAAGCAGAGACATGGTCTTGGTTTCACGGCGAAGGCTGTCAAAGTCAGCCCGAGACTGATCAAGATCGATGGCTTTGATGGCAACTACCATTGAGTTCATTGGAATGCATATGGCCTTGTAGACCGAAGCACTAACACCAACACCTATCTTGCAGATGATCTCGTAGGCCTCAGCTTCAAGAGGGAACTCAAGCTTGTTACGAGCCATAAGAGAAATAAGATGGGTACACTCTTGGTTATTGAATAGTTAGTTTTTTTTGCGTGGAAGGTGGTCTTTTAGAGGCTAATAGTAGCATGATGCTATTCAGTATTCATATAGGGATGAAAAAGGAAAGAGTTGGTTTAGCATGTGAACTTCAAAAAAGAAAAAAAAAAAGAGAGCCATAAATGTAAAAAGCAGAAACCTTATCTCTTACTTACAGGTGATGAATATGTTGATGAAACAATAAGATGAAGCATGTGAAAGTGCTAACTAACTAACCTTAGTTAATGAGATTCTAACACTTTGGTCTTTTCAAGGACCCAAAGGGCAAACAAAATCCTGAAAACTTCAAACCTGTAAAGGCGTCTTCAGTGATTAGCATCCCTATTCAAGTTAAAATCAACAAATTGATCAAAAAGTTTATAGAAACAAGGTGAGGTGGTCTATAATAGTAAGTACTTCAAGGACAAGGAAAAGAAGGTGAACTGCATCGACTTTATGAGAAATTAACGTTAGCATCAGTGAAATAAGTCACTCCACGGTAACAAGAATACGTAAATGAGTTAATGAAGGAGAAGGGTGTGTGTGATTGCACTTGCACGGTAGCTTGATGTAACATATGAGCATTCCCGTGACAACAAAAACACCACAGGCTCGGGTAAGAGACAAAGAGAAAATGGAGCTATCAATATATATATATCTTTCCTCATCTCACAGTTAAAGCTATAATGAAATATTCAGATATCTAGACTGGCTTTGCAATTTGATTTTTTCATGGCACTATTGAAGAACTTGCTTTTGCCTTTGACCACATAAGAAGGAAAAATAGACTAGAGCAAAGACGTCAGACTTCTTGGCATCTCACTGGTAGCATTAGAACACCAATATGCTAAAATAAAATGACAATAGGACATGACTTGTATAATTCGAAACTGATATATGAGCCCCCAGCGGTGTTCTTGAACATTATTATAAAATGGACCAAAGTCTGAAACTTACTCAAACATCAGCACTTCACTGTTTACTTTATCTCACACGCAAAACCTATGCAATTAAATCATTGCAGTCAAAACTCTAAGCAACACAGCCAAGCCACAGCATTAAGGTCCACATCATAAGAAAACATGTACATGCACCATATCAGTTGAACACTTTTTCAATTCAACACCGACACTCTTTATCCTGAACTTGTCTCTGCTCTGAAATATATTCACGAACTCTTCGAGTTTTACTTCGCATGGGCTCAATCATACTTTCTGTCTTTTGATTTATCTCTTTTGACAGATGACCCTCCAAAAAGCTAAACAATGCTCCTAATGTCATCTTTCCTAAGTCCACCTCCACCACTGTACCAAGCTCACTCTTCAAATCTTCTCCAACAGGACAGCTTGGACCCTGCACTCCAGCATCATTATCCTCATCACCTTCAGAGCTCTTCAACAACTTTTGCTCTACTTTCTTCTTCTTCTTCCCACAACTCTTTCTGGCTCGTTTTAAAACCATCTCCAAATCCAAATAAGAATCTCCAACAATATCAATCTTCTTGCTTCTTGTAGCCCTTGTAACCCTCTTCTCCTTTAAAGTCTCTTCCTTCTCTACATTAACCATCCCCAAACACGATTCCTCTACACTCCCAATCTCCTTGCTCCTTGTAACCTTACTGTTTACTCTCTTCTTAACTACTCTCCCTGAATCTTCCTCTACCATTGCACAATCCTTAATTTCAACTTTAACCGAGTTCACACATGAACTCTTGATACTAGCAATACCCCTAAAGTTTCCCTTTTTCTCCCCCAATTGTTCCGCCTCTTCTAATCCATCAGAAACCCCTAATTTCTCAGAATTCTCAATCTTTCTAACTTTCCTAACCCTAGAACTCGGCTTATCCACCACATTCTTCACATCAAAACCCTTTTCTTCCTCGACATCCCCAAAATCACAACTTTCGGAAAATCTAACTCGCTTACCCGCATTACCCTGACGCTTATTGCCCATCCTTGGTCGAGGCGGAAGCTTCTTCTTCTCCTCCTGAACATCATCAATCACAAAACTCACCACAATAGATGTATACTCACCAAGTTCGATAACATCTCCATCTCGTAGATCCACCAACGCCTCTGATTCAAGAGTACTCGAGTTCAATAAAGTACCATTCGAAGATCCAAGATCCTGAATCACCCAATTCCCAGAAACCGACTCGATCCGAAGATGCTTCGTGGAGATTCCAGCGTCTTTGATTGCGATCTCATTACCACGAACGATGCGACCAACCCGAATCGTAGAACCGGGTTTATACTCTAGTGTATCGCCTTCTCTCGGACCCTCGACGAAGGCTAATCTCAGCAAAGGCGTCACCATTGTTCACTGTAAAATGAATCAAACCGTTGCGCTTCAACCGATTGCGAATTTTGAATTATGAGTTGAGAGCTTCTCGCACGTGTGAGAGATTTTATCGCACGCTCCATTTAAAATCCAATGGATTAATTAATTGGGTATCTTAATGGGCCTAAAAGGGCTTATACGCGGCAAACGATGAGACATGTGATGTCTAAAACCTATTGGCCAAACCACTGTCACTATTATTACCCCAACTTCCAGCAACACACGTGAATCACTCCCTTATCCACTTTTTTCAAACCTTTTTTACTCTCACGCTCCCTTACACCTCGCGTGTATCTCACCTTCTCGTTTGTTTATATCCTCAGTGAAAAATTCCTTAATTAATCTTTCTATATTATACATTAATTATGATCTTATCCTAATTAAAACGTATTTGGCAAATGGCAAAACGTTTGCTTCTTTACATATCTAAACAGAATAATTGATTTTTAAATTTTAAGTATATTCCATTATTTTTTTGCTTATTTTTTTGCCAAGCAAAAAAAGAGCAGTGTGAGGTTATCTTTGGGATTCTTAAGCAGTACGAAAAAGTATCGGGTCAACAAATCAATTTCACAAAATCGTCAATTCAATTTGGGCATCTAGTGGAAAGCAATGTCCGCACGAAGTTAATGACAGTGATGGGTATTACAACTCTGGGTGGCATGGGGACATATTTAGGGCTACCGGAAAGTTTGGGAGGAGCAAAGACTAGAGTCTTTGCCTTTGTTCAAGATCGATTACAGTCTAGGATAAATGCTTGGTCGGCGAAGCTCCTATCAAAAGGGGGAAAAGAGGTCATGATAAAATCGGTGGCGACAGCTCTACCTACGTACGTAATGTCTTGTTTTCGATTACCAAAGGCGGTAACCACTAAATTAACTAGTGCGATTGCCAAATTCTGGTGGAGCTCAAATGGTCAGACTGGGGGGATGCACTGGTTGGCTTGGGACAAACTTTGCCAGCACAAAGTCTCAGGTGGCTTGGGATTCCGACATGTGGAGGATTTTAATTCGGCTTTACTTGCAAAACAGCTCTGGAGACTCATTAATGTTCCAGATTGCTTGTTTGCTCAAGTGTTTAAAGGACGGTATTATCGGAAATCAGATCCAATGGGTCTGATCAAATCATACTCCCCGTCTTATGGCTGGCGCAGTATTATTTCTGCTCGCCCTCTGGTTAGTAAAGGACTTATTAAAGGAGTTGGATCTGGGGATTCTATTTCAGTATGGAATGACCCATGGTTACCAGCTCAATGCCCGAGGCCAGCTATTAGAAACAGTTCACTTGTTGAACCGATTCCAACTCTTTCGGTTAATCAATTGATTGATACTCAAACATGTTCGTGGAAGGTGCCGATGCTCCAAGCTCTCATCGACCCGAAGGATGTTCCTCTTATCAGTGCTATCCCGTTACGGTTCCCGCAAGGGCCGGATTACAGATTTTGGTTTTTTACAAAATCCGGTAAATATTCGGTGAAATCGGGGTATAGGGTAGCTCGTGAGGCCCGCTGGGGTGTTAATCCATATGGACCAGATACTATTCCATTGCAAGCTCATGTATGGAAGATTAAATGTCCCCCTAAGATACGACATTTCTTATGGCAAGTACTCAGGGGATGTATATCGGTTAATAATAATTTGGCAAACAGAGGACTGCATTGTGACCCGCAATGTAGCAGATGTGGGGAGACGGAATCTACCCTACATGCAGTTTTCCAGTGTCCACCCGCCTTACAAACGTGGGCATTATCGCAAATTCCTACGGCGCCGGGGGTTTTTCCAACGGAATCTCTATACGCGAATATGGACTATTTGTTTTGGCGAATACCAAAGGATTCAGATGGTTCGATGTATCCTTGGATTCTATGGTACATTTGGAAAGCAAGAAATGAAAAGGTGTTTGATAATATAGATAGGGATCCAAGAGAGGTCCTACGGTTGGCAGAGAGTGAGGCACAGTTATGGATGGCTGCGCAGGCGGAGGAGAAGGCGGATGTTGAACCTGGTATACCTTGTGGTTCAACCCAAGCTCCCGAGGTTTCTAGTATTTGTTATCCAGGCTATACATGTTTTGTGGATGGCTCTTGGAAGGATGGTGACAATTTTGCAGGTTTAGGCTGGTATTGTACGTCCACAACGGATGAACCTACAATGGGTGCAGGTAATCTACGAAGGAGTCTTTCGCCACTACATACCGAAGTCGAGGCCCTAGTGTGGGCAATGAAGTGTATGATTGCAGCAGGGAGACGTGAAGTGACTTTTATTACAGACTGTTCAGACCTGGTGGAGATGGTGTCTTCCCCAACAGAATGGCCGGCGTTTGTCACATATTTAGAGGAAATTTACGCAGATAGGGAAGTATTTTTCTCCTCTTTTCTTTTAGTAAAAGTTTCTCGTAGCTCTAATCTTAAGGCGGATTTGTTAGCATGTCGAGCACGTGTCCAACCGCAAATTTGTTTGTATGTAAACAATGTTCCCTCCTCTTGGCTCTTTTGAGTCGTTACATCTATTGTTGTTGACAAAAAAAAAAGTATATTCCATTATTCCTCTCCTCTCACTACCGAACACGACGCGCTTAGATCTGACGCGTGGTTTTATACTTTGTCGGTCAACGAAAACGCCACGTCATCTCCACCGCGGCTCTGTTCCTTATCATTCTATCACCCGCCAACGTCGTTTCAAGCTCAGCAAATAATATCACAACAACAACAAGTTTTATTTTTTTCTCCTTTTTCCGATTAAATCACCAAACTCATTAAAAATAAATTAAAAAGAGAAAAATATATATTATCCCTTTTTTTCTTTGTTCTTCGTCTTCGTCTTCGTCTTCGATTCTCATGATTCATGTCGGAGTCTAAATTTTTAGCGATCTTAGAATCCCATTTTCCTTAGGGAATCTGAGAATTTTCGAATCGGGTTAAAAGTTTTTCGAAAACGCAATGGATGAGACGTATTTTGATCTGTTGCATTTCTTTAAAAATCCTTCCTTTACGGAGACATTCGTCGACATCTTGCTATGTGCAGTCCCGATTTGGCTCGCTGTTATGATCGGTTTATTGATCGGATGGTCTTGGCGTCCGAGATGGACCGGTTTGATTTATTTAGGGTTTCGTTCTAAGCTTCGGTTTTTATGGACTGCACCCCCTGGGTTTGGTGCTCGTAGGCTTTGGCTTGCTTTCACCGCTCTCTCTGCTTTCTCCGTTTGTCGCACTATCTGGTCCAGGAACGACAACAGAGGTAATAAATCCTCGGTTGGGTCAGCTTCGTCGCAGACTCCTGTGGAAGAAACTGATGAATCAGGGCTAGTCTCGAGGTTAGTATATACACTATATAGCAGAAGGCAGAAGCTTTATGTTTGATTTGAAAGAAAGATATAAAATTTTGGTTCTCTGTTTTAAAACGTAACGTTTACTTTTTCATTTAGCTAGATTATGGTATTTTTGAAATGACATTGGCAAAAGAAGTGATTTTTGTTGTTTGTTTGTTTTGTGTTAATTGGTTTATGGATTGGTTAAATCTGAGGATAAATTGGGTTTATTATATTGCAGAGGCAGTGATGTTACGACGGTGACAGAGGATATTGTGACAGAGAATGATTTAGAGCATCTTTTACAGCTGCTTGAAGTTGGGAATGCAACTAGGGAGTGGCAATCTATGATGGATAAGACTACTCCAAATATGAGTTACCAGGCTTGGCGTCATGAGCCTGAGGTAATCTGAAATTTTTAAATCTTGCTTTGTATCCATTTCGTTATGGTAGAGTTAATCATGTAGTCTAGGAAATAAGTTATAAGTCATTGAGTAGTAGGCGCAAGATACTTTGTTGGAAAACTGAATCCCTTAGAGAATTTTGAATGACATCTGACTCAAATGTCTTTAGATTATTGGTAATTATGAGGTAGATATGTTTCTTTGGTATAGCTATGGACGATCGTTTTCTTAACTATCTATCCATTGAGGTTTCTAGATAGTATTCATTGTGTTTCCTTGTTTAGCATTAGTTCCTTTTGAGCTTCATGTGATGCATTGCTGCATTGACGCTCCCGTGTGGCATTTTTATGACATTTTACTTAAAACTTTTTGCTTGCTATATAGAACTTGGATCTTAATTACTGGATAGAAACATTTTATCAAATTATGTTTTTAGTCTGAAAAGTTGTATTGTTTATCAGACAGGTCCAGTTATTTATCGCAGTCAAACTGTGTTTGAGGATGCAACTCCAGATATTGTTAGAGATTTCTTTTGGGATGATGAGTTTCGACCTAAATGGGATTTTATGCTTGCCAACTTCAAAACTTTGGAGGAGGACACTCAGACAGGAACAATGATTGTTCAGTGGAGAAAAAAGGTCTCTGGACTTTTGATAATTTGGTCATCTTAATAAACAAATCCCACATTAAAAAGTGTTGTCAGTACTAATTTCTTTTGCTTGCAGTTTCCATTTTTCTGTAGTGACCGAGAGTATATCATTGGCCGGAGAATATGGGAGTCTGGAAAGAAATATTATTGTGTGACAAAGGTAATGTCATACTACGATAACTTGTTTTTGCCTTCCACGAATCGATTGTGTGTAGCATACTACTAGCGTTTATCTATAGGGACAAGATTATCAAAATCTAGCTTTGAGAATTCTAATTGCCTGGAGATAATTTTTGGAACTGGGACCATTGTCTCTAAGTTTCCAGTTCTATCAAGTTTCCATTGCATCAACACTTTATCAGTGAAAAACATTTGGCAAGTAAAGAAAAATCCAACATGTGTTTCACCTTCCATATCACATTAAGTTTTTATGGTGAAACAGTGCTCAAAGCTCAGAACTAAGGGGCTTATCTTCTTTGCTTCTCTGGGAGATGCGTTTTATGAAATATGATATATCAGAGAAGATAAGCGCCTTAGTTCTGGAGATAACTGTCTTATCCATACAATGCATAAGGTTATCTTCTTTATTAGGTTTATCCAACTCTAAACAAAGCTCAAAGCTCAGAACTATACCTAACACCTGTTTGATATTGTAGGGAGTTCCTTATCCAGCTCTACCAAAGCGTGATAAGCCGAGGCGTGTTGAGCTTTATTTCTCCAGTTGGGTTATCAGAGCAGGTAGCCTTTTGAAATGCAAGTATTCTTTGTTTAGCTGAGATATAGTTGTTAAGCAAATATACAACAAATGCAGTTGAATCCCGAAAAGGAGATGGACAGCAAACGGCTTGTGAAGTATCACTTGTCCACTATGAAGATATGGGAATCCCAAAAGACGTAGCAAAGTTAGGTGTCCGTCATGGCATGTGGGGAGCCGTCAAGAAGCTCAACTCTGGTTTGCGAGCCTATCAAGCCGCCAGAAAATCAGGCTCACCTCTATCCCATATCGCTCAAATGGCAAGAATCACTACAAAATTAAACATGGATTCTGCAGAATCATCTTCAAGAGATGAAGACAGAAGCAGAGCAATGGATTATGCAAGGAGACAACGGGACCATTTGAGAATGGACTGGAAATGGGTTGTTGTAGGAGGTGTCGCATTGGCTTGCGGCCTTCACACTGGGGTCATTGGTAAGGCTTTACTTGCTGGAGCTGGCCAGAGACTGGCTCGTAGGTGAAAAACCTTGTCGTATTCTTATTATATCTTCCCTTGACAGAAAAGAGAAACATATACATATATAACCTAGGGAAATGTATTTTTCTTGCTACTCCTATGAGAAGGGCATGTGGTTTTGATGGTGAAACATGTAGAATAGTTGCTTTAAGCTTGGGGAGTCTAAATTATTTAAGTTCTATCTGTTACAGAGGAGAGTGAGATATGTATTTTATAAACTATATGAATCTACATAGCTTCCAAAAGCTTAAAATCTTTGCATGTCATGATGCACTTAGTATCTCTTATTGAGTGATCAGCATCAAGCAAGATGTCAAAAATTATCTCCCGCATCAATTCACTGCACAGTCCATTCTTTATTACCGCTTATGGTTGCACGTGACGTTCCTCATCCTGCAGATCTACAAAAGTTATTTCTGGTGTTGTGGAGGATGCCAAATCATCACCAAACTCTTTGTCTGATTCATCTGAATCCCAATATTCATCATCTGAATCAAATCCAACATCTGTTTCAGATAGTGAACCCTTGGCCTGGATCTCATCTTCTTCACCATCTTCTCCCTCGTCTTTGTATGTATCTAAATACATGTCATCTTCCTCTCCCTAAAATAACCGAAGAGAACAAGAGAATATCAGACCTCAAACTCAAAATCCATGTTGGTGAAAATACAAGAAAATAAAAAGATTATAAGGCAAAGAGATCATACATCTGTTTCTTCGGTCTCCTCGTCAGAAGAATAAGCCATGTCAAGCTTGTTGTATAATGCTTCATCTCCCTTGTCTTTTACAAGTTCCACTTGTTCCTGACAGAATGGGTTCAGGGTCTCGGGTTAGCAAACATTGCAGAACAAGAATATACGTTCTTTGTTTGATTAGTAAATGATGTATAGATAATTAAAACCATACAATTTCCGCTCTCAGCTGCTCTGACCTCGCCTGTACCGCCTCAATGTGTTTAATAAGAGCCTGTTGAATGCAAAGTATCCAAATAAGAAAGCAAATGAAGTGTTAGTCCTTGAGGTTTATCACCTAATTGGTCACAAAAAGTAGAAATAAATGATAAGTTTGCAGATTTTGAGATCAACAAACGAACCTCGCGTTTTTGGAGCTCAAGAGAACGTGCCAAAGCTTTCCTCTTTGTCAAGAGATTTTTAGGCCTCATTGTAGAAGGACGCTTATAGTCTTTTCCTCTATACACGATTATGGCATAGCCTTTCGAAATCTTGTCAACAGAAACCAGGATACCTCCACTCTCGGCTTCAAGGGCCATTGCCACTTTCTTCGCACCCTCAAAAGTTTTAGCCTTTACAAGAATCTTGATCAGCTCACGATATTTCCAGTGCAAGTGCATGTTCTCTACAGTCCCATCAAACACCCCTCTTCGACCTGAAGTAATCAATTCAAGTTTCTCAGACGAGTCTGTATCCCAGAGAAAACAGGTCAAACATACCAAACTACACTACATATCGCTACAAAGATGGTTTACCAAGAAGTAAGAAAGCTTTCATCCTCAATCCGAGCTTTTGGAACATAAACCTCTCTTCTGCAGTTATGCCCTCAAGGTCTGTTCTTTGCTCTGCTGGCTTCAAAGATTCCTCCACCTTAGCTAAAGCCCGTTCAGCTTTCAGCAACTTTTTCTCAGCCTAGAAAGGTTCATTGAAAATTAATAATCAGCTTAACTCTAGGAGCAATCTCTTAAATCTGTATGTGAAACATAACTTGACAGGTAGGAAGTACAGGATCAAGTCAGAAACTCACAAAAGCAAGTTTCCTTTCCAACTTCCTGACAAGTTTTGCAGATCTCACTTTCTCAACCTCCTGTTTCATTTCCTCCACCTGCTCATCGTTATCCAGATTCTTCCCCCATTTACCAGTTGCATCAAGCGTTTCTCCAAGAGTGCCGGCAGAAAGAAGGTTTTGATTAGCTTTAGTACTGGGGACAACCAGAGCCGATGATGCTCTTAGGCCTGCCTGCTCATCTTTGTCTAGCAAAGTCCTAGAAAGGTTTTGCTTAGCTTTAATACTTGGGACAACCAGAGCCGATGATGCTCTTAGACGTGCTTGTTCCTCTTCGTCTTGCAAAGTCGCAAGCCTCTCCTTCTCCATTAACGCTTCAGCTACTTCTAGTGACAAAAAACTCTTTCCTCTGTAGAAGACCAAGAAGTCTTTGTTTCGAGAGAGCAGCATACCTCCCGTCAATCTCTGCAGTCACTTACCAAGATCATGATATCAAACATTCCGCACCGAATATTATTAGACACCTTCTAATTTGTTATAATAGTAACTACATTAATATAAAAACAATTACATGTTACTCGGCTGTGAAGCCTTATTACCTTGATGTCCTCAGCCATTCTCTCACTGGTAGTCAGTTGTACACCACGTTTGAGGGCAACCTTGGCTATCAAACTCTTTTGCCATAACTTTACCATGGCTGTTGCCAACCCTTGCAGTTGTCTACTTCGACCTGTACATCAAAAGAAAATCTTACTCTTCAAAGACTTTATTAGGCTCTACAAAAAGTCATAAAGGAAATCCAATACCTAAAGCAAAATGTGGAGGAAGAACTGTAGCAAGTCTTCTTAATGTGGTTGCCTCCTTTGTTCCTAAAGTTGATCTCACCCCATAAGGAAGTGCTCTGAAAGGGGGTTCGTAACCAGGAACAATCCCTGGAAGCAGATCAGCATCAACAGGTAATGGGTAACCTCCCTGCCAGTCTGTATACCTAGGACCAAGACCCTCTAACAGTTCATTTATTTCATCTTCATACTCTACTTCCTGTTGGGACGTTCTGTCATTATTTCCCACAATGGCTGTCTCCTTCTCTGGCTGCTGAGGAAGATGCACTTGTTGAACACTATGATCAACTGAACTTGTACTTGTAGGCAAAGAAGATGGTGATGTCTCTGTTCTTCTGTATATTTGCTTATTCATGTTCCCTGATACATACTTGTTGCTGCCACCTTTGTAGTTGTACAAGGCGATGGAAGTCCCTGACCTCCAAATCACCAAACCACCAGTTTTTCTCTGTCACAGTGAAGATATAATTAGTAACTTGACCATGAATAAGAAGATACATACATTAGAAACAAAACACTACTTTTCAATTCCTTTCACTTATCAATTTTTTTTAAAATCCATATATCAAAATTTTGTATATAATGCACTAATTGGGGGATCATAAGAATGAAAACCTCTAATATCTCATGCATCCTTCTCATATTAAGTGCACTTGATCCTTCAATCTTGAGTCTCACAATCTCTGAGCTCTTCCACTTCTCCTTAATTGCATTTACCACAGCCTGAGTAACACCTCCACCCGTAACCCTCATCTTATTCTTTGTTCGAAACATCACATTCCTCAATCGGTTCAGCTCTGATTCCGAAAGTGCCATCTCCGCCAACGAGTATCTACTCTCCTTCTTAGCTGTCCACTCTCCATTTACCAACTCCTTCTCCTCCTTAGAACTCACCTTCTCCCACGGAAACCTAACTTCATCATTGCCCCTATATACACTAAATGGTGATTCCTCCGAGAATCCACCTCTTTCTTCAACATAGAACCCATCCTCCACTGAACTTTTCTCAATCCTTCTCTCTTGTTCAACTTCCTTATCCTGAAACTGATCATCATCTACAAATCCATACTCTTTCAATCTCTCCACAATCTTCTCCATTGTACTACTACTACTCTCACCACCAACATCACTACTTCGACTACTATTCTCACCCCTCATAAGACCTAAATCCGAAAATCTCTCTCCTTTTCTACGATTCAACAGTACCTTTGAAGGTCTAAATTGACTCTGCTTCTGTGTTCTGTTCCAATTCTCATTCCTACTACTACTACTACTACCTTCACACGATAATCGTTTAACCTTTTTCATATAAAAGAAATCAAATCTCCTCGATATAGCACCGTTATAAGACCTGAGTGAAATCGATGAACTGCTTCCATGGAACTTACAGAAGGAGCTCAACGAATCGACAGTAGTCGTCGTTACAGTTGTTGGGCAAAAATGGCGACTTGAACTAATCGCCATTTCTAAACACAAAATACTCTGACTTGGGTACTCAAATAAATACGATTCCGTGAAGCTACAACAAAAAATTCTTGAGCTTTGATTGATTCCTTCAGCTAACGACACGAAAGCTCCGAGCCTGTGTTATCCATGGCGGGGAAAGATGTCCGAGATAATTAGAGTTTATCGTAACCAGACCAAGAACAAAAGTTTTTAACAAACACGTCCCCGAAAAGGCGTATAATAGAGAGTTATAATGAACATCACTAATATGCGCCTATTATCAGAAATGAAGAAAGTTCAGTAACGTACGCCTTATGAGTTATGACCGGATCTATATATTTTCCTCAGTCAAGACAAGTTATAAAGAGAAGAGTTGAAATCTCTATCTCTTGTTCTGTATAATAAATTCTTGCGGGGGCTTCTCTCTGCTCCGTACGATCTCTTGGCTTGTTTCAAGGTTAGATTTTTAGCTTACTACTAAGTTATTTGGCCAAAAAATTCTCCTTTTTATTTTGGTTGTTGAAGATTTCGCCTATGTTTGCAAATTTCCCTTTTTTTAATTCCGTCTTGGTATTGAAATTGGAACTTGTAAACACCTCGATAGTTATCTGTTTACAAAATTTATTGTGTAAAGATTGAAAATTTTGCCTTCGATTTGATATGGGTTTATCATGTTTTTGAAAACTAGAGGGAAAAATTCAAACTTTATTTGACATTTATGATACTGGGTTTCACTGTAAATGCGATTCTAAATGCAGAGTAGGATCAAAGGGTGTGTTTCATTTTACTGTTGTATCGTTTGTCTGAATTGGCATTAATATTCTCTGCCAATTTGTAGTCATCTTGAGTTTTTGAGATCAGGCAGTTACAGATGTTTTTGTAGCTAAGTTAGTGTTGGAATCATGTATCAGTGTCTATGTCTCTATAAGGGGTTAGTGTGGTTTTCTTTGAGAAGGGAAAAAGGAATCTTCTTTTGTCCTGTTAAGATCACTTCAGATTGTGTGATTTTCTCAGAAATTTTGATCTCTAGTCTTGTTGATTAATGTAAATTAGCAGTTTCAGTTTTGAGTACTATGCTTTTGATTTTATGTCTTGGTTGATTGCTTTGCTCTGAATTAGAATAGAGTGAGCTGATCAGTAATTCGTAGCAGCTCTAAGTTCTTCTTATGCAGGTACCATATAAGGTTAAATGTTCTAAGTTCAACCTATTTAGCCATCAAAAAAATTTGGTATCTGCGGTTGATTTAATAATGTTCATGGGTTATCATTTACACTTCAGTCGTCATGGGTTATCTTTTACACTTTAGGACTCATTTTGGGTTGCGGTTTGGATAAATAATGTGTGAACCTTTTCTGCTTGTGATATGATTCTTCTTTGAAACTGTGGTCTCCTGTGTTTCCTCAGGTGGCAGATGTTTTCAGATGTAGAAATGTCTCGGGACGTGGCTATATGTGCCAAACACTTGATTGGCCATACGTTTCACCAAGAGATTCTCACCAGGCTACTCCAAGTTCTAACACACGAGAAAGCATGTAGGAAACATGGATTCTATCTCGGTATCACCAGTGTAAAAAGCATCGGTAAGAACAAGAACAAGATCATCAACATCAACAACAACAACGAAGACAATCATCAAGCACAAATCCTCACATTCCCGGTCTCCTTCACATGCCGCACATTCTTGCCTGCAAGAGGAGATGTCTTGCAAGGGGTTGTAAAAATGGTATTGTCGAACGGAGTTTTTATCAGTTCAGGACCACTTAGATACGCATACCTCTCACCCTTGAAAATGCCGGACTACCATTATGTCCAATCAGAGTCTGATGACGAGAAACCGTATTTTCAAAAAGATGATCTCTCCAAGATTGCTGTTGGAGTTGTTGTCCAGTTTGTGGTGTTGGCTGTGCGGTTTAAGGAGAGACCACACAAGATAAGAAACGATTATTATGTTCTCGCGACTTTGGAAGGCGATACACTCGGTCCCATCTCTCTTGCAGGTTCGGATGAGCCGTACATGTGATGTGTTTCAACCCAACTATTGCGCCAAAGTTGAAGTCTTTAGATACTTTTTGGTTCTAGGTTAATCTCAGTTTCATAGGTTACTTTCTTATTTGTTCTTTGGTATAGGTAAACGAACTCATCTGTCTCTAAACTCTACACAAGTTGTAATACCCATTGATGATTAGCCGTTAAAGACAAACCTGTGTGAGATTCATAAAAAGACATATAACTCCACAACTTCTCAAACTTTATCATAAGCAAAACCGAAACAGAACCAGTTTAAGTTCAATCAATTTCCAAGAAAGTATATGGAAAAGCCAAACCAGATCGACAAAAATATATCAAACCAATGTAAACTGAAGCCATCTTGGTTACACAGACACATTATATACATAAGTGGAATTGCGTTGAGTATGTATTTTCAAACAACATCAATGGTGAGTAACTCATTGCAAAAGATCACCTTCATCCAAACCTCTCTGAAGCACCAAAGCCCTGTCTTCAACACCTTGAGACATATTTGTATTCGTCAATCGTCATCGCCATGGAGACATCTTCCATCCCTGAATTCATAACAAGACTAGTTTCAGCAGTCTCTTGATACTCTTGCTTGATCTCGTAATCCCCATCGAACAAAATACTCTCAAAGTCTATGAGTTGATCAAGATCCAGTTCTTGATTGGTGTATCCATCATCCAAGTTTCTTGCAGCCATGATCTGATCCTGTTCCTGAGCGATCTTGTTGAAATTTCTAGGTACATTACCGCTTGTTGCAGAAGTGAACTTAAGATTTAGGGTTTGATCAAGATTTCGAGTTTCGTGTGAAACAAGATCCTTCTTCTTGATGTCGTTGTTCTTCACATCATCTTGATCATCTCTCTGCAAACGCACTTCCTTCAGATTTCTCAACATCTTAGACATGGACTCGATCGCACACTTCAACTCCTCTGGATTCTCCGATTCAGCAAGATCATCGTCTTCCCACCATAACCCTAACCCTAGATTCTCCTCATCAGTAACAGTAACAGGACGCTGATCGTCGAGGAAAGCGGCAACAACACCATCAGCGGAGGAGTGACCGAAGGAGTAGAAAGAGGCGTGAGAGCTGGAAGAGCAAGGGGTCGTCAAGATCGCCATTTCTGCACCGGAGAGACGACAAAGCTGAGAGGCTTTATTGTAAAGACCATTACGGCGTTGAGAGAAAGCAACGGCTCGTGACTCTTTCTTCTGAATTTTCTCCATCGGAATTTTCCTCTTCTTGCCTCCCATTATGTTTTCTACAATTTCACAGAGATTTCGAGGGATACACACTGACACAGACTCTCTCTATTTATAGATAGTGTATGTAACAAGAAACCCTGAAACAAAAAGGTATGAAATGTAAGACCTGAGAAAATAAAAATACATACAATACGTAGTGATATATAATATCAAAATGTAAAATGTTAATCATTTACTCTGATCTAGACTCTAGAACTGAACTGGCCGTGTTAAATGTCGGTGGTCTGTTTTATTTTGTAGCCATGTCATCTCTAGGATCGTAAAAGTTCCAGATTCGAAATGTTATCATAAGTCGTTAAATCACTAGTGTTTATATATGATCTCAAATACCCTTAAAGTGAGATAACTCTTGTCTTAAATTATAATGATCAGTTCAGTTAATTACTTTAATTTAAGGATGTTTAATATGTATAAAAAGAACTAAATGTTATCAACAACATCAAGCAAACTTGTTCAATTACATCAACCATAATTTACCTTTTTGATAAAAACAAAGATAGAGCATTCAACTTCAACAGATGGAAAATAATTTTAAAGGTATAAGAACAAAAACCAAAAAAAAACACAAAATAACTTATTCAATAATTGAAGATTATATAATATAGTCCATATTTAGAGGATGCTGAAGAAGCTTAATCATATATACTAAACCTTAATTCAACTCTAATCGCAAAAAAAAACTAAAACCCCATATACTCTAAGAATTTTGTATCCTTTAATTTTGAAATAAAGAACAGACTCCATAATTTATAGATTAGAGAGTATACAAAGTGACGTAATGGAATCATTAATTAGTCTTATTCCCTATGGAATATATAGGGAACTATAAGCATGAGAAGTTAAGAACTGATGAAGGGGAAACTATTATTGTTATAAATGCTTTGCTAGCTAGGCAGCCACTATATCACCCATTTGGAGTTAGATTATAGAAAACACATGATTTAAAAAATCTAACATATATGTTGAGATTGTTGTAAAAAGACAAATGATACATGCTCAAGTGCAAGCATTATTTTTCTTTGTTGTAGGTTTGTAGCTCTTACGTGTAAGTGTATTCGCATGGTCACACACTCACACGATCCATTTGGCTTATGACTTGTTTGTGTATTACGATTCTCGAGTACTAGAGAAATCTCAGAACTGCAAGTGGTAGTTATATGATTTAGTTAACTGGTACTAATTAATGTCTCTATAAAAGCCAAGCCGGAAAAAAAAAAAAAAAACAGAACCGGTTAAGAGCATGGGCATTGCCGTATGCATCGATCGTCCTACCTCATATAACATTTAAAAAAAAATCATAAATGCATAATAAACGAAGGAACGTTCCTTCAAACGGGACAATGTGTGGCCGTCCTTCGGGCCACGTGGCAGGCGTGTATTGGTTGTTGGATTAGTGAAGGGAAAAAAATCTGGGGTCTCTTCGTGTTTATCATTTTTTCTCTTCTTTTTCTCTCGAGTGTCTCTGTGGGGAGAGAAGGCGAATCTATGGCCGAGTGAAATCGAGAGACCAGAACCTTGAGATATCTTCCTTCTGAACCCAGCTCGAGATATCTTCTTTCTTCTTCTTCTTCTTCTCCGATGAAGCCTTCGACTCTTTCTTCTAGATTCTCTCCTTCTTTAATTTTACCAAATCGATCCTTAAAATCTTCAGTATTTAAAAGATTTGATACTCTCATGGAGTGGCAAGAATGCAAGTAGGCGATTCTAATTCTTCTGCTCTCTGACTTGAGGAATTTGTAGTAATTGTAGATGTAACTTTGGCTATATATTACGAAACATACTTGCCTTTGTTTAGAACTATGATTCTTTCCTTGCAAATTTTACAAAATTGCACACTGATTTTGATTAGTTTATGATGTTATAGTACCAGTGATTGGTTTAGTGTGGCTTTAGATAGTCAAATTTGATGATTTTACTAACATGTGGCTTTAGTTAGTCAAATTTGATGATTTTTAGTGTTCATGTCAATTCTTCACAGTGCTGTTTTTTTACTTCTTCTAATGTTTATGTTTGGAATTGGATGATAGCATTTTTCATGTTTATATTTAAAGTGTGAATTTTGTTTTCTTAAAAGATAACTTGAAGTCTATTTTATTAAGTGGGCTTTCTTGAGTCAAGAACGTTCTATAAGTGTTTTAAACCTTTCTCTATGGAGAATTTCAGAGTAAAGATGAAAGTTGAAGTGCCTGTATCAGTTGCTTATGGACTCTATTCGCAGTGCCTGTATCAGTTGCTTATTGACATTGTCTGTTTGTACATATATGATGTCTGTTTCTGTTGTCTTTATGAAGTTCAGCATTGGGTTTGTTTTTGATGTTCCACTTTTAGTTCTGCATGCTTAGTACTGAGTCTAATGCAAAAGTTCAGATTATGAGGAGTCTTTTACCACTTATTGATAGTTTTGATAAAGCTAAGCTTCAAGTTAGTGTTTATAGGCAGTTCGTTGAGGTTTTGAGACATCTTCGTGTTGCTGCTATTGCAACTGTTGGCAAGCCTTTTGATCCTTTGGTAAGTTTTTATCTAGTGTAGGAGGTAGTCATAAAACCTACTTGAAATCGGTAACAGAGTTTGTGATTGTGGTTGCAAATGAGGTAGAAGGTTTTGTATTAACATCTTGATTACATGATTCATTTTTGCCAGTGAGTGATGACAATGAAATGAAGTAATGAATTGTTGTTTACACAACTCAGTTATGTGACCTTTGTTTGCCGGTTAGTGATAGCGCGGTTGGATACTTGTGTAATGTTTGTCTGGGTTTTGAGTGACTTAGCAATACTCTTTTTTGTTATAGTTGCACGAGGCAAGAAGAATCTGAAACTAAAGCAGGGATAATAACCGAGGAGCTGAACCGTGGAGGTTAAAGTCTCTTTAGGACCTATCAGCAAGAAGACTCCTTCAGCTACTGAGGAGATAACACCTTCTAGTTGAGTCAATCTTGGGTAAAATTTTCATTGTTAGTCCATTTTTTATCCATCTCTCAAAGGGATAACAACTAAACCGTAGCTGATGTCTGAATGAGAAAGTTCTTTGGCTGCTGAGATTATAATTGATTCATGTTTTTGGTTTATACAACTGTGTTATAGCCATGGTTTATACAATAAATTAATTTAATAAAAAAAATTAATTTTTTTATTAGTGGGACAAAATAAGTAGGACACTGATGCTTGTACATACAAACTACACATTTGTTCCTTCATAAAAAAAATGTTAAAATAACAATGGGACCTAAATCTCAGTCCTAGCAATGCCATTGCTCTAACAAAACACAAGTCTCTCTATCACTTTTGCTATCCAAATAACATCCACTTGTAATAATCTTATCGACAAACAAACGACCGATAACAACCCACGTGTCATCACGATACGATTATTATCCTCACTGATCCAACGGACCCAAAACATCTAACCTCTCTTTCTCCCACCCTTTTTTTGTGTTTTTGTCTCCTCGATCTCAGATGGCGGATTCGGACAACGATTCAGGAGGACACAAGGACGGCGGCAATGCTTCGACTCGTGAGCAAGACAGGTTTCTACCGATCGCTAACGTTAGCAGGATCATGAAGAAAGCACTTCCGGCGAACGCCAAAATCTCCAAAGACGCTAAAGAAACGGTTCAAGAGTGTGTATCAGAGTTCATAAGTTTCATCACTGGCGAAGCTTCTGACAAGTGTCAGAGAGAGAAGAGGAAGACGATCAACGGCGATGATCTTCTTTGGGCGATGACTACGCTAGGGTTTGAGGATTACGTGGAACCTCTCAAGATCTATCTGCAAAAGTATAGGGAGGTTGAAGGAGAGAAGACTACTACGGCGGGGAGACAAGGCGATAAGGAAGGTGGAGGAGCTGGAAGTGGAAGCGGAGGAGCTCCGATGTACGGTGGTGGTATGGTTCCGATGGGGCATCAGTTTTCTCATCATTTTTCTTAATTTTTTTTTTTTAATTGTGAAATGATAAAAAGCAAAACTATCATTTGTATTAATTAATTAATGATATATATATAAATGTTTAACTTTTAGTAGAGATTCATAGTATTTTTTATTTATTGTTTTATAATGTTAGTAAAGTAGGTAATTCAAACCCACTCACAAAATTTTAATTGTTTTAAAACCTATCTAAAACCCATTCATGAAATTGCACTTAAACGTTAGGCTAACTTTTTAAATATTTTTAGCAAAGAAACTAAATAAAACGTTCATTCTACCAAACTTAGAAAATTCTTTTATTCCTTTTCTTTTTCAACTTAAAACCGCAATGTATTAGTTTGTTTTATACATCATGTTATTTTGTTTGATAAAGATGTGCATGTCACTTCATTAGTTTCACATTATATTACATATACAATATATATTTCTTTCATTTAACGTCTAAATATCGCATTAAATCGGATAGGGTTATAATTAGATTTTATACGCTGTGATAAAATTGCCATACGTTTTTAAGGTTTACCAATGTTTTCAACTTTGATTTTAATTGTACAAAATATAAATTTTTTCTTTTTTTCACTGTGATTAGAAAAACTCAGTAAAAAATACGTTTTTTTTTTTACGTTTAACACATATATTTTGAAAATTGAAATGTTCTATTTTTTTTTTGTCATTTACGGAATATTTTCTTATGTTTTTTTTATACGATAAATTTCTTATTTATAAGAAAATGTTTTGGTTCGTTCTTCTTAAAAACTAACCAAAATACTCTTTCTCCTTCTCTAGCGTCTGGCCGACTAAGAGCAACTCCAAAGTAAAGTTATTAGCTGGGTTTTTAGCTTAAAACATATTAAAAATAAATCAGAAACAATTAAAATGGTAAAGATCGACCCTCAAAAAATAGGTTTAAGAATTGGTTCTTAGCATACGTGGTATGGTATAATTGGTCAGGAACTGTTGGACAAGAAAAAAAAAATTGGTTGCGCTTCTCCTTCTCGACACTTGTCACTTTTTAAAAAACTTTAATTTATATTTAATCATTATTTATTGATAAAAATTTGTTAATAAGAGTTTGTTGTTAGAGATGCTCTAAAACAGACTTTTCTTGACTGGATCTTGAAGTTGGCCTTTAATGAGAGTAAAGCCCACCCCTATCCAAATCATTGCTTTCTTTCTTCAGAGTCATATTTTACAAAGTTTTGTCTAAAACACCAAATTTGCTAAATAACATTATCAAACGTAACTTGCAAAGAGAGAATTTAATTAACAAGGCAATATAGCCTACAAGTGGTAAACTCGACCATCAAACTATTTAACGTCTGTCACTTCGACTAGACTTCGTTTTACAACCATAAACCGCAAGTCATAGTGCAAGATGTTAAAAGTACATATGATAAAAGAATAGGAAATTTTTTGACCAAGTTAACAAAAATAAAATAAAAAAATAGTAGAAATTATGCTTTACATTACGAAAAAACAAAAGTTAAGATAAAGAGTGATATACATGGCTACAAAAAATCATATCAACCTGAATACCTGATCCATTGCCACGAGGCCCTCGACGGTCTCTACGTCCTTTGTTGCTTTCTCCTTCCTGGACTATTCGTTGTCCATTGCATCTGATTTTGAGCCTTCTTTGATGGATATTAAGAAGCCTGCTTCTTTAGGACACTTCAACGACGATAATGATCGAGCTTCCTAGGGTTTATATATCACTTCCTTTAAAAGACAATGGACTCTTTCAGGGTTAAAACCCAAGTGTGAGATCCAACAGGGCCACAAAAGGTTACATTGCTACGATCTTGTTCATGACAATTTTTTATTTATTCATGGCTTTATTGGTTTATCATATTGCACTTTGGTTCACGGTTTACTCATTTCTTTATGCTTAACTGATCGGGAATATGATAATTAAACTTTCTGAACATGATATATATATATATATATATTCTTTATTAATAAAAGAAGAAGTGCAAAGATATTAAATATAAAGTTTTACTCATAATCGAGGAAATAGAGTGCCATAAACATAATGGGGATGAATTGAAAGACCCATGAACATGCACATGCTCTTGTTCCCCCACTGCTTTCATGGGTCCTGAATTTAATAAATTCTCCTAACATAATTAGAGAACAAAAGAGTAAACTGTGGTAGGATCTCGTTCCTAAGTTTCATACCATTAAAATCAAACACAAAATTAAAAGCAAAGAAGTTTTTGCACGATCCTAAATTTTACTAGTAATCAACGTAAAACTTATTAACTATTATAAAACTTGAATATGTATGTCATATAAGGGAAAAAAGAACTCTATAGAATCACTATCACAATTACACCTTAAAGTTTAATTTCTACTTAATTAAGAGAAGAAACAGAAACACAGACATATTTAAACTTTCGACTTCTGATCAAATACAATTTTTTGACCACTTTTTCGTAAACAATACTATTACCCTATATACCATTAATATTTAAAATTTCAACACACATATATATGATCATATATAACAATACAAATTAAAAAAATAAAATCAAGAATCCATTATTGTCTTCATTTTCTTTGTTCAGGATCGGTTTTTGCACTTCTCCATTGCTCTTGGAGCTGGAACCCAAAAGCAAGAACCATATAAACATTGGAACTACAAATTTGTAAGAAGATGAGACTGAAAGAAACGAACAATGAACAAAACGTACCAAGGCCAATTGCTTCGGATCCTTTCATAATGCGCAAACGTTTGCACGACTCAACAAACATCCTGAAATCAATAATATGTTTTGGTTACTAAAAATAGAAATCTCTATATACTGAAATTAATAAACATACTTTAACGATAATAGTGAAAAAGATATTACAGTGCCAGCTACAATGAGCTAAACATATAATTTAAACATCTTATTCTTTTAGTTCTGTCCCATGCCAACTTGTGCGTATTTATAACACATGGATTTTGATTGTCCTTTGGTATTTTCTAATCATTAGTATCAATAATAGTGGTCTTATCAAGAAGTTAGAGAATAGTTTCGTATATTATTGATGAAAAATAATGATAAAGAGTGTGAGGCAAGAAGATGGAGAAAACTCACGGCCAAGGGACATCACCAACGAGCATCCAATCACCATCTTTGTCCTCGTAGCTTGGGACATACTCAGAACTGTTCAACAGATCCATCACTTTACTCTCGTTCATGAAATCTATCATTCCTTGTGCTCCATAACTCCCTTTGAATCATCAAAAATCGAAAAGTTTATTATGTATATTAGTTAAATAACATATAATTAAAACGACCTCACTGCCGACATGAAAAAAAAAAATCATCAAGAGTATTGACTTCAATTAATTGTTTGTGTTTATAAAAAATATAACAAAACTAAAACTATTAATCGAAATTTAATTTTTATGTTTTTGTAAATGAATACCCATGGTAAAGGAGCTGAACATTTTGGCCAAAGCATCAGAGAGATCTTTATAGCTGTTGTACATCCTGAGGTCAACCTTACGAAGATAAGGAGCTCCATCCATAGAAACCTTCACAAAGGCGATAGTTCCTCCACCACTGCTCATTGTCTCCTCCGTTTCACCGTTCTTCTGAGTAGCCATAACAGTTTTCCGGTAGTTCCTCACTGGTGGCCAACCTACCACTTGTGCTCTACATACAAAATAACAAACATATATACATCCAATAATGTTATTATCTATGTATATATATTCATAAATATTTCACATGTATGTAGTTCGACATCTTTGGATCTTTTTTTGAGAAATTGTGTAAATGTCTTACTAGAACTTACTTAGTTGGAGGCTTTGTAGGGTCTTGAAGGAGAGTCTTCTCTTTGATAGATCCAGAAACATTGAGATCCCCATGTCCTTGTTTGTTAGATTGAAGATTGAGTTTGAGATCAACGGTCTCAGAGAAGCCTCTCTTATTCCCAACACCGGACTTGGCCGGACTCTCCACGGTTTCAGCCCCTCCGGGGAGGCCAAGGCAGAGCTCCGTTTCTTTAAGGTTCATCTCTTCTCTCTTTCTTTCTTTGTTTTTGTTTCTGTCTCTCGTTATCTCTTTTCCTCTCTCTAAATTTTCTTGTTGGGGGGTGAAGTTTTGATAAGAGGGGAGCAAGAAAAGGGGAATGAGAGAAGAGTCGATGATATAAGGAAGAGAGAGACTATAGCTAGTGGTAAAAAAAAGCTATGTAAATCCGAGATTACTCTGAGTTTCTGTAAGCAATCATTTAGTTGGAATAAAAAGAACAAAAACCCTACATTTTCTTGATATGAAAGGTTCACAACACGTGGCCTTCTCTTAGATGTTTATAATATGTTTTAGTACTTTTAACAACTTAAATTAATATTTTCTTTTTTCGACCTTCAAGCATCAATTTTTTTAACTTTTGCTCTATATTCTTTTGTTAATTGGATTAAGCCACATATCAACAAATTCCTAATTTTTTTTTAGTCTCAACTATTACTCAAATTCCAATAACTTCTCACCAGACAACAAGCCGAGATTCTTCGCCTCTATTTTCTAAGGAACAAGAATTTCAATACTGGAAAAATTATAATTCCTAACATCTGTCTTACCATGACTTGTGGAGCGTAAGGGATGATTTTGAAGTATGAGCATTTCATACTCTTTGAATTTTGTTATCAAGTTAAGTGTATTTTGTTTTCTCTCAGCTGAAATAAATCTTGATTCGCCATTCTCAATAAAGGAGAAAAGCTGGAATCGATTACGCTTGAATAGTACTCACCACGTCCCAATTCATTTTTAGTACATTATCACCATTTCATGTCAAAAACTTGAAAAAGTCTAAATTACAAATTTGTGATAATCTAAAAGATGATTATGCTAGAGTTAGAGCATACCTAGTGTAATGGAATGAGATGCATAAAGTCATAAACGATTTACATATACACAAAATATAAGAAAAAATAACGTAGTGATTTATATACGTTTTTTATATGGATTGTAAATAAGGTTGTTCAAATTTTTGGATTAGCATGTTGATTAACCGACAAAATAAGAAGGACGATTAAAACCCCATTTGAAAACGTTTTGTAAACAAAAATTAATAGTTGGAGGTAAGATTTTATCTTTGTCCTTAATCCAAAGAAGCTCCCGCAGTGTGGAGGTTGGTGAGCTACATTATTTATATGGACTGTAAATATGGTTGTTCAAATTTTTGGATTAGCATGTTGATTAACAGACAAAAATGAATACTACAAACGGTGGCTGTTATGATATTACAGCAAATAAAAATAAAATTTGTGTTTATTTTTAAGAAGAAATATTAAGCTATAATATGAATTTTAGATGCATATTAAAATATACATGTATTATATTTGTAGATAATTAAAATAAGTATAAATAGAGAGAATTATAAAATTGAAGGAGCCATTTATTGATTAAATATCTAATATATACATATATATTTCCTACCAAAAAAATATATTTACATATATATTGTGAGTCTACTGTTTAGATATTTTGTTGAATATCTAAATGGGTTATTCAGAGATTATACATCTGACTTCTTACAAAATGGATATACACATATTTGTTTTTGTTATTCAGCTTCGAAGACAAAAAGAAAACTGTAGAATGATTAAAATCTCAAAAACGGTTCGTTACATACTTTACGTGCCAAACGATCTATTTTAACGTTAGTTTGATTGAGATATATAAATTATAGATTAATTAATATATACGTAAATATATCAATCTACAATATATTAAAGATTCGAGTTATAAAAATTTAGGTTCTATAAACATGTATCAACATGTTCATTAATTAATGTATGTATTGATCACTTCTATGATTAATGCTTTTTATTTTAATTGCCTACCAATTTGTTAAACGTTTGCCTCCATTAGTCAACTGTTCACGTATCACATCACATGTATTATGTATACAACAACTAGTGATATTGGACGGTAAAAATTCCATTTATCGTATTTGGTCAACATTATTATATGTACATGGTTAGTCGTATTTGGTCATTTAAACCTATTTCCTAAACTTTCGAAGGCAGCATCCATGAATGAGTTATGACTAAACGACCAACTATATATAAGTTTAATCCTAATAAATTAAGACATACAACACTTTGATCCTTGACATCTCCTTAAATAAGAAAAGAACTATACTATATAGAATTCAAGATTATAAAGATCAAGACCAAATTAAAAAATCACTCTCTTTATTTCTTTAGGAAAATCTCTCAAAACCTAAAGCTATTAATCTCTCAATCTCAAAACTCTTAAGTTATGTCACACCTTGACATCTGCTTAAATAAGAAAACAACTATACTATAACTCCTATTCCTATTAGGAGAAACACATAAAATATATTTAGATAACTCCTAAATATATAAAGCATAATCCTAATCTTCTTATGCTTGCTCTCCAAGCTTACTTCAATCTTAAGTCAACATTCTCCCTTTTAAGCTTGAATCCATCACTCTTCAAGTCTTGAACACTAATGAGATCTCTCATCTCTTTAAACTTGACCCTTCCAAGTGCTTTAGTTAAAATGTCCGCCTTTTGCTCACTCCCCGGAACATGTTCAACATCGATTTGACCATTTTCAATGCATTCTCTTATAAAATGGTATCGTCGATGTATGTGCTTACTACGACCATGAAACACCGGATTATTCGTGAATGCAATGGCTGAGCGATTGTCTATACGTATTGTAACCCTCTCACATGTGTTTCATGTGATTTCACTTAGTAGATCTTGGAGCCAAATAGCTTGTTTTGCTGCCTCGGTACCTCCCATGAACTCGGCCTCACATGATGATAATGCAACAATTTCTTGTTTCTGCGAGCACCAAGATATCGGACTATCTCCAAAGTAAAACACATGGCCAGCTGTGCTCTTTCCATCGTCCGGATCAACATTATGACTACTGTCACTATAGCCAATGATCTTTGGTATACTCGTGCAGCGTTTGTAAACCAAGCCAAGAGTTGTGGTTCCTTTTAGATATCTAAGACATTGCTTCATTGCAGCTGCATGCGATTCTCTAGGGCTTTGCATGAACCTACTTAGGACTCCCACATCATAAGATAGATCCGGCCTTGTATGAAGCAAATATCTAAAACACCCAACATTCTTCCTAAAAGCTGTTGCATCGACTTCCTTTTCATGAGCAAATTTTGCAAGCTTTAAGCCAAAATCCATTGGAATGTGAACTGGATTACAATCCTTCATTCCAGCTTCTTCTAAGATTTTTAGTGCATATCGTGTTTGATTCAGAGTGATTCCCTCGCTGTGTTGCATCACCTCAATTCCAAGATAGTATGACAATACTCCAAGATCGCTCATGTCGAATCTAGATGACATCTCGACCTTAAATTGGTTAATCACTTCCATGCTTGTTCCTGTGACCAAAAGATCATCAACATAAACAGCTACTATCAAAAGATGCTCACAAACCTCCTTTCTATAGACAGTAGGCTCCTTGTTGCACTTAGTAAAATTAAGCTCTAGGAGAAGCTTGTTTAACTTGTTGTTCCATGCCCTTGGTGCTTGTCGCAAACCATATAAAGCTTTGTTTAACTTATACACCTTCTCTTCTTTTCCTTTGATCTCAAATCCTTCAGGCTGGAACACATAAACATCTTCTTTAAGTTCTCCATGAAGAAAGGCTGTTTTTACATCGAGATGATGTATTTGCCACCCATGTGCAGCCGCGAGTTTGATGAGGAGTCTTATTGTCTCCACTCTTGCTACTGGTGCGAACACTTCGTCGAAGTCCACTCCAAACTTTTGAACATATCCTTTAGCTACCAGCCGAGCCTTGTATTTGTTAATGCTCCCATCCGAATTCCTTTTGAGCTTAAACACCCATTTTAACCCAATGGGTTTGACTCCTTGTGGCAGCTCAACTAGATTCCAAACTTTGAACTTTTCTATGGAGCTTATCTCTTCTTCACAAGCTTGAGTCCACTCCTTAGAACCTCTAGCTTCTTCAAAATTTATTGGCTCGTTATTTAAAGAGAACAATAACAGTTCTACCTCTTTCTCATCAAGCAAGATGTAATCTTTGAGGTATGTTGGCAATCTCCTGTCTCTTTGTGATCTTCGTAAAACCGGAGACTGAATACTTGACTCAGCTTTACCATCTTCCTCAGCAAAAACTTCTTCATCCCGAACATCTTCTTCCATTTGATCGAGATCGTCTTCTTCTTCCTCTGTTTTGTTTTCAGTTTGATCACTTTGATCCTCTCTCCCTTCTATATCACGAAGACCGTGATTTCCTGTTTCAGTAAAATGAATCTTGAAGCTTCCATCCCCTTCCTTTGATGAATCAACATGTCTCCACTCCCAACCTTTTGATTCATCAAACACTACATCACGGCTAACGACAATTCTTCTTGTTTGAGGCTCAAGTAATCGGTATGCCTTTGATCCAGGTTCTGTCCCTAGATGAATGAGTATGCGCGTTCGATCATCTAACTTCTTTAGATGTGGTTTATCGACTTTTGCATAAGCAATACAACCAAAGATGCGGATGTGCTCAATATCCGGTTTCTTCCCTCGAAAGCATTCATAAGGAGTTTGATCTTTGAGTGCTCTTGTCACGACTCTGTTCAAAATGTAAGTAGAATGTCGTATAGCTTCTCCCCATAGGTAGTTTGGAAGATGCATATGCTTCAATATACTCCTTGTCATCTCCATCAACGTCCTATTACGTCTCTCCACTACTCCATTTTGCTGCGGGGTGTAAGGAGCAGTCAAGTGACGTCTAATGCCATGATTTTCACAAAAGGTGTTGAATTCCAAAGAGACAAACTCTCCTCCTCGATCTGTTCTAAAGGTTTGTATCTTCTCCCCTGACTCCTTTTCAACCATGGATTTGAAAGTCTTGAATTTGCAAAGCGCCTCTCCTTTCTCCTTTAAGAGAGTAGTCCACATGTATCGGGAATGGTCATCAATGAGAACAAAGATGTATCTATTGCCAGCACTTGTACTTGGTGTTATTGGACCACATAAATCTCCATGAATCAGTTCAAGGAGCTTTGTCGCTCTATATGAGGTTGCTTGTGGGAAAACTTGTCGGGTCTGTTTTCCAAGCAAGCATGAGCTACAAATCTCTTTGGCAATGGTAATGGTCGGAGCACCTAACACCAGTTCTTT